TGCTGGGAAGGGAGCAGGGCAGGGGCTGCAGCTATGGGCCAGGGGGCAGAGGGGAGCATGGGATCAGACAGGGGGGAGCTGCATCTTGTACCCTCCAGTGCCTTCCCAGCAGAACGAACCTTGTGTCCCATTCTGCAGGTGGTCTCATCTCCAGGTGCTGTGTGTATGTCAGGATTGTCACAGACCCATGGAACAGCTCAGGTAGGAAGGAATGTCAGTGGTTGGTGGGACACGTGGAGACTCCAGGCAGCATTCCTGGCTCTGCCTGCAGCACTGCAAAGTGCAGAGCTCAGCTCTCCATCACATCAGTGTGGAGATGTTAATTCTTTGCTGGAGAGTGGGGAAGCTGAGACTGGGAGGAATATTTGCAGGTTTGAGAGCAGATAGATCTTGCTTCACGTGGCTGAAGATCCCTCTGGCAAGGGGGGTTTGCATTGCAAAACACATTCTTTCCCCTCTGGGCAATCCTGGCCTTTCATTAGTGTGAGGTGATCCAGCTGCACTCCAGATGCAGACTGAAGGAGCATTCAGCGTGGTTGTAGGCTGGAGCCTAATGGGGGGGAGGAGGGGGGAGAGAACTGATTGGGTTGCTGCAGCTGTTACTGTTTTTTGTGCTTCAGAGTGAAAGGAGAGGCCTGAAGAACCCTCACCTCCTTGTGCCATGGCAGTGATCACAGCTGGCTTTGGGAAACTGAATGGGAGGAAAATACCTGGAGACAAACACGGGGAGCTCCTGTCTGGATGAGCAGCTGGCCAAGCTGCATCTCCTATGCAGTTGTTCCTGTTGTTCCTGCGTGGTTATGGTGTTATTTAGCTCTACCCAGGAATGAGCTTTCCAAGTTCTTTCCTAGGAAGAAATGTTGTTTTCTGTACCCACTTCCTAGATAGGAAACTGAGGCACAGAAATGCCGAGGTTAAATACATCAGATGTCAAGCTGTCATTTCCTCGCCGCAGTGTTGGAGTTTGTGAACCTAACAATGTTCTTCTGACGGGTTTGTGAGTGGGATAATACTTAAATAGGAAAACGAGTTGGCAGGTTTCACAGCTTCCCTATTGAGGGGGCACAGGATATAAACCTCCGTTTTGCGCCTCTGTTTTGCGCGTTCAGGGTGTTCTCCAGAATAAAAGCTTCCCAAAAAGCTTTCCGAGCAGGGACCTACAATTCAAACCCATACGGCATCTCGGATGTCAGGAAAGCAGACTGGTGGTGCTGGAAGCCCATCCTGGCTCTCTGTGACCCTGCTGGTTCTCTCACTGCACGCCCTTCTCGGCAGCACCCCCAGCCCTCCTTGCTGACCACGCTGATGCAGAAGTCAGGGAGATGCCTGGGCTTTGGATCAGCCTTTGCCACCCGACTTAATCCCCCGCTTTGTGATAAGATGGGATTTGAAAACACGCACAGCGATGAGCACCTTCTGCAGGGCAGTGGGGAGGAAACCCTTTAATAAAGGTAAAAATCAAATTAAAAAGATATGGCCATAAACTCTGCTGCCATGCAGGGAGACGGGCAACAGCTCCCCCCATTTGTCATGAATTTTGCAGCTGGCAGCACTTTTATTTTTAATGCCTGACCGTTGGAGCTCTGCAATTGCAGGAGCTTTTTCCTCTATCTTTTTAATATAAGCAAGACTCCAGCTGTCATTTTTTGCAGAGGGAGGCTATAAAAGGTGAAGTATAAGGGATCTAAAGCCAAAAGGCTGCTAAAGAGAAAATAAAAAAAGGCGGTTATTTTTAATTGCATTATCTTTAAACATTCAGAGTTAGCCGTGGCTGCAAACGTTAGCCCTGTGATGATGAACTGATGAGCAATTGGTTCATTCAGAGCACCAGAACAAATCAATGAGCAGCACATCACCCGCAGCGCTCTGCTGGAACGCAAAAACTTCTGTGCTCAGTGAAGGTAAGTGCTTAGGAGATGATCCAGCATATCACACCAGAGAAACCAGCCAGCTTAGCATCTTCGTTTCCCTCCAAGCACAATAAATCCTTCCCATATACGCCGTTTCATTTGAGAGCTAATGGATGTCCTCAAGTGCGTAAATGATCGCCGTCCAGTCGGAATGAACTCTGCAGGGAATGGTGGGATGGCTCTCCAGTATGGAACCGTTTCCCAGCCACTGGTTTGGCCCCTTAATTTTAGCCCTTTTATTTTATTTTTTTTTTTTTTTTGAGATCTGAACGCATCTGTGTCATCCCAAAGGGATTCTTGAGTGCCTCGTGGGGCCTGGATGTGGTGTATGTCCTGGTTGCTGGTGGCAGCAGCTCAGCCCTGCTTCGGGGTTGGCCAGAATTTGTTGTCCTGGTGGAAATGCCGTTGGTTATTTGAGCTCAGGAGTCGCTTGTGGCTGATCTGATGCTCACCAGCACACATCCTGGAGTGATGGTTCTATGATACTGCAGTTCAACCGCAGCAGCTAATTGGGATGAAGAGTTCTGGGGCAGCCCTCTTGCTTTTCACTCCGAGGGTGGTGAGGCACTGGAACAGGCTGCCCAAGGAGGCTGTGGATGCCCCATCCCTGGAGGCAATCAAGGCCAGGCTGGATGTGGCTCTGGGCAGCCTGGGCTGCTGGTTGGTGACCCTGCACACAGCAGAGGGTTGAAACCAGATGATCATTGCAGTCCTTTTTCAACCCTGGCCATTCTATGATTCTATGATACGATTCTTTTCAGTCACTCCAGGTGTGAAAAACAAATCTAACTCGTGCATTAAGCCCTATTCTTGGGCTGTGCTGCCCCTTGGACAAATCTTTGCTTTACTCTATATCTGTTACCTTCCTCTGCCTTAACGAGACCACATTAACATTACATCTGGTGTTTTCAGCTCTCCTTGCTGCTTTTACAAGCTTCCTGCACACAGCACCTTCCCACGTGGCTTATTTGATGCTATTTAGATGAATTTGTAGAGCTTCTAGACTGGGTTTGTTCCATCAGAATTTGGGCTGTACTTTTCCATCTGGCTGCCTGCTGGAAACAGCGTCCAGAAGTGATGTTTTCAGTCACATTTGCAAGGTTAATTGAATTATGAGGAGCAGATTATTTGAGCAAATGGAGTGGCCTTGTCACACTTGGTAGGGCCTGTTAGACCTGCAGTAACACAACCAGAAATGCCCAGGAGCTGCAGATGCCCCCAAGGAAGAGGTCGGTGAGGTTTGCCAGCGTGGATTGCCTCCATCCACTGCAAAATGCCACATCTGCCATCACATCCCTGCCCTGAAATAGCTGATGGGATGCGCTGAACTGCAGCCAGGTCACCCGTGTAAGGCAGCAATGCCATCCGCTCCGCTCGCAGGGAGGGAGATGAGCTGTGACATCCTCTGCAGCATCACCACAGCCCAGGGTGTGCTGGGAAGGCACTGCTGTGGCTCTGGGAACAGTTCTGGGGGGAGGAGCAGTATGTTTTGACCTTTCTGTGATTTAGGTTCCTGTCTGCCTTAATGGCTTTGGGATGCAGGAGGTGGAGGTGTAAATACCAATGACGTGCTGCCAGGGAGCAAACAGGCGTCCGATGGAGAAACGCATCCTTTTTTTCCCCTTCTTATTTATCTCTCAGGCAAGGAGCAGAGGTGGCAATAAAGGGAGAAAGACGTCAGCCGCCTGGTAGATCAGCAGCTGCTCTGAGCTCCTGCACGCCGGTTGGCGGAGTGAGCTGGATTTCTGGGGTGCTTGGCTGATGCAAAGGGCAAACCGATCACCAAATGGCATTTGGCTGCAGTGATTCCCCCCTCGCAGCGCTCTCTCCGAGGTGGCATGCTGGTGATTAATGCACAAACTCACCCCTCTCCCTGGTGCATAGTTTTCGTTCCGTGCGAGCTCTGATTATTCAGTTAAAAAAAAAAAAAAGGAGTAACATTGGTCTATGAAGCTGAACATCAAAATGCAAAAGCAGAACCCTCAGTGTCCCCACTGTTTGCAGTGTGTTTGCTCAGGGTTATTTTCATGCCACACACAATTGAGGTTATTGAGGAGAGCAAAAGGAACAGTGTTTGTTATTCAGTTCATTTTGGGTTTTCAGTGCCGTCGTCGTCTCGTAGCAGCAGTGCCTGGGGACTGGGGGGTGAGGGAATGAATTTATTACACGGAGTGTGGAGCTGGACAGAAACGGCTCCCAGAGGCCTCCCTGAAGGAGAAGGAAAGGATACAGGGTGGGGGAAGCTGTGGGGTAGGGAATGTGGGTACAGAGACGTGGAGCAGCTGGTGCAAGAGCAGCAATCCTTGGGTTTGTGTTTCCATACTGCCGGGCTGTGTCGAAGCTCAAAGCCAAGTGTAGGTTTCTGCTGGGAGCTCCGCTGTGTCTGTGCTGGCTGAGTTTGCAGCTGGGGTCAAGTTCCTGAAGCCAAGGAGGTTTAACAGGGATTATGTATTTGTGAGGCTGGATCTGGCTCTGAGCTCTTTCCTTCTGTAATTTGCCAAACCAAAATCCAAAGTCCAGACAATCTTAGAGAAGGTTATGCCATCGTTCCAGAGTCCGTGCCTGGTTTTACAGGCTGTTAATACACAAAGGTTATTTTAAAATGGTGAAAGATCTGTACGAGGTGGTTTAAGTACAGATTTTGAACTACTTACTACCATTGGACTAGAAACAGATGTGATGGCACTGGTGTTATTCTTAAAAAGGTTTCATTTATCTCAGTGTGTGATCACCTTTTAGTCCTGTTCGAGTCGGAAGGGACCTCAAAGTTCTTCTGGTCCAACTCCCCTGCAATGAATAGGGATTCTGCTGTGGGCTCTTCTGCTCTGGGGCTGCAGGCAGCAGGAATCTGCTGTGCATCTCCAGGTCTCAGGCTGGTGCCCAGCCTCCTCTGTCATCTTCCACGTCAGATGGGTTTAGAGAAGAAAGCAAAACCAGATGAGAAAAGCCAAGCTGTGCAGCATTGCGGGATGCCGGGCAGGCTGCCTGGCCTCATCTCTTGCCTTGCACTGACCACATGTGGACCAGGTGATGGAGCTGGCTCTCTGTTCCTCTCTGACAAACCTCTGTGCTCCCCTTCTGTCTCTGCAGAGCTCCCTTCCTCGGAGCACCTGAGCGTGGCCGATGCCACATGGCTTGCCCTCAACGTGGTGTCCGGCGGAGGCGGCTTCTCTGGCTCCCAGCCCATCGGTGTGACCAAAATTGCCAAGTCAGTCATAGCACCACTAGCTGACCAAAACATCTCAGTGTTCATGCTCTCCACCTATCAGACAGACTTCATCTTGGTAAGAGACATCGGGGGACCGGCCAGGGTCACCTGCCAGCAGATGGCACTTAATGACGCTTCAGTGACACTTGGGAGATCCAGTTGCTTGAGGAGCAGCAGGATCACCAAGGTTTGCTTTCCCCAGAGCTCTGTGCCATTAGGAGGTTATGTGGCAGATACACATATTTATACCCTACTTACGGTAGATAACCTTACTGATGTTTGCAGTAATAGCAGTGAAAGTGCTTCTCTAGACACACACCTTGTGCACCTGCTGCTTCACGTGGGAATAATGTGTCCACTTCCCTGTGCCTGTAACCTCCACTGCAGCATTTTCATCCTTCTGGTGCATCATCATTCTGGCCATCACCAGCTGACCCTGTCATCCCCCCCAGGTACGTGAGCGAGACCTGCCCTTCGTCATGCACACGCTGGCTGCAGAGTTCACCATCCTCAGAGTAGTGAACGGGGAGACGGTGGCCGCTGACGACCTTGGGATAACAAATGGATTTGTCAAACCAAAATTGGGTAAGGAGCAGCCTGGATTCAAGCCCTTGGGGTGCTGGTCTTCGTGCTGCGTGGGGGGAAGAGGAGTTTGTTTAACACGTGCCCAAATCTGTCCCTGTTCACCAGGGTCTGCAGTAGGTGCTAAACTTTCTGAGCAACGCTGATGAGCTCTGTGGAATTTGAGCCTTTTAATGGTGGTTTAATACCTCTAGAGCACACATGCCTTTTTGTAGGACAGAAGGTTAAAACGCAACTTGTTTCAGCTGCAAAAAGAAAACATTGTCTGTGGCCCATACTTCCATATTTTAACACTGCAGAAGAAAATGGCTTCTACAGAGGCTTGGTTAAGCACCGCAGCAATTGATGCACAGAGAGTGTTGTTCACCTTTCACACTTCAGTACCAGTCAGGATCAAGGCCACGGTGAGCCTGCAGCCATACAAAACCTTAGGATGTTTCCAGTCTGCAGGAACAAGCATCAAGCAAAGGGCACAGTCAGGAAAAGCAACTACTTAAATACATCTGTTCCTCCACACCCAGGTGCAGTTGTGTGTCCACACCAAACAAAGCAGGGATCCTTTGTGAAGTGCCACTCATCCTCATCGCTCAGTAGCTGTAGATCTCCTCCTTAAGAAAATGAGCCTTATAGAAAAAGCTGGGCTGTCGATAAAATAAGCTTTGAGAAAGGAAGGATAAGAAGGCATACTGCCAGCAGCCAGAAAAATGCCCCTAAATGGTGGGAGCCTGAACTTATTTCAGCCTGATAGCCTGCAGGGTTTCAGTAAGGAGAAACTTCCTGCTTCTACCTTGCCAGCACTGCTGCTTTTCTCTGTGGCTGCTGTGTGGCTGTCACATCTGGTGGGACGTGGCTTCACGGCTGTGTGTCTGTGTCTCCTGCAGTTCAGAGGCCTGTCATTCACCCCCTTTCCAGTCCGAGTAATATGTTCTGCGTCACCAGCCTGGACCCAGATACCCTTCCCACTGTTGCTACACTCCTCATGGATGTCATGTTTTACTCCAATGGGTAAGTCATGGCAGGGATTCAGGCTCTGGGAGGGCATAAATTCACACTGCCACACCAGAGGGGACCTGCTGCAGCTTCACACTGCTGTGGCGCCTTGTAATTAGGGATGGAGAGGATGGAGGATCAAGAGGGCTGTCCCAGGAGGTGGGAGCCAAGAGACCTCTGCTGGCTTTGCAAAGCTGAGCCTTTTTAGACTTAATCTGAATGCTAGCAGTGTGATCTGCGTGCTGCAAATCCATACGTGACCCAGAGATACACAGCCAGCATGCTACTGTAATGGGATGTGATAGTGCTCAGTGACACTGCCCTAAATCAGTGTCTGAGCACCTCTGGTGTCAGTGGTTGCATCTTCTTTAAATGCCCTCTTCTGGACGCAGTTAATGCTGTTCTCTCCTGTTTCCTCAGAGTAAAGGACTCGGTGGTGGGCAATGAAGACTCGGGACACATTCGCTTTTTCTCCTTTTCTCTCATCGAGGGTTACATCTCCTTGGTCATGGATGTCCAGACACAGCAGAGGTGAGCTTTGGTCTTAAGGTCACCCAAACTCTGGAAAACAACCTAGGGTGTTCTCAGAGGAGCAGGAAGCAGCTTAAGCTCCCACATGTTAATTCTGGGGAGCTTCACTGGGTGCCTGTTACGGGACTGTACACCTCATTACCTTACTGTCCATATCCAGTGTGTTGGTCCAGGCCCAGAATGAAATAACAGCATCATTGGGATCTGAGAGCTGTCTCACTGTTAGAACATGGGAGCAAAGTGATTTTGACATTTTCACTCCTTTTTTTCACAACTTTTAAGAGCAAAAACCCCCAAAAATCTGGTTGAAGTTTTACTGCCCAAAAAACAAAAGCAGAGTGGGGACTTCAGTGATACTGTCCTCCCACTTTGCCTTCACACATAGCTGGGCTCAGTGCAGGCTCCTTGTGATGGTAATACAGTCATACCTGTGCGGCCAGAGCTCAGCTCAGGGCTCGTTAGTCAGACAAGGCAAAAAGTCAGTGAGGGAGCAGACATCAGGTCTGTGTGTGCGCTTCTGCAGCTCCACGTCACAGCAGTCTCTGAGGTCCAGATACCAGGCAGCACAGACAGCACGATGCTCGAAGATACCAGGCATAGATGTGCTTTTGACACGCAGTGCAGTGTTTGGTTTGATTCTTGCCTGCCCTAAGGACTTGTTCTGCAAACTATTAATTGCTCTCTTGGAAATGTCTTAAACCTTAAATGGAGTAAAACTCTGTCTGCCTTCAAGAGAGGCCTGAGGCTTGGAGCAGCAGCCAGTGCTTGGGGGTCTGGGCAGCCACTCACTGCTGTTGGCCTCAGCAAGTCACTTGGCCACTGACCTTCCTTCTCTGCTACAAACTGGGGATCTACAGGGAACCCAGGGTCCTCCTAGGGATGATATGGGAAAAGCACTGATGGTGCTTGGGTACAGGGACAGCGGGCACCACTGCGTATCAAAGAAAGTCATAGGGGAGCATAGAATCAGTAAGGCTGGAAAGACCTTACTAAGTCACCGCATCCCACCATGCCCACTGACCTGCAGTGCTGCATTTCTTGAACCTCCATGGCTCTTGAACACCTGCCACTGTTGCTGGCTCCAAGCAAGGATACAGGAACAGCAGCATCCCTGCGGGCAGCGTCCGACACACCGCTGTGTTTTAATTGCTGTGTTTGGCATTCTCTTTCTTTTGCAGATTTCCCAATAATTTGTTGTTTACAAGTGCATCTGGTGAACTCTGGAAGATGGTGCGGATTGGTGGGCAGCCCCTTGGCTTCGGTAGGTGAACATTTGGGCCCTCAGTTGGTGCAGGGGGAATCGGTTGCCTCAGGGCCTTCAAAAGGGGATGGAAAAATCCATTTGTGTCTGAGACTTTCTAAGTACCAGCAGCTCAACATGACTTTGCAGGCTGAGGTTTCCCAATAGGTGACTCCTACTATTAAGTCAGGCTTCTAAATATACTTTTGAAAGTGCTGCATGCTTGACAGCTCCGCCTAAATTACATCCATCTGCAGGACTTCAAAGGCAGATGCAACTGGGTTTGTATTTAAAGAGCAAAAATGGACAAAGAGGTGGCACAGGATGCACTGCAGATTGCTGAAAGCAGTGGTGTGACAGCACTGCCTTCGGACACCTCTGGGGCTTTGGTATATTGAGTGTAGATCTATGGAAGTCCAAATGGGAGAACAGCTTTATGTTCGATGCTGCAAATGTTTTCTCTGCTCAGAAGAGCATCGACCTAAGAGCACAGAGCAAATACTCACTTCTGCAGAAGTATCCCTCTTACTTTTATGGCCCCTGCAATTTTGAGGAGTTTAATCTGAATTCTGCAGCCAAGAACAAAACACAGGGGCTCCTTCCATGCTTTCTAAAACAGTTAAAAGTACAGACTTCAAGAACATTTCGGAAAAGTTCTAAATATTTTTCATTTTTGGCCAGGTGAACAAAAGTTGTAAGAACACAATTTACCTTCTTTAAATGCATCTCAGAGGCAAAATATGTAGAAGTGACATGGCACGTTTCATTGATGGGGCATCAGGACACCCGCCAGTCCCCTAAATTTGCAACATTTAGATGTGTTAGCTTAGAACCCAGTTGGATTCCAGTCGGGGGAATGGGCAGGGACTCATTTTTTCCATCTCCCCAATAGATGAATGTGGAATTGTCGCTCAGATTTCTGAGCCTTTGGCCGCGGCCGACATCCCAGCCTACTACATCAGTACTTTTAAGTTTGATCACGCGTTGGTGAGTATCCAGACTTCTTCCTTGGGGTAGGGGAGGGCTTCCTGGGGGGCAAACAGTGATGAGAACACCGGTAGCCACCCACTAACAAAGCTCAGCTGGTTTGTGCTCTTCCTTTTGTTTCCTTCCAAGTGCCCTTCACCACATTACTTCTCCTTTCATCACTGCACACTCACTGTCCAATCCTACTTGTGACCTTCAGAAGCTCCAAAGAGTCCAAGGGGTTTTTTGCACTGGGTTTTTTCACCTCGCTTCTTGGGTTTTTCACAGCTGGTGCAAACCATTTGCAGCCCACAGGTCATGTGTGTAAAGAGTAAGAGTAAATATTATTCTAGATAGCAAAGGTCAGAGTGGTGTATGTGTTTGTCTTATTTTCTTGAATATTAACTGTGCTGATAAGATAAGCTAATAAAACACCATTTTAAAATCAATACTGTTAGCTTTGCCTCACATTCCTACCTGCTGCCTGGCCCCGGAGCATGTTGTGTGCACAGGGCACGGGGTGCAGAGTGCTGCTAATTGTCAGGCAGTATCTGGAGAGCTTAAAATAGATGCTTCACTTAAAACTCGGGCCGTGCAATTGTGATGACTCTGCAGCAGCTCCGCCTTTTACAAGTGGCTGCATCCGACCCCACAGCCTGCAGCAGCTGGCAGGCTCTTGTTTGGGCCACGTGTTGATTTCTGTGCATCTTCCTTGTTAAGTCACTGTTTTGTCATTTTCCTTGCTACTTTTTGTTTTCTTTTTGTGTGCTTTTGCACACCTGGATGGCGCCGTTCTGGCACCAAGGCGTGCTGACTGCTGGTGTATTGCAAGCCCTCCTTTGCTTTGTTGGCCAAGACCCTCACCTGGGCTCTTCACTTCCCAAATACCTTAACTTCCAGCAGGTAGTCCAGCAGAAAGGTCCAACTTTCCCAAGGTCTAAGAGCATCTTGAACCTCTTCTCTTCATCCTCTCTTTGTTTAAGGTCGTTCAGTGTTTGCAGTCAACAATTCAGAGTTCTTTGTAAAAACTCATTCCCCTTGCCCCCTGCTTTTTATTCCTGTGCATCTTACGGTGTTTTTTGCTGCTTGGTTTTTCCTGGCTGTTAACACTCAGCTCTCCCTACTGTTAGCTGCAGGAGTGCTCTGGAAGTTGTTCCCTCTGGGAGGCATTGCCAAGATGGGAACCTTCAGCTCTCCATGGCTGGATGAGGTGGGGCTGGGCTGGAGGCAGCTTCCAGCTCCCTGCGGGTTAAGTCTGGAGAGAGACAGTGAGCTTTTCCAGGTGCTCTGCTCCTTTTGCCTCATACTTGGAGGCTCCTTGCTCATCTTCCCCAGCATTTTGCACCTACCGAGGCTGGAGCTGTGGTTGGGAAGCAGTTTGGAGCTTTGCTTTGGCTCTCCCTGTGGATGTGTGATCTGCCCTCTGGCTGCCAAGTAAGCATGTTGCACCAGTTGCCCTCTTCAGGGATCTGGAAGGTCTTGCACAACTGGGATATGTCCCACAGATGAAAACTGTGCACATCTGTCCTGGAGAAAACGAAGCCCAACCCTTCATTGTGTGATTAGTAGTGCCTGGGCATTGAGGGAGCCAGGCAGCATTCAACATGCAGGGAAAAACAATGAAAGAGGCGGTGGAGCTTCATAGTCCTATTTCATGTGATGGATGTTTGCTGGAGTTTTCTTCCAAACCCAGAAGAATTGTCTCTGTGGTGCTTTTAAGGTTATTTTCTTCCTTTCCCAGCAGACCTTTGTTCACACATCATCAGAGTTAGCAGCTCCTGTTCCATCTTCCTGCTGGAAAATTGGATGTTTTTCTTGTTATTTCTCACGAGTTGCTGTTTTTCTTTTTTCTTTTTTTTTTCTCTCAGTTTTGTTAAAAGCTCTCAGAAAATCACAGCACAGCCATATTTCCACTGAGCTCAGAGGGTCTCCAATGAATCCAGGTATTGTGCTCCTGGCCAAGGAGTCAAATACCTTGCAGAGGAAGCAGTCCCTTCATCTTCCCTACCAGTTATGTTGGCTTCCCATAGCTGCTCACAGATCATTTATTTTCCCTCTGTCCCCTTCTCACTTTCCAAGAGCTGTTGGCTGCCCGTCCCCTGAGTGCCATCACTGAATGGAGGCAGTGGTCAGTGCCTCTTGCTGCTGATGGGCCTCTATGTGTCATTATTTTCCTTTCTGCCAATGCCACTCATTCCAGGATCCTCTATGCCTTCTGTTACAAGACACCCACTGGTAATTGTCCAGGTGGACTTCTGTGGTGAAGTTCCATCACAGGGCTGGAATAGAAAGCTCAGGTGCTGTGCTTCACCACCAGTGCTGACCCTCAGCTCCCCATCTCCTGGTGTGTTCCCCACCCACAGCCATGGGTCCAAAATCTGGTGAGTGCCCCCCAGAAGGGCAGGAATCTGGCATTTGGATGCATAACTCAAGTCTGCAAAATGAAGGAGCTACAAAGACCCTGGGAGCTTTCCCTGAATGTCCCCTTTCATAGAATCATTAAACTCGCAAAGACCACTGAGATCATGAAGTCCAGCCACCCGTCACCACCTGTCACTCAGTGCCATGCTTTCCTCCTGTATTTCCTCCTGTGTTGGGAAGTGCAAGAGCAGAGGTGCACAGGGCTTTGCCAGCAGCAGGAAGGACAGGAGGGAGAGGTAGAAAGAAAGTCCCATCACTGCATTTGCATTAGCTCTTCTGAAAAGGAGGGTCCCATAGCTGGAGCCCTGTCTCGCTGAGTTCTGGTGTCCAACAGCATTCCTGGCTCCTTGAGGCTGCTCTGCTCATCTCCTCCTTCTGCCTTTTATTCATCCAACCAAGGTTTGTTAGAACCTGACCTTTCTTGTCTGTTTCTTTGCAGGTACCTGAAGAAAATATAAACGGTGTGGTCAATGCACTCCAAGTCAGTCAAGCTGAAAAGCATTAGAAATCTTCTGAGCTGGTTCCAGATGCTTTTTATTATTATTATAATTATTATTATTATTCTTTTTTTTTTTTTTTCTCACAGTATTTCTTGAAAAATCTGATTCCAGAGAGTGACATGAAAAGAGACTGTGGAAAGTTGAGCAGAAACAGCTCCAAATAGCCTTTGTTTTAATTATTATTATTATTATTATTATTGTTATTTTATTAAATTTCTTTATGAATGAGGGGCAGGAGGAGGGGAGGCCAGGTTGTTTCCTGAGGCTTGGCTCGGGGTGAGATGGAGCTGCCTGGGAACTCCTGTTGTTCCCCAGTATGGGGCGTGGATGGACAGAAGGACACGGATGGATGGATGGATGTGGGCACTGCGCCCTGAGCCCGGTAGCACGAGCAGAGTGGGTGGGCTGCTGGCTGCCAGAGAGCCCTGAGAGCCCTAAAAAATGAAATGTGGAATTAAACAGAAAAGACGTGGCACGGTGCTGGCTTGTCTGCTCCCATCAGGCTGTCTGAGGACTGTCCGTTCTGTGCATGTTGGGTCAGGATGGGGTTGGGGTTCTGTTTCCCCTCTTTGGTACTGGAAAAGGGGAAGCTATCCTGTTGTCTGAACTGTCCCATTGGTCTTTATCCCTGCACTCAGCCTGGCTGCCTGCAGAAAGTCTACGGGGGGCATTGCTCTGGCCCTGCAGGTGACACCATCTTCTGTCTGCTTTGAGTCTGGTTTAGGTCTGTTTTCCCTCTCCCCCTGTGTCCCTACTCCAGGGACACCTACCAGGGCCAGCAGAAGAGAGATTCCTCCCTTCCCATCCCAATTTCAGACGTTTGTGGGGTGCAGAGTGTTGTACGGTGTCCTGATTGCTGCTCCTCTCCTATCCCACATCCTGGGCCACCTCAGACCTCAGGTTGTCCCCACCAGGAGCAGGAGGTCCCTGTTGGGTCCTTCCTGTGGCTTTATCAGCTCCTTCCTCCCCAGGTTTGGGACTTAACTCATGGGGGTTTCCCATTGGCTTCAGATCTATAAAAGCTGAACTGTGCTGAAAACTCCCCCAAAAAACCATACAACACAGCCCACTGCCTGGAACTGATGTCACCCAGGACAGGGAGAAGGAGAAGCCACCTGCACGGAGTCTGTCCTCACAGTCAGGAGCCCAGACATTTCTTGTGTTCCTATTCTTCCCATGGTGGACATGGAGAAATGGCACATGGCACAGCTTCAGTGAGCACTTCCCAGCCTTGCTGAATGAAGAACCTGGTGTGGGGGTCATGAGGCTGCATCCTGCAGCTGCGAGGCAGGGAACTGCAGCAATCTGCAGGGGTTACACAGGCAGGAGGTGATGCTGCAGGTGCGGTGTGTGCTGGTGTTGCTTCCTAAGGAGCAGCAAGAGGAGAAGTACTTGAAACAAGCAACAATTCTACTGAGCCTTAAGAAAAAGTGAAAAAATAGGGGTTTATTTTATTTTTACTTTGATTTTGCACTCAGGATGATTTAGAGGTTGTTTTGGTTGTTCTAGATGTTCCACTTCTTTCCTGGAGGGAAGTGGCCTTAAATTCCCAAAATTGTGGCTGCAAAGCATCACACAGGGCTGTCCCACCCTGCAGACACGAGCCCCAAAAATGCCACAAGGAGCACAACCCCACAAGGGCTCTTTGCGCCCCCCATCACCCTCAGCTTCACCTCCTCGAAGCCTTCCATTTCTCCACAACTGGGGCTATTTTCCCCCTCCTTGCCTTTTTCTTTTTCTTTCTTTTTTGGTCTTTTTCTGCCTGGTTGGATTTCAGCTGCAAATTCCTTTCTCCCGTGCGTGTGCACAAACATAGAAATGCCCGTGGTGATTAGTGTTGGTGTCCTGTACACAGCACATACAGCAAGAGACTCACAGATGCTGTGTGAGTACATGGGCACGTACAGATTTGGTAAATGCTGTATGCACACATCTACTCACTGTAGATTTTTAATTCTGGTGTATCAGCAATAGGAGGACGTGGTCCTGCTCCCTCTGCAGCTGGGTGCCTCGAGCACAGTGATGAGAGAAAAGCTTCTCCTTTTCCTCTCGTCCTTTTCGTTGCTGTGCTGACATCGTGGTGGCACCACTTGGAATCAAGCATCCAAAATCCCTCCATGAAAGATGAGTGACATTGTGCACAAGGCATCGGGGTCCTGTGTTGGTGCAGTGCCAAAAAAAGAGAGCCAGTGGTCCCACCTGGCTGCTGAGTGATTGCTGCTTTCTTGCTTTGGGTTCAGCCCCAGCAGCGAGGTGTTGCAGCCACCGGTGACAGATGTCATTTGGTGATGAGGAGTCCCTTCTTTCTGTCACTGCTGCTCCTGTGTGCATCTCCAGCAGCAGCTGAAGGCATCTCACTTACTGTCCCCATCCTGACTGCAGATGTCAGGCTGGATTAAACTTTTATTACCTGCTAGAGAGCAAAACCTGGTAATCCTTTTGCCAAACAGTATTTACACTGTGTGGTGTGTGCTGGGGCATGTTTACATTGGCTGAGGTGTGCAGCTCTGCCTGAAGCTGTCTCCTCCCATGAGTCCTTCCATCCATCCTGGGCTGTGTGCATCCCATGGGCAGCGGTCGGGGCACTGTGTTGTGGGACTGAGCCCATCTCAGCCCTTTTCCCCATCCCCTGCTCCTCCATCACAGCCCCCATGAAGCACAATATGGTGTAACGCCAGCTGTCAGCAGCACAGGAGAAGGGCCACGTCCTGCAGCACAGCAGAGCATGCTCCTAGGGCTGCTGAGCAGATCCTGTAGCAGCAGCTGCCCCTGCAGAAGCAACACACAGCCCCTGATCCTGGCAGGAGATTCTGACAGGGGAATGAATGAAGTATTGTGAGCCAAGTGTATGACAATTCTAGGTGTGAATGTGCAGAGAAACATACCTCTTGGGAACTGAATAGCCAACAAGTCCCTCTCTCCATCTCCAGCCAGCACCAGCCCCTTCTGCTGGTTAGGAAAATGATGGGACGCGGGGCTGGGGCTGAACGCCGCCATGCGGAGCACACGGCCCCACTGCCCACACTCATTTCTGTGCAGAAGGTGCACGTGGGTTTGGTGTGGCCTGGGGAAACATGATGTGGTTGGGTCCCAAGGCTCATTGTGCACTGCAGGCACTGCAGCGTGCTGCTGGTACCAGAGCTGATGGTGCCACAAGCACAGCTCTGTTCTGCCTCCTTCACTTTGGGGCATGGTTGGATTTTTCCTCTGTGGGTGGAAGTGGCAGAGGCACTGTCCCCTGCATGGCACGTTTGGCAGATGCTGTTGGCAGCATGGGGTTCCCCCACTCCTCTCCCATCCCTGTGCTGAGGCACTGAATCAGCTTTCTGCAATAGCAGCAATCAGCCTTTTTCCCAAAGAACTCCCACCAGCTCTTTTGTAACTTGAAAGAACGCTGTTTTCTGGGCACCATGGCTTTGTGGGGATGCTGGGGGGCATGAGGCGTCCTGTGGTGACATGCAGCAGGACGCCTGTGTGCTTCAAGAGCCCATCTCCCTCTTCCCCACTAACACAGCTGGCCTGTTGGCCCTGGGTTTGTCACTAAAAGGAGGGGTGTGACAGCCCTGCTGCCTGCCTGCTCACTGGGCACCACAAGGGTCAGCGTGGGGGGACTTTGTATGGAGAGCCCCACCACCCCCCTCACTTGAGGCTGTAGTGATTCCAGGGCTGCAGTGCCCTGCTTGACAGCACCTGGGAAGGGTGCAGCCCTGCCCTAATGCCACGTTGGGGTCCCCCCCTGGCTGGAGCAGGGCCTGGCTGATTTCTCTACCCTTAGGAAGCCTGCATTTCCCCAAGGATGCTCACACTGTTGCACCCCATAAATTTCCAGTGAGCTGTCGAGAGAGCAGAGGCTGCCCCACTGCTGCTGCAGGGGGCACACAGCCCTCTGGCTCCTCACAAACCCTTCCCAAGAGCCTTTCCTTGGGGGATGCAAATGATGCATTGTGTTTTTCCCTTTAATTCCCAGCCTAATGCAAACCATTGTGGAGCTCACCCAGACCAGCACTGGGCTGTGCAGCTGAGAGTGGCCGCTTTGCATTCCCAGCGTGCTGCTTTCCTTCACCGGTCTGCTGCTGCAAAGCTGAGGTTTATGTACTGTATGGGGGAAAAAGAAAATCAAACACAGAACACACACAGGAAGATAAAAAAAAAAAAGAAGAAAAAAAAAAGAAAAAAGATCCTAATGTTCCAAAACAAATGACAGTATATTTTGTACTTTGTAAAAGTGTTAATTAAAATGAAAAAGAAGGAAAAGAAAAACGGTGAAACACTGTCTGCTTTCGTACTGATCAAACCAATGGCAATAAAGCAGAGCTTGGCATAAGATGTAGTGTGCCACGTTCCCAGCCACAGGGGTTCACCCAGGTGTTCCCTGCCCCACACTGCCCCACATCAGTGGTTTTTGTCCTTCATCCAAAGGCACAAACGCTGCAGGAGGTGCTGGGGGGGGGATGGGGCTCCAATTCTTATGAAAAGACGAGAACTGGAGGCATGAGTAATGTTATCTCAGCAGTCTCCTGAAAGCTCTGATTATTTTCCTCTGAGTCATTTGTTTTTGAAGGCTCCTGGAGAGAAAAGAGCTTGCAGGTGCCCAAAATATCGTTGTTTTGGGGGGCTCTGAGGCATCCAGCTGTATGGGCACAGCCCTGCTCCAGGCCTTGTCCCGCAGTGCCTGTGGGCTATTTTAAGCCCCAACTGACAGCACAGTGGGGTTCTGGAGGGCAAATTACTCTTGCTAATCAATGCAAAAATCAAGGAGGTTGTGTTGGCATTAATTGGAGCTGTGCCCACGTGAGGGCCCAAGCTGCACCCACCTCACTGCAAGGACCTGCAGGGCTCTCTGAAGGACAAAGTGCTGAACACCACCTCCCAGCTCCTCGCCTTTGAGAGCGGTGAATCTGTAGCTGTAAGCCCTTTGGTGGAGCAGAAGCCTTCCTGTGGATGTCAGAAGTGTCAGGTGTTTACCTTGCACCATCTGCAGAGACTGCACATCAGGGCTGGCCCCACTGAAAAATCATCAGTCACCTCCATAGCCATTCCAATAAATAGCAAATACAGTGGCAACTGGTGTTGATTCCGGGACTCCCAGCTCATCTTTGATCTTCCACACCAGTGAATAACTTGCATGATGTAAATAATGAAGTGACAGGTGCCACATCCACTCTAACAGCACTGGAAAGCTCTAGCCTGGTTGTCTGGATGTAATCACAGCAGTAGTGCCCACCATAAGCAAAACAAAGGACAATAGCACTTGTCAGACCTCAGGATCCACCACTAATCCCATGGCCACTAACCATCACAGCATGGCAGAAAGGATCCACGGCCACCGTAATGAAAGTGCAAACAGTCCCACTGCTGTACAGCACTTCTGTTTCAGGTTAAAGACCTTGCTGGCATTTAATTAACATACAGACTTTGCAATTTATTGCACAGCAAGACTGAAACACAGCCAGGTATGACTTGGAATCAGTTCTCCAAAAGGCCCAACCCCAAAGGGCACCAGGAAACACTTGTGAAAGAGAGCTAACAGCCAGCAGTGATCCCATCCACAACCAGCAATCCTGTAATCTCATTCAACAGCAACAGGCACGAAGGGGGCTGTTACAAACACCCTCCTGGCAGTAGGTTTTGCATTTATTTTCAATGCTTTAATACGCTTCCACGTGATAAAAGGGCATAGCTACTCCCATGAGGTCAACAAGATAAGATAGGCTTGGGCAGCTCAAGCCCGATGTAAAAGGTTTAAATTAAAGCCAGCTTAACAAGAATTCACAGCAGTAAAGGTCCTTCACAACTGAACGTTCACTTCTGCTTTCATGCCAGTGTGGAGGTGCTTCAGCTGACAAAAGATGTTTCTTGCCACAGCCCTGTGCTCCACAAAGCTTCAGTTTAAATGAAGAGTTGCAAGACAGAGCAGCCCTCGTGGGAAGCCAAGCTCAAGAAAATTTCCATTACTACCAATACAAAGACTTTATAATTGCTTTATTAAAAACATTTGCTTGGATTTTGAAAAAAATAGTTTACAAAGTAGAGGTATCTCCTAGAGAGACATACAACAACTCTGCCTGAGGGTTGGAGTATTTCACAGCAGTTTTCCAGTTCAGTGCCTACAAGTTCTGCATCCCATCTCCTTCAGCCTACTGGATCTCAGATGTGCTTCCTGCAAAAGCTTCTCTGCTGAGAAGGTACCAAGAAACCAAGGCTTTGCAGTAACTCTGCTTCTTGCCCAAGACTCCCTCCTCTGACATGCACTGCAGAAGTGCCAGGCTAATTCAAGAAGGCTCTTTGCAACTGAGAACAATCACAGCCCCACAGACAAGAATGATTGCTAGAACATCTAAAAGTCAAAGGCAGCAGTCAAAGTACTGACAAACAGTAAGTGCTGCTCATCGCCACTGCGTGTAGTCAGAAGGGAGCTTTGTTTGCAGCCTACTTCCACTGTCCATCAATCTGTGCTTCCATAGCAGTGGCAATGTAGGCAGCATATGATTTATGTATCCACAATTTCCATAAATTGTCTTATTTAGCAGTACTTTCCCCCTGCAGACAAGTTCTCACTCTCCCAGTTTAATGAATGTGTTCCTTGGATGCAGAGTCTTCAGAGTCCACAGCTGGTGGTGGATGCAGGGGACAGCTGTGCTGGACTCCAACAGCCAGAATGAGTTTTCTTCCACATAAAAACATAGTAACAGAAGAAAAGTTTTCTCTTGAGAAATAGCTTGGCTTAGTCCAACACTGATGTGCCAGAGAAAGCATCCACAAATGAATGTCCTGAGCTACAGATTTCATCTCCTGCCAGTCTTCCCTGAGGGAGGGAGATGCTCTTCATCCTTGTGCCCAGAGGGACTCACCAGCTGTGGGCTGGGTGTCAGACTCTTTGGGAGCCTGCCACAAAGCTGCCAGAGCACTCCCTGCATTTCCACTCTCTTTGGGGAATGTAATTCCTTCCCGCAGCCGGGCTGGAGCGTTTCCACGATGCAGAGATGACAGCACAGCCAGGCACTGTTGTGGCTGTCTCTGCTCACAGTCACCTCTTGCCTGGCTCCCTGGAGTGAGCCTTCCTTTCCAAGAAGCTCTTCGCCACGACCCTCGTCTTCCAAGCACAGTGCCAAGGCTCAGCAATATCACATGAAAGATTTAACCATGCTTACCATGTGATCAACTCCACATGCAACATCCACCACTTCGCCGGGTATAGTTACCTGGATCAGACACACAAGAGCAGACTGCTTCTCAAGATGAGATTTCCTATGCTGTATTTCCCATTTCTCATTCTCCCTTCTGCTTAACATACCTGTGGCTTTTGCAGGAACTTACACCTATGAAAGTATCATCTGGAAAACCCAGAGAAAGCAAGTCTGAGCACCAGAGATGCTCGTGCATTGAGCAGTGAAACATTCCTGTTCTGCCCTCACAAAGTTTTGGAAAGGCAGAAAGGGAGGCCTCACTAGCAGACAGCACAAAAACATGCCCAAACCTGAACGTAACCCAGACAACAGGATGAGGATCTGCCCAAGCACCACAAGGATTAGTCTCTTCTCTCATCAGCAAGGACAGGAGAGATGTAAAAACTCAACTTTGCCTAAGGCAGTTTTTGCTCTGATGTTAGGCAGACCCAGCCCACCCACTAGTCCAGCTATGCCTCTTTCATTTGTAGTGCACTTAAAGCTCAAGGAAAGCAGAGGCTACAAATGGCAAGATGCTAGCTTTTCCTTGGAGCTAAAGGAATGCAGAGATAGCTGTAGAGCAGGACATTACAAAGAGAATGGTAACTGCTCTCACTTTGGCACAGTGATGTAGTAACATCCTGCAGGAGCCAGTTGTCGGAGGGAACAAAACCCTCAAAGCAGACTCAAAAATACCTCCATCCTGGGGAAGGCTAGACAAGGACCTTTGGAAAAGAAAGCAGTCCTACAGTCACCTTAGGTTGCCACTTCTGCCAAAATTACTTAACCAAACTATGTAATAAATGAAGTTTCTTGCCCTCATGATAGCAAAGATGAGCTAAAAAATACACTCTTGGTCTTAACATCATTGTCCTTACCCTCCATGGGAAATACTGGTCTTCCATTCTTCCAATTCCCAGGCACCCTCTTAGATTCTTGCCCCATACAAAGAGTTCTCCTCTGTCTATGCAAACAAAGAATAGAAAAAAAAATAATCAGGTGGAGTCATTAAAAAAAAAAAACAAACCTCTATTTGTGATGTTGGCAGCTGTGGCTATGGTGCTGCTGGGAGTATACAGAGCCCTCTATGTCACTGATAGAGATGTTGAAGAGCACTGGCCCCAAAACCACTGGGGGGCACCACTTGTGTCTCGTCTCCACCTGGACACAGAGCTGTTGACCACAACCCTCCAACCCATTATTTATCCACTGAGTAGTTCAGCCTTCCAATACATCTCTCTCCAATTTAGAGATAAGGATGTGGTGTGAGCCCAGGTCACAGGCCTTGCACAAGTGCAGGCAGCAGCCCTTGTGGGGTAAACAAGGCAGTGAAACCCAACCCAGTCCAACACCTGGACAGTGCTTACTGCCCAACAGGAGAGACTTCTACTGGTAACTGAGGAAAAACAAAAATCACATTCAGCTGTGTCAGGAAGTGACCATTTTTCAATCCTCCTGACATACTGAAGCATGCAGATCAGCTCCAAAGAAGAGACAACCAAAACAAGTCCAGTTTAGGCAGGCTGCAGTTTGTAACACCTTCTGGATAACAGGGGAGACCAGATACAGGCACATCACTTCCCCAGCACTGACAAGCAGTCAGGACTGAGCACTCCTCATTAGCAAAGCAGGGTTTTTGCTCAGCAAGCACACGGGTTTCCTGTGCTGCTGCCCTCTGCTGATCATTTTGAAGTGACCTTCACATCCAAAGCTGCTTTTTAAGGCTGGTGTCAACACATGCATACATATCATGGTAACACATCCTAGCATACTAACTCTTCCCACCTCAGGCTGCTGATGGAATTGGTCAGAAGATGCAAGAAATCCTGACATTCAAACTCTCAGTGTTAGCTTGTCCATCTATCACTGGAATTCTTTTTTCTTCTGAAGTGTAATTGATTTATTCTGTATGAGAAAGTAAAAAACCTGCCTGGCTTTACTGTTTGAAAAAGATTGATTATCTTCTTTTACTAGAAGAATAACACTTTCTAGAACTTACAGTTCATTTCAGAAGTGACAAGTAAGTAACAGACATGTTCACACTGAAACAGGTTTTATCATAGCAGCACCTATGATCAGAGATCACGCTGACTCCTGCAAACATGCTGCCGCTCCTGCTGCATTACAGCGTGGTTTAAGCTTAAAGAAAGGTGGTTTTGTCTGTTAGTTAAGCTGAGAATAGCACGGCCATACGACTTCTTCATGACAACAGGACTAGAAACTTACTTGTAAGTGCTGCAAAGTGGCTGAGCCCACAGCGAACACGAGCAACACGGACATCAGGACTGAAGTCTGACCAGCCAAAAAGGCTGGGGGGGATCATCTCTGGCACTGCTGTTTCAGTTAGGTTTGGTCCTTTCCCAAGAATTCCGTATCCCCAGACAAAAACACTTCCTTCTTCTGCATTACAGTAAGAAGACACTCTGTAATAAAGTCTGTGCTTGTGAAATTCATGCCATGACCAAGAGTTAATCAGATCCAAAGGGATATATCCTCCTTTCTCCCAGAGAGGTCAAACACCTTTTGAATATTCAGAAGTAATAAACAATACATTCCCTTTATTTTTTTTCCCTAAGCTGTGTAGGCCCATCAAGCTTCACAGGCAAAACTTTTATGGGGGAAAAACGCCAACACAGTGCAGGCTGGATAAAATCCTTCAGCTAGAGACTGAATATTTTATTATCACTGCTTATTCCTTTGAGGCACAGCCAAACCTTTGAGGCAGGCTAGCTGCCCTGCCTGCCATTCTCTCTTAAAAGGCAGCAGCTGGACAGCGTAAGACAGAATAAGATGCTATGACTGCCAGCTTTGCTTCCTTCATGCTAGAAGCTCAAAAGTCTTCACAGTAACTGCACTGTAAGTGGGAATGTCTTCATCAAGAAAATCCTTCCTCAAAGCAGTGCAACCCTTTCCCTTGCTCCTTTATTCAGGATCTTTCTTCAAGCTGTGCTCCTCACACTGCTGGCAATCCCAAGAACATCAGCAAGAATTTTCAGAACTCTCTGCTTTCTAGTCTGCTTTATCAAGATTTATTTATAAGTCTGACTTATAAAGGCCTGCTCCTCCTTCTCAAGTGTTGCCTTACTTCTTTCCTATATCCACCTTCATTATAGGCCACCCATATGATCAGAAAACAAGGGATCAGAAAGGATCTCTAGTTCACTCTTAAATCATAGTGTTCTCATCATCCAAGCTTTTCTCATACTGACAGAAACTCCCTGCTTCTAGAGAACAAGAAGCTGGCTTCAGTATGTTATAACCCACCCACTGCATGGCCTTGCATTAAAGAGGATGGCTGTAAAAATCAACTCACCAGTTAGCACAATGTTGCCAGTACCTCCACACGCAGCCTCCTTTATCTTCCCAATCTTGAAAGGCAAATGTCTGGGAACGTTCACCTGCATGAGGTTGCAAGAGTTCTTTCAGACAAGGTACTAAACTGGGAAACACCTCAATTTTTAATGCTTTCTATAGTTTTAGTTACAGGCAGTACCTGCTGTTCTGTAATTTGCACATTACCTATGTGATAAGTAGAAGTCCAGCTTTAGCAAAGGTGCCATTCAGCTACCTCAGCCATAAGCACCCAGTCAGGCAGCCACTACACTACTTCTAATAGTCATTGTCTTCAGGCCTCCCAAGCCTCAGTAATTAGCCCTACATTAATGACAGACAAGGAGTAGCATAAGAAACAAAGTGACATATTTCACTAGGGCCACCCTAACATGACTGCTTGCTCTTAGCTTTCTGCCAGGAATAGCAGAGTATGAATGAATTCCCTGACTCTGTTTCTACACTAACTCTAAGAGGAGACCATCTGTCTAATTACATCACTGCTACAACACTTGTGTGAAGTCAGCACTATATTCTTTACCCACAGAAGTTTGCTCCAACAAGCTTCTATGTGCAAAAACCTGGGACTTGTTTAGGGCCAACTCTAAACTTACTAAGGGAGCTGGTGTAAAAATCCAGGCCCATGGCACAGAGTTCAACATTATGAACTGCATAATTAAAGAACCTAATTTCCCTGCTGTATAATACATATCTATTAACAACACCTTGATTTTAAAAGTTATTAAAACCATATACTCCCCCCACCCCCCATCTTTATTTCTTTCTACAGATCCTAAGATTGCCTCATTAAAGCATCCAGCACAAACACTAAGCTGCATCTCATTGGGTGCAAAAGCAATGGGCTGAGGAAAAGAACACAGTGTGCTCTACCCCATAACAGACAAACAAACTGGGATGAGGTAACCCAAACCTCTGCCTATCAACAGCTGGGAAACATGCTGCCCTAAAGCTATACAACCATTTCAGACACACTGGTTTCGTAAACCATTGGGAAAATCAGCTTGCTAGTGGTGTTAGTTTATATTGATTTATACTGCTGTCAAAAAAAGAGCTGAGAGAAGCACTTAATTTTTAACTGCAGCCTAACAGAAACATGTGAAAACAAGGCCCCCAGGCCAACTGACCTGTGTGGTTTCTGTGACAGATGCCAACTGCAAGTATTCTGAATTTCCCCAACCAAAGAGGTCTCCCTCATCTGAAACAGCCAGACAACAGTCCCCATAGGAAGAGACTTGGATAATGTTCACTCCAGCAATGTCACCACCTAGCTTAGTTGGAACACTAGTGATATTGTAGTGTCCAAGACCTGAAAGGGGAAAAAAAAAAAGAGCAAGATGATTAAGAATATTTTTCCAGCCATTCTTTAATTCCTACACCAAACACACTTCAATGGACAAGCAGCCACAAACACCAGCTCCACTAACCAAAGCTTCTCTCTCTGAAATACAGAACAACTTTATACAGCCATACACAGGACACAGCCTAGGCCCTCATCTCTCTTGTCTGCATGGACTGAAGAGTTTGAGAGCACTGAACAAGCCAAGCAGATATCCTGATGGAGGCAAAGTCCCACAGCACTGTGCCTTCTGCAAAGACAGCCAGGAGTGACAGCATACACTGCAATCATTTTGGACAACAGCAGGAGAAGTGGCAAAAAATGCTGGGAAGCCAGCAGATGATGTGACAGCTGCTTGGACAGGAGACCAGAATGCAGACAGACCACATAGAATCATAGAATCACCAAGGTTGGAGAAGACCTAAAAGATCACCCAGTCCAACCATCCACCTACCCCCAATAGCTCCCACTAAACCATGTCCCTCAACACAACATCCAGTCTTTCCTTGAACACCCCCAGGCTCGGTGATTCCACCACCTCCCTGGGCAGTCCATTCCAGTGCCTGACCACCCTTTCTGAAAAGTAATACTTCCTCATGTCCAGCCTGAATCTCCCCTGCCGTAGCTTGAAACCATTCCCCCTGGTCCTATCACTAATGACACGAGAGAAGAGGCCGACCCCCAGCTCACTACAACCTCCCTTCAGGAAGTTATAGAGAGCAATAAGGTCTCCCCTGAGCCTCCTCTTCTCCAGGCTGAACATTCCCAGCTCCTTCAGCCTCTCCTCATATGGCCTGTGTTCCAGACCCCTCACCAGCTTTGTTGCCCTTCTTTGAACACGTTCCAGGGCCTCAATATCTTTCTTGCAGTGAGGGGCCCAAAACTGGACACAGTACTCGAGGTGCAGCCTCACAAGTGCTGAATATAGGGGAACAATCACCTCTCTGCTCCTGCTTGCAACACTGTTTCTGATGCAAGCCAGGATGCCATTGGCCTTCTTGGCCACCTGGGCACACTGTCGGCTCATGTTCAGCCGAGCATCAATCAATACCCCCAGGTCCATTTCCTCTACGCAGTCCTCCAGCCACACCGCCCCAAGCCTGCAGCGTCGCCTGGGGTTGTTGTGGCCGAAGTGCAGGACCCGGCATTTGGCCTTGTTGAAACTCATCCCATTGGCTCCAGCCCAGCTCTCCAGCCTGTCCAGGTCCCTCTGTGTGGCCTCGCTACCCTCAGGCAGATCCACACTTCCAGCCAATTTGGTGTCATCTGCGAATTTACTGAGGGTGCACTCGATGCCCTCATCGAGGTCATCAATAAAGATATTGAAGAGGACAGGCCCCAGCACCGACCCCTGGGGAACACCACTCACGACCGGTCGCCAGCTGGATTTGACTCCATTCACCACCACTCTCTGTGCCCGGCCCTCCAGCCAGCTCCTTACCCAGCCAAGAGTGTACCCATCCAAGCCTCTGGCTGCCAGCTTCTGTAGGAGAATGCTGTGGGAGACAGTGTCAAAGGCTTTGCTGAAGTCTAGGTAGACCAAATCAACAGCCTTTCCTTCATCCACCAGATGGGTCACTAGATCATAGAAGGAGATAGTATGCCTGCGTGACAGAACTGCAGAAAGAACCCAGCTTCAGGAGCAGCAGAAGGACTAAACAGCAGGAAGGGCTCAGAGAAAGTCCTTTGCCAGCAAGAGCCACCAGAAGAAGGACCTGGCCAAAGATCCCATGCTAAGACAGCAGCTGCAGCCAAAGATCTCTGTTAGTCCAAAGCAAAAGACCCCGAAATGAGAATCGTGAAGCAAAGAAAGTCTGCATGGAAGCAGGGAGCTAACTTTCACATGCCACTGCCAGATAACCTCCCCTCCAGCTTCAAGCAGCAAACACATCCTCCTCAGACTGCATGCTGGGACTGACAGCACGGTATCTGGAAAATGAACTGAACTGCTGTGTCTCTGTGGCTACATAAGAGTACTGAGAACATCTGCACACAGCTGGAAACACACCAGCCCCCTTCCATCCATACATGCAAGACAAATTAAGCTCTGAATTAAGAGCTTGCATTTTAGTGAATGGATGAATATAGCAAGCTGAGCTCCTACCTGTTTGCCCATCAGCTCCCCAACCGCACGCAAAGACAGCGCCTTTCTTGGTTCTAAACAGACTGTGGTCCTGCCCACACACAACCTGCACACAAACAGAAAGCCAGACCTGGTCAGGAAAGGTCATGTGTTCAGAACTGATTCACTGAAACATTACTGGCAGACAAATTGAGCAATGAACCTCTACAGCGCCCATCAGCTCAGATTTTGACCTTTCTCTGCAAATGAAAGTGCTCTACAGGCTACAAACAGCATGATACAACACAAGAAACAGCACAGCTTTCTTTGTGGGAAGTCATGCTGCAGTTGTTTTGAGATCCAGAACAAGGCTTAGTTAACAGAAAGCCAGATTCAGCAGTGCAACATAATAACAGTAAAGAATAAATAAGAGATTTCCCTTCTCAGAATGCTACCACACAGCTCTCAATGCCAGTTACAAAGTGCTACTGATCCCTTGCCATGCACATGCTCCAGGAACACAGCTGTTCTCAAATCTAGGTTTACACTGAACCAGCAATCGTATCTGCCACAGGTTTGGCACAAATTAAAGTCAAGCTCTTCAAAAATAGAGCCTAAAACTTTGCCAAACATCAACTCACAATTTAAGAGATTGAGTACCAGAAATTTTAAGCAAGCAGATGCTGCAAAAGTACAAACAGGTACCAATGACTCAATTCCCCTGAGAAAAAAACCTTAGAAAAGCCTACCTCTAAGCACAATTAGGACGTGCAATGTTCTCTCTGACTGCTGACAAATACATCATCCTTGCCTTTGAGGATGCTGCACAAGCCAGAAGCAACACCTATACACAAAATACTACTGTGGCAGCACAGCCTACTACTGCTGAACTGCCCCTGTGCCTGGAAATGCTGCAGCTGTGTGAGGAACGAGCATTACAAACAGCCTTGTGCAAACCCTCAGCAGGCCCCACAGTTCACTTTTGAAATAAAAAAGACAAAATTTGAAATAAAGCAGCTCCCCTGCGAGCAGGACTCCAATGGAATTAATGAAGGTGTTTCATAGGACTGGACCCAGCACTGAGCCCAGGACAGACCACCAGATGATGGCCTCCAGCCAGACTTCACACCACTGATCACCATGCTCTGGGCTTAGTCACTCAGCCAGTTTCCCACCCACCTTCAGATTTAGATTCAGAAGATCCTCTTACCTGGACAACTCTGCTGTCAAAATCATTCAGTTGATGAATTAAATGGCTTTCACTGGATACCATCAAATAGCAACCGAGAAGATAAAAGGCAAAGAGAGCATTTCAGAGGACTGCAACTGAAGAATGTGAAGGCAGACCTCCCTTTACCCAAAGGTCACTTTGCTGTTTGAAGAAGAGAGTCTTTCATGCTCTTATAGGATCAGAAAGCACAGTTCCACTGAACAAAAAAGTGAACTGATTTTGCATTCTCTTCTCCTAGAGAGAAGAACAGATGCTTTTAAAATATAACCTTTAATGGGAACTGGGGGTGGAAGTCCTCAGACACATTCCCTAGCCTGGAAAGAACACTGACAGTAGATAATACTGCAGCACCTGCATAAACACTATGCTTACCTACAGACTAATTGAAATTAGATCCCAGAGCACAAACAGCAGTGTTAGCATTCATTTCACTCTTTCATAAAAACAGGAATTCTGAACAGTACCTTGATTGTACTGTAATACCTCTGAACACTTCCAGTATCAAGGTGAAGAGCAGCTAGCTAAATTACAGCTATTGCCTTAAAGCTCCACAGGCCAAGTCTCATGGATCACACAGCAATCTGCAAGACCTCTTCCAAGCCCAGTGATGGAATCAGTAACTTCCAACACATTCCCACTTAGATCACTACTCTCTTGTAAGTATTTTGAGAATGCATTTTGTGGCCCATAAACACACCGTCAAGGAAATGAGTCCAGCCTCAAAGGCAGTCACAGCACAGAGGTCCAACAAAAGGATGACTCTTCTGTGATGAAATGGCATTTCTAAGACCTCCCCCCCCCCTCAGAAGAGCCACTTACACATCCCCTCTGAAAGGCTGAAGGAAAAACTACTGATACAGATCACCTCAGGCTATTTATGAAGGCTGCTGTTCCTCCCTGTGTCCTGTGAAAATTGTCAGATATTGACTTTTTTTTTTCCTGTTTTATGAACGTGGTAAGAAGAATGCTCGTGTCCAGCCTGGCTTTACAGTCAGGCCCTTTTTGCATGATGCCTGCAGCATAAAAGCCTGCTCAAGATTAAGAACAGTATCCTTATACCACCTACAAGCTTTCCTGAAAGGTTCTTTTCATGCAACAATGCTTTTAAGGTTAACAAAGTTCCAATCATTTGGATTCTCACCTGTAAACTTCATCTTCAACAACTTTCCGACCGCACTGTCCATAAGAATTGTTTCCCATGGTGAAGACTGAAAAACAATGATAAAACACAGCAGTTTTGTTGCTGCCCAACCTCACAAAAGCTTCTTTGTAGGTACATAAGATATATTAGTAAAGCCCTCAGTATGAAAGTTTAAACACAGCACTTGAAAACTGGGCAGAAGCTTCCTCCCAGCCAAATCCTCTTAAAGTCAAGTGACTGAATCCATTTCAGCCAACAATAACCAGGAGCGTTGCTGCAGCAGTACCTGGAGCCCATTGGCTGTCCTTCAGTAATTGCACAGCCCAGCCTGCCGTTGCCAAGGAGACTCAGGAACAGATCAGTGCTCCCACAGGAGTGTCACATCCACCATGCAGCTCACTGGCAATCAGCAGCACTGAAGCCACTGCTCCAGAGAGTCAGCACGGAGGCAGAACGCCAATTCACACAGCAGACCTTCTGCACAGAGCCCGACTCATTCACTGCTTTTATACATGCAGCACTGGGGCTCCACAGGGAAAGTAACACAGAACTATTGGCATAGCTATGCAAAAATGAATTCAAAAACATATCTGCCCAAACAAGACAAACAGCCTGCACTTAAAGGAGGCCTGAGGCTAGATAAACAAACCGTATTTTGCAATACTTGCAGTCAAAAAGCATCCAGCACATTTACAGCTTCAGCCAAACAGCATGCAGAGCACAGCATGATTATCAGCTCAGGCCTCTGCTTCCTGGGAGCAATCCCACAAAGACCTGCATCACACTGACAGTGCAGGCAGTGCTTCTGGGATCTAGTTCTAGAGGACATCAGACAATCTTTTTCAAGTCTTCAGTGAAAGCACAGTCAGTCCCTTGTTACCAGCATGAGCAACACCGTACCTCCTTCGCTGTCTGTCAGGATCAGGGAATGAGCTCTGCCACAGGACACCTGCAGGACTCGAGTCTTCTGTGGCTTCTCCAGAGGTAATGGGATTGGAGATGGTTCTAAGACATATTCATAGCCTTTGGCTTAAGGAAGAGAGAGAAATAAAGAAGTCAGTTGATTCTATAAAGGAAATTCATCATATATTTGTTGACTATACTGTACATACACAAACAGATTCCTAGTCAACACAAAAGGAAACTTATTTTTGAAAGCTAGGATGCTAATCAAAGTAAAAAGGGGGGTGGTATTCATCAATGGGAGAAAAAGATTAAAAGAAATAGGGATGGCTGAAGCCATCCTGAAGAATCACTGCCTAGCCAAAAATCCACCATACATGGACAGTGAAAGTTAATAAAGCACCAGGAGGCCAGAACTGGGAAACTGAGGCTTTCAGCCACACACTCAATCATTTTGTTGAGTACGTTTGGATCACTAGAAAGCCTAACACCGAGCTCAAACTAAAGCACTCTGTACAAATGGGGATACTGCAAACAAGGTACAATAGCAGACACCACAAAAAGACAGCATGAAAGGCAAACAGAAAATCTTAGGGCTTCATATTTAAAGAACAATAGCTTAAAGGCCCTTTCAGAAATTGGCACGCAAAAAACAATAGCAAGCACAGCTCCATAAGGGATGAGAGATCTAAGGTTCAAGAAGGAAAGTGACAGGCTGTATTAAAAAAAGATTTAGTAACTTGAAGAATGTGTAATCAGTTACAGGCAACTGGGGAAAAAAAATGAACAGCAGAACATAGCAACTGCTAGGCAAAAGGTTAAGGGGAGATAAAAAAGCTGTGATATCAAAGACTATAACAGGTGAAAGCAAATTCCAGAAGACTCAATACAGTATTCTGCTCACATGTAGCAGCATTTTAACTAGCTCTCACTGCTCAGTTAGAAGAAGAACACCTACACCTGCTCTAAGTCAGGTCTAAAGTCTATGGTCTAAGTCTATCTGTCTAAAGAGACAGGGATGTCACAAAACAAAACCCCTTTTTCTCTCTGTTCCTTCCAGTTCAGCCTACTGGGATCTGTGGTAATGAACTCACTATCATCACTGATGGTATCTGAAGGACGTGAGAGGAAAACAAACAAGGTGGCTAAGGCAGATAGGGCAAAGATAAAAATGTAAGTTTAGCTTAGAAACAGCTGATTCTACAGCACGACATACAGCCATCTGGAAACCAGAAGGTTTAGGTTCCCTGTGAAACAGCTCTGTGGGGACACAGCATTAGAATTAGCAGCTATCAAAGCTAGGCTGCAAAACCAAGGAACAAGCAGCCTAGCCAACAGAAAACTTGTCTGTGGAAAGTTAAATGTGGAACAGAAGCAACCTCACTGATCTGCACATCACTTTCAACAGCTCCCACAAAACAGTGTGCACTCCCTTACTTAGAAGGGCTTGAACTGCAGAACTATTTAACCTTTTTCTGGACTCTTTAGCAAAAAGAAAAATCAGCATGAAATAAAAAAAAAAAAACTAAAGACAAGAGGACACTTCTGAGACTTGAACAGTTACAGAAATAAGGCAGAGCAAGAGCTGAAACCTTAAAAAGCAAAACTGAGTGGAGGCTGCTGTCATTTTCCTGCTGCTGTTTAAGTGCACAGACTTCAGCATTCTCCACAACAGCAGTTATTTTCTGTTGGTTTGCCATTAAGTTTAATTTCTTGCCTATAACAGACATGTCATACCTTGATGAATTATGCTCTTACAGTTTATGAAGAGGAAAAACTGGTTATAATGCGTTTTTTCCTAACTGTTTAAAGAATATTTTCAAACAAATACCTTTTAAGGAAAGGAAGCTCATGGTTTTTGATATCTGGTTTAGGTGGAAAGTGACAGCTTTCTCACAGAGATAATAATCTTCATGTGTTTGAGAGTTTGGTATAAGACCAAATGTTTGAATAATGCATTTTCCTTTCAAAATTCAATTTTGTATGAAAATAAAATAAATCAACAGTGTCACAAAAAGCCAACACTGACATTGTCAAAAAATCTCCATGTGAAAGGAAATTACTTTACAGATGCAAAGGCAACAGAAGGGAGCAAACCATCTTGCCAAAATCATTTTAATAACTGGTCCATCATATTATCTGTAGACTCAACAAAAAGGTGCTTCCATTTTAGTTATCTTTTAGGCAAGAATATAGGAACAGCGCCTAGAAAAGATGGATGGCTTCCATACCTACTTACAAACCATGAAAAAACACAGCTAAGTTCAAAAACCAAAAAAACATGTAAACATGTTTGTATGGCCCTATGATCTGCATCAAAACCTCCAGCAAATTTTCTACACCTTCTCATCTCAAGTTTCCCTCATTGTGTGCACCCCACAGCGCTGCCCTGTAAGGCCTTACGACACCTCAATCCTTACTTCTGTCTCTTATGCTTCTCTGAAATCCAAGCTGGGAGTCCTTGTTCAGGCCCATGCCCCACACTTTGGTGATGTCAGTGGTGTTAGAAGACAGCAACGTGAATCCATAACCACAGGCAGCAGAGGTTATCTTTGAAGACAAACAAAAAGTAGCATTCAGTAATAAGCGTAGAAAAATGAATCACAGAATTGTTAAGGTTGGAAAAGACCATTGAGATCACCAAGTCCAACCACCAAACCAACCCCGCATCCCTCAGTGCCACAACCCCGCAGCTCTGCAACACCTCCAGGGACGGTGACTCCACCACCGCCCCGTGCAGCTGTGCCACTCTTTCAGAGAACAAACATTTCCTGATCTCCAAGCTGAACCTCCCTCGGCACCACTTAAAGCCATCACCTCTCATCCTCTCGCAGTTACCCGGGTGTCCGACCCCCATCTCACACCTCCTTCCAGGCACTTGAGGAAGCTCAGAGAACACCTCACTGCTCCCTGCTCCACCCTGACCCAGCCCAGCCATCACACCTGTGCTCCAGACCCCTCACAGCTCTGCCGCTCCCCTCCTCACCCGCTCCCACGTCCTCCTCACAACACAAACCCAACGCATTGACAAAGCGGTTCCTACAGCAGGAGGCGCACGACAGCGTCTGCGTGGTTCTAAATCCCCCCGGAGGAGCCCGAAGCCTCTCCATCTCCGACACCCTCACAGCGAACGACGCGTTCACACGGAGCTTCCCAGTCTCCAGCTCCCCGGCTCCCCGCCCACCTTCTCCTCCGTTTCCAGTCGGTAAGGCGTCGCTTGGATCCGCCGCGGCTTCTTCCAGCCCGCGTCCGGCTTCACGAAGCTGGGCACGCCCAGAGCGCCCGAGTAGGAGAAACCCCACACGAAAACCCGATCCTTCCGCTTAGCCGCCTTCCCCACGTACTGGAAGATCGGGGCGGCCTCATCGGCTTCCCGCAGCTGCCTGGTGCTCGGCGGCCCCGCGGGTTTGGCCAGGCCGCGGCACGGAACTGGCGAAAACCCCGCTGCTCTCGGCGCCCGCCTCACCGCCAGCGCCGCCATCTTGGCGACCTCTCACCTGCGCCGCCGGGCGCTGTGCGCACGTGCCGTACAGAGCGCTCCTTCCGCTCCCCTCGTCTTAAAGCGGCAATGCCGGCCATCTCAGAGGGCGGGCCCCGCTCAAACAGAGACCCCAACCTAAACCCAAAGCCAGAACTTGGCCCAAACTCTGCCGGCGTCGCCGCAGCAGGGCCGGCTGCGGTGTCACTTCACATAACCCTCGTGTTCTGCTCCCCGCTGTATGGCAGTGCCATCCCCCACCATGCTGGGTCGCTCTGTGACGGCCAAGGGCCACCTGACGTGGCAGCACTCAGGCTGCGAAGGGGCAGGAACGGCCATGCGGAGCCCTGCAGCCCTTTGAGATACCCTGCCCCCATCTCACACCCCACCACCATCTGGAGCAGCTTAGCCTCATGGCCTCCTCACATCATAGCCGCCTCCTCATGGCCACCTCACTTCAAGGCCTCCTCACCTCATGGCCGCTTCCCCTCAAGCAACTTCACCTCATGGCCGCTTCACCTCATGGCCGCCCGAGGCTCAGCTCACTCCTCACACCTGCACCTCCAGCCCCAGTATCCCACTAGAGGGAGCAAAGAAAGCTTTCACCAGAGAGCTTTCACTATTTAACCAAATTGGTTCAGCATAGATATCTTGTTTATTGATCAGTTGTCCACACACAGCGTGAAAGCGTTGAAATACACGTATAAAGTGTCTCTTTATGCTACGCTGCTTTTTGTACACGTTATTTAGGGTTTTCTCACAGTGATTGAAGCCCTGGCTGCACTCTCAGCGCAATGCTGGTAACTGTTAAAAACCAGAAGAAAAAAATCATTCAGAATACAAATAAGGGATAAAAGCGAACCTGCTAGTGATGAGAAACCTGGGCTGTGGGAAGGCTCAGCCCAGAGGTGCTGGTGGAAGTGCTCACACTGCTCCTTGGGGCACCTTGGTGCTGGGGGGTTAACACTGAGCTTGGGCTCACAGCTGCTCTGGGAGGCACGCAGACCCTCAGCCTGGCTCGGTGCCCCCTCTGCACAAGAGATAAAGCATCTGCTCGCAGGGTTTGGAGGCTGAGAGCCTCACATGATCTTCCTCCTGGTACTCTCTGTGCAGCGGTTCATGATGAGGTCTTTGCTGGGCCGGGGAGGAACCGCAGGCTGAGCCTTTGACTTGTTCTCTTCTTGCTCATTTTTCTCAGCTGTGGATGAAACACACGTAGAGATGGGTCAGAGCTCTGCACAACCCCACACCTCCATGTGCTCCTCCAGGTCTTCCTGTGAAAGGGCAGAGCTGGAGGCCACGCTGCCCTATAAGGGCAGCCCATGCCTGGGGCCACAAAGTGCAAAGGGTTTGAGAGAAAAGAAGACTTGCTTCCTCCTCCCCCCTACATCTTTCAGAGTGGTACAGAGATTCTCAAGTCTATTTGTTTATGCCACGCTGCCAGCAACCAGTGTTGGAGAGCATGAACCATGTCATAAAATCATAGAATAGCAGTCCTGCAGGACTTCAGTCCATGTCTAGGTCAAGGACCCTGCTGAGACTTACAGATTATGTCCTTGTTCTGCAAATTGCCCCTCATGTTCCTCCGGTTCTGCATGTACTTCTTGCTGTTCCTCCTGTAGGTTTCCTGGCTGATCTGCTTCCGTCCCTTGTTGTGGATACTCTTTGCATTGCGGATGGTGGATCTGCAGCAAGTCAGAAATTAAATGTTCCGTTTCCATAACCACAGCTCTCACTCACACAGTTTCCCTCCTCGAATCCCCAGCCCTGCTTCTGTACACTGTGCTTCCTGCTCTACCTTGCCTGAACACCCCTACCCACTTTTCATTTCCACTTGACAGAAGGCAGCAGGTGACTGCCAGCTCCTGGGGGTGAACTGCTGTTAGGAAGCAAAGCTTTGGAAGCATGTGCTGATGGTGAAACCTGAAGCCTGGAAAGTGAAGGTGGGGATGGCAAGGCAGATCAGACACAATGCCGAAAAGGGCAGGAGAGGCACGAGGTTTTCCCCAGAATTCAAGAAACTCCTGGAAGAGATGTACAACGTTGCTTGCAGGTGGGTGGATGGATGGATATGGTATCTATGCTGGCTGCAGCACTGAGCTTCCCTGTATGGGATCTGGGGGCAGAGCCTGGGACAGGTGCCTGTGCAGCTGTCTGCTCAATGCTGTGCCCGCAGCAGACACCACAGAGAGAAGTGAAAGACTGAGCTCTGAGCTATGCAGAGCCACACTGCTGTGGGAAAGCCCCAGCATGCAGGGCAATCCCCAGGCAGGCAGACAGAACCATTGCTTTGTTGTCACGACCAGGATGAGAGTGGCAGCTTCCACCACCCACGGCACCATCCTGCTCTGCTGCAGGCACCTGCAGTCCTTTGCCTTCAGCCCCTGCCTAGTTTCAGCGCGTGCCCCATTTTGTAGCCAAGCTCTTCCTCACCACAGTGGGAGTGCTGTGAGCCCGAATTCATGCTGTGGCCATTCCTGGTAAGCAGCCAGTTCCCACCTGCTTCTGCTGTGCGCTGCCATCAGCAGTGCCACAGGGGCAGGTCACTGTCCTCCCCAAGGGTATCAGTAAGCATCAGTGCACTCAAATAAGCGGATTTGTACCATTTTACACTGCCTCACCATCAACCCATGCTGCAGCAGAGCCGGATTTTGAGAGATTTTATAGAAGGCTGCCTTGTTTTCTTGTGGGGGAAGAAAAGATCCAGGCAAGCTCTGCCCTTTTTAGCCATTGTCATTGCATCAGAATTAATGAGCTATTATTGCTTTTTATCTTTTTAATCAAAATAAAATCCCTTCCATTAGCTCAAATCCTCCCATCAGATTAGGCCATTTGGCAGCCCTGATTAGTCAAATCTCTCCCCGCTTCTCAAAGATTCAGTGGATGCACTTAGGGGAAAAAAAAAAAAAAAAGAAAAAAAAAATCTAATTTGAAAATTAAACGAGATTAGCCCAGAAAAGAAACTCTGCAGAAGGACAAGGAGAAATGCGCCTGCCTGATCTGGGCTGGCTCTGCTGCAGTCCTGCAGGATCTGCTCCTGTTCTCTCTGCTCTTCTCACCTTTCTCCTCTCTCTGCATTGCCAGGGTGAACAGGGGACACCACACACCCAAAAGTTTCATTTCACCCTCTCGAAGAAGAGCTTTCACCCTCTTCCCTCCCTCCCTCCCTCAGCTCATTTCCTACCTCCGGGGAGGAATGTTGTGGTTCCTCAGCCCACTTTTCTCGGGAGTGTTCACCTCCCCAGATTTCTGCAGGTACATGGAGGGGTAATAGCCTGTGGTTTCATCATTCCTGCAACACAAAGCAACGCTGCTTGTTCTCCAGAGCACAAATGCAGCTGGGATTCCCCTGGGAAAGTCCAAAACTACAGAGTGAGCTAAGGCTGGGATGAAAGCTGAGGATTCACCAAACAAACTGTGCCAGAATACTCAGAGGCAGGAAAAATAACAGATGCACTTTTTTCCATCTGCTGCCTCCTTGGTGGTTGCACTTAGCAAAGCCACAAGGCTACTAGAAGTCCTGCAAGAGAAAGCATTGTGCAGCAGCACCAAATGATGCACAGATGTCACGGCCCTGATGTGGAGAACCTCGGGTCCATCCCATTGCCTGCTTTCGTGGTGTTTCTCACCTGACGACCCACCAGCCATCAAGCAGCTTGTGGATCACCTCGATGGTGTCACCCTCCTTGAGTGTCAGCTCGTCCTCCTCCACAGCCGTGTAGCTTTTCTGCACCATGTACAGCTCACCTGCACACACACAACTGGGACATCACCCCCAGCAATGGGGCTCAGCCTCTCCTTCACTGAGCAGAGGAAGCACCAGAGCATCAACCTGCAATTTTAGGCAAACCCAGAGTGTTCCAGGTCTCCAAGACTGGGCTGAGCTCTGCTGGTGCAATAGCTGCACCACGTCCACCCAGCACCTCTGCAGGAAAAAGCTGGTGAGTGCAAATAGTGAAAGGACATTTATCTAGGCTGAAAAGCGTGTTTATAATTTGGGTGATTAAATGAGGAACAAGGAAGTGCTGTGCTGATAGAGTGGCAAGAGTGTTTTGAAAACCACAAAGACGAAGCCCTGATAGCAATGAGCAGGAAGCTGCAGGACCCCTCCTGCTTGGCACAACAGGGAGGCGGGACAGCAGGGCAATAAGGGGAGTGCAGGAGCTCAGTGCAATGGAAAGCCTGTGCTGCTCCTACAGCGTTATCCCCGTGCCCAGAGGTCCTGCCTTGCAATGAACTGTCCTGCAGAGGGGTGATGCTCTTGGGAACGCTGTGGTTTTCTGAGTGTTTTACCAGCATAGTTGGGCTCCTGCTCCTCTGATTCATCAGGACCATCCATCGGCTCCAGGTAGGCAGCTGGCACCCAGCCCCGCTTGTTCTTTAACTGGCAAAACCACCAACCTGCAAGGAGAGCAGGGTGGGCAAGAGCAGGGACAGCGTGGAGGCTGCAGGAGCGGCCAGCAGCAGCCGTGTTCCCCATCCCGTGTTCAGGAGTTCCCATGACATCCCCTATGACACATCCGAAAGGGCACTGGGGCTGTTCTTTGTTTTTGTGGTGGTGTAACTGGGGAGCCCGGCCACTTCATGCTGCTTCCTCTTGGGCAGGAACCGTTCCAGGCTGAGGCACATGAGGAGGCTGCAGGGTTTTCTAGGATTGCCTCACAACCCCACACCCCGACCAGAACCGACCGTCACAGGGCTCCATGTGAATCGGGAAGCGCTGACAAGTTTGGCGCTGGGCCTTTCCATCAGCAGCCCCTCACAACCTTTATTGTGGTAAGTGACACCATAGGGACACAGTGTTTGGGTGTAAGGCACAAAGGCTGTCCCCACCCCTGCTGAGATGGTGGCCAGGAACAGGGCTGGCCCACAGCAGCATGGACACCTACCAGTCTCACTCTTCTCCACGACGTCCACGGCATCCCCAGCTTTTAGAGCCATCTCAGGCTTGGAGCTCTTCTCGTAGTCGGCGATGGCTCGGTACGTCTGCAGGACGATGGGGCCTGTGATGTCTGTGGGAGAAAAGAGAGACGTTCCCTCCTCGCACAGAAATACCCTACTTCAGCCACATTAAAAGCAACCCCAGTACAGCCTAACGCAAAGCCTCAGCACCTTCTAGGACTCAACAGTTACATCCCAGACTCTTTTTCCCGCAGGATGAGGTTTTCACACAGCAGCAGGGCTGCTTTTGCCCTCTGCTGTGAGCCACAGCCCCTGCCATGGGGCAGCCTGCCCCTGCTCAGCCCCATCCACCCACACTGCCCCTCTCCCTGTGCATTTTGCCGTGGCAGGATGCAGCCCCATGCAGCCCCCCCAGGCCTCTCACCGCTGGCGTTTTTCTTTGCATCCTTGGGCAGGAGGAACACCTCGGGCTTCCTGATCCTACATGGAGCAAAGTGGTGCATTAGCTAGGTCCCAAGAGCTAATTATTGCGTGATTAATTGGCGTTGCACCACAGAGGTGAAGAACTGGCCCTGCTGCACTCACTGGCTGTCTGTGACGGGGTTCATGTCATCGGGCCGGACCTCGAAGAAGCTGACCACGTGCAGGCAGCGGGAGATCTTGTGGGGCAGGTTGACCAGCGTGTAGCAGTACTCAGCCAGCGTGCCCTGCCTGCTCTGCGTTGAGCGCTGCCCATCAAACCACTTGGGGGCTGGGGGAGAAGGGAAAGGAGTCAGAAAAAGCAGACAGAAAGCCATGGATTTACATCTTGCTCGAGCAGGCTGCTCTGCACCTGAAAACGAGCGGCTTTGGTGCCAGTGAGCAAGTGCAGAACTTGCACAGCTGAGCTCATCCCTGCAGCCCACAGCCCTTGCACAAGCCCTAGGAAAACCCCATTGAACCCTGTTTTGGTTACAGAATAACTCCCACAGCTGTGCTCAGGCCGTGCCCAGCTGTAATGAGGCTCGCTGCCTCCAGAGCACCAGGACTGGCTCAGAGGACCATGGAGACACACGGACATCTCTCCTTCCCAGCAAACCCCACTTGCAGCTCCAACCCATGGCACAGCACTGAACCCCACACTGGGCACACACGTGAATGACACCCCACAGCTGTCCCACTCCTAGTGCTTTCAGTTCTCCAAACACAGCAGCGTGCTGTGCTGGGCAGCCTCGTGCTCAGAAGAGGACACTCCTGGCAGCTTGGAATAGCAGAAAGCAGAAAAACACCCATCCTGCTGTGCACTGCAGAGAGCTTCCTTGAGGAGTCAGAGCCCACAGCTACTTCTCCCTCCCTGCCTTGTTTGAGGAAGGAAATTAAATGTAAGGGGGATTTTTCCTGAGCTGCACCTTGCTTAGTTAGGTACAAAGCGTCAGCTCTTTGCCATCAGTTTATACCGTTCTCCTTAAATATACATTGCATTGCTTCCCCTTATACCTTTCTCTATCATCACAAAAGCACCAAAGCCATCCTGTGGATGGTGTCACCAAAGGAGGGCTGTGTTCAGCTGCAGCTGCTCAGCACACCTTCTCCTTTACACCCACCCAGGACTGAAGCTGATGCTCTGGGATGCATCCCCAGGGCACCCAGCACCAGACAGACCCTGCTGGGGTTTTGATTTCCAGCCCCAAAAGCAGGAACAGAGATGGCAGCCAATATCTGCACAGGGGCAGAGCAGTTTGGGGCGATTTTCCAAGCGGCTGTGATTTCTGGTCCAGCCCCCAGGCTTCTGCCTCTTACCTGGTAAGTGTGGGATGATCCGGTTCTCCGCATTGATGTCTCCAGACTCGATGGGGAACATCTCCTTCAGTGCTTTCTATGGAGCAGGGCCGAGCAGGGCTGTGAGAACAGCACAGGGACCCTTCCACAACACCCACAGCTCATCCCTCCCAGCTGCAGACTGCAACCTAACACCAGGAGAAACCTCCCTGAGGACACCGGGCTCCCATTCCCGAAGCAAAGGAGATGTAAACATAGGGACCCAAGAGCCTCCTTTGAGCCAGGTTTATTTGGGGGCAGTTCCAGCTCAAACCTGCTGTCTGCTTTTGCCTCCCTGCCCGACCCTGGATGGGGGGTGGTGTCTCCCTGGGTCTGCTCACATGGAACATGTAAATCTCGGTGAACCGGCGGTAGATGAGCTTTTCAGAGAGGTCATTCCACTTCACCAGGAACATGTAGACCTGCGGGGCAGAGCAGAGTGCTGCAGCTCAGCACGTGGCCGGGACCCCAAACCCCAGTGGGGTTTCATCCTCTGGCTGCTTCCAGCCCATGCCATTCCCATGACCCCCAGCTCCACAAAGGGACGCTCTTAAACGCTTCATCACTGCTATCTCAAGAAATACATTGGCAAGGCTTTTGCCCTCCACTGCTGGCTGTGCACTTACATAGTGTTGGCTGGGGAAGAACCTCTTCTCATAGCCCAGCAGCTCGATGTGCCGGATGAAGGCATCCCCCATAGCTGCTCCCACTCTGTGCTGCTGCCTCCCTGTGCTCTGCTCCCGTCTGCCTTCGCCTTGCACTGTTTCAGTTAAAAGCCCCAGGAAAACGGAAGCTGTGCTGCAATCACGTCTGTAACTGTTCACCCTCTGTGGCTTGTATTGAACCAGCATTTCCTGCTGCAGCCCAGCCCCAGTCCAACCCTCGCTGGAGACAGCGCAGCCTCCAGCCCCAGCAGCCAGGTGACACTGCCCTGGGATGGCACAGGAGCTACAGTGCTCATTTTGCAGGCAGGACAAGCGCATTGACAAAGGCAATGGGAGCAGGAGTCTGTACTCACTCCTTCTGGAAGCACCCAGCCTGCCCCTGAGCCCAGGGACAGCGGCACCATCCCCCTGGGGAAGCAGGGGGGACAGGTTGCAAACAGGCTGGGCCCTGCCTTTGCATCACCATTTTCTTCCCATCACCTGCAGCATCCCCAAAAAGCTGCCACCAAGGATCTCATCACCTCCACCGGTGGCCCTGAGCCAGGCAGGGTTTGCTCCGGCTGCATCGAAGAGATGAAACCCAGCAGCTTTACCCCCGACCCCAGGCATGGGATGCTGCAGCTGCTGAGGTAACACATATGGGTCAAACAAATGTTTCTTTTTGACTTTAAGGTGGGGACTTCCCTATAAGTGAGTGAACATTGAGCAACAAATCATACATTTAAAAAAAATCCACCTAGAGCTGTTTGCATTCTGCTAATAGCCAGATTGCTGTTATATATGCAGAAACGTTTTTATGAAAGCTCATTTCTTAATTAGGGTTGTACTAAATTTAAACCTGAGTTACAGACAGTGCATTGCTGGAAATAGTGCACATGTTTCTTTCTATTTCCTCATTTTTCTTCCTGTAATGTGAGAAGTGAAATGGAGGTTTTAGGTCTTACTGCTGGCACCAGGTTAGTCTATAATGCAATGCAAGGCATAACTCAGCGTGCTGCTCGGTATGATGCACTGATTAGTGCTCCCACTAATTGCCCCACAATTCCTAGATAGGAAGAAAAGTCATTTCAGAAGAAAATTCTTGGAAGAGTAACGACCCAGCTGAGACATAAAGCTGATTTATGGAGTTCATCAGAGGATTCATGTGTATGGAAAACAAAGCTGGCACCTGAAGGCAGCACCTGATGCCTGAGCGATGCTGAGAATTCCCACTGGCTTCAAATGCCAGCAGCAGCAATGCTCCTCAGCACTGCACACCTCTTCTAGGGGAAGCACGGCTTCAGCTGATGGGGTTTGTATGGTCAAGAAGGGCACCGAAGGGGAAGCACTGGATGTGTGAAGCTCCTCAGGAGAATGGAGCGCCTCCTTCTGTATGGCACTGCACCCACAGCCAGCACCAAAGGACTGTGCTGGACCTCCCATGACACCCAGTCACTGCTGCAGTGAGATGGGGGTGCCGACCTGAGGGTGTCCTACACTGCCTGTAACCAAACTGCTCTTAAGGAGAGCAGAACCAGCTCACGGAGCAGGACAGGCTGTGTTCTGACAGATGCTCCTCTGGCACTTCATCAACCCCAGGCATTCTCTGCTGGAAGAAAGAAAACATTCAGAGCTCTGGTAAGGTGTTACAATTGTATTTATTTCCTCATTTATCAGTACAGCCAAGGCTTTTTAAGGCATTATCCCTCAGTGCCCAAAGAGTGGAACACCTTACGTATTACTAGTTCAGAAATGAATCAGATTTTCATACATGGTCAACACCTTAAAAGTCTGCTGCCTACTATATACATAGATCATTTTCAATATAAAATTGGTATTTGGAAGGTATAAATATCAGTGCAATTACTTTGACAGTTTAATTTATCCCTACTGCTTATCACTCAAAATGCCCGAGACCATCAAAAGAGCCATCAGAAAGAATCGACAGAGCACTGCTGATGTGCACCCCAACACTAATGAGATCTGCCATAGGGATGGACCCAATCCCAGCCTTCAGCATTTCCCGTAAAACCACCATCATCAGTTTTCACTTCACTTTTCCAAGCTCTCATATGCCCAGGGTGCGATGCACTTCCAGGACATCCGCGCCAGGCAGCAGCCTGAACTATTTTTACAGTTCCTTCATTATAATGCCCCGCTCAACTCATGTTAGCACCAACTCCATATGAGCAGCACAGAGCCCTGCTGGGCAGACAAGGCAAGGAGTGCTGCCCCAAGGGCAATGATAGTGAAGGAGGGATGGCCCTCCCTTCTGCTTTCTCAAAAAGGGAAGCTGAAAATGCATGAAAAGCTGTGTTAACTTCATTTCCCCACCCTAAAAACGTCTGGCAGCAATTGTGAAACTGGCTGTCATTCTGTTACAACTTATCTACAGAGGTCCACTGAAGTGAAATATGTCATGGCTATGAGCTGGGAGAGTGCCCACATCACTGAGTCACCAGGTAAAAAAATCCATTGGGCTCACTGCTGTGGGGCTGACACAGGGCAGCACTGCATCCATCACCTGCTGTCAGCACTTTCAAAACGGCTCAGCACAGAGCTATCCCTGCCCCCACTGCCACCACAATGACAGCCAGATACTTACAATGCCTCCAGACATCATAAAGCAGGAGCACTTAGACCTACATGGAGCAATCGTGCCAGCACATGAGCTACAGCCCTCTCCCTGCCTTACACCCACAGCATGTGCTGCTTGGAACCTGTCTGCAGAGTTCCTCCTGTCGATGTTCCTCGGGACAGACACCACAGCCAACTGCACACAGGTCTTCAAAATTGTCCTTGCAGATGCACCACTCAGAGCTGCTTTCCTTGTCCAAAGGGTGGAACAGGAACTCGGTTCTTCACTGTAGTATCTACGCTGTAGCATATTCTAGCTGCCTACAGAGTTACTGCTATGTGAACATATATGGACAGTCACAAAAAACCATCAGAAATATCTTTATTTCTTAATGAGGGAATAAGGTCGAGCATTTGTGCATAACGCAGTCATCCCAACCTCCTGGAGCCAGAATTTTACAACTCTCACGGGTTGTGAAGCTTCAAGAAATGAATACATGAGACTCTCACATGATGTGGGGCATAAACAGGACTATGGGAGATTTAAGTTCTGAGACATGAGGGCTTACAGCAGCTTGTGATGCAGGATTCTGTAGGTAGCTCTGGATGAACAGCAGGGCATTACCCACAGCCTGCAGGAGAAAAACTCACTCCGTTTGGCCTAAATTAGGGCTGCCAGAGCAGACCCATCATACAAATCCCACGTGATACTCTGATAAAACATGCACTTATTACTTTCAATTAATGGAGCAAACTATAAAAGGATTAAATTTAAAAGGGTTCCTAGTCCACAAACTGATATACTGCCCATCTCATTAGTGCATACTAACAGTCAAGTGAACCAGTTTACCTTTTATTTATGAGAAACAGATGAGTTGTGGCAGATGTAGGAAAAATTAGTGCAAATATACACATACCATCGACCAATCAGCCATGAAAGGAGTAAGAACCACAAAAAAAATCAGTGATCTGTTTTCTCCAAAGTGAAATTAACAAACTGAGCTACTTGCACTGTTTCTTCATTACAGAAGCTGAGATATATTCAGGCACAGTGGAATTCAGCTTCATTGGGAAATGTAGATGGCCTCTGTTAAGTCCCCGTTCGTTTGAATCCTTATCATCTCCCCAGTATTGCTGCAACAAATTCAGTCCTTATCATATATTCCAGAGCAAAACCAGCCATTCCAAACCTGCAGTCATTCTTCACATTAAGTCAATTCACAGAACTGCTGAAAAAGTAGACATTTCTATCTCAAAGTACAAAAGGGTTTGTACAGAAGGTACTTCTCTCATAGTTACATCACACAGCTCAGCACAGTCCTGGCAAGCTCTTCTCAGCTCTGGGTGCTTCTGGCTAGACAGAAGTAAAATGAAAGTGAGTTAGTTTCACTGCTGATCTATGACGTGCTACAAATACTTGTGGGCTGCGCTGCTTTGAGTTCTTCAGGCCCAGAATTAAAGACCACATGGAAGGTGAGCACTGCTCTTCATCAGTGGGATTACATGTGTGCACGAGTGCTTCCTATATCAATTTGATGGAATATTTGCTTTAATACACATTCTTTAGCTAGTCCTTTACAAAGAACACAAGGACCACTGCAGCTCTGGAGCAAGGCCTGCACCATGCCACTGCCACACAGGGATGGAGCAGATGTTACAGAATTACACAAATGCTGTCTGCAAGAGGCTCCAGCCTCGCTCCCAAAGGACTGCAGCTCACAATAGCTTAGCCCTGGTGCTGACAGATCGTAACATGCACCAAGCAGTGGGTTCTGCCACTTCTCTGTGTGACTTTTATCCTTTTGTCAGAGCCTTGAGATGTGCTGGGAGTGCTTCACAGGGCTAATTTGTGCCTGGGTGCCCACAAAGCTTGTTTCATATCCCAAGGAAAGTGGAAGAGAGTCAGCAAGAGAACAAACCTACATTCTCCAGGTGAAGCCCATCAGCTGGGATGCTCATACATACACAGCCTTCATGTGAGTGTTAGAACTACCAACAACAGATGCATGACATCAGTTAGGCCACATCATGTTCTCCATCAGTCAGTGTTTGTGCTGCACTGACAGAGGGCTCTTTCACCAACCATGTCAGAGCTCTTCACAAACATGATTTCCCTCTGAGGTACGTAATTACCATCACCTATTTTTATCCACAAGCTGTGATACAGCCCAGATCTCCCTTGGAATGACTCCCTCACAAATCTGAACACAGTACACTTTACGTTGTATTCTGGCAAGGTAGTGAAAGCATTCTACACAGAAGAGAACTAAGACAAAACAATTCCAAGTCAAGTGAAGGACTGGCACCTTCTGGCATCCAATCTTCGCCCTCTCCTCCCCACCCTGCACTGTGAAAGCATTATTCCTTGACCAGGGCTTACTCCTCCACATGTACTAACTCCAAGAACCACAACGTTCTCTCACCGCAGCAGGGATGAGCTCTACCACGTTGGCTCTGGTTCTTGCTTTATTTGACAACTTTCTTCTGTTTCTGTAACATCTGTTGAAAAAGGACAAATGCAGTGAACAAATGAATGAACTGAAAGTCTTCCAAAGCCAGCAAACAACATCTGACCACACGCCCTTGTGCTCAAGTCATGCCTTCTGGTTAACAAGTTAACATTCATTGCACAAGCTTGTTTTCACAGCACTGGGCATTTCTCAGACTTTATTTCCATCTGTAAGACCCCTGCTCTCCCCAACCACACACAGACCATTTCTGCATTGTTATATTTCAATCCATGCAAAATAAATTTTGACCTTAGCTAATTTTTCTTCTCCAATGCACAGCATCACACAGGAAGGCATTATTAGATGTTTAAAAAAAAAAAAAAAAAAAGAGAGAAATCTGATCTTGTTGGCTAAAGCATTCATCAACTTTTCATAAATATTTTTCACTTCCAAGAGACTTCATTGGAAAATCTTTGCTCTTCTTGTTCACAGGGATGCTGGGAGGTAAATCAAAGCAATCTCATGTCTTTATAGCACTGCCTGTATGTCCTGGAGCCTGATTTTGTTCTTTTTATAAACAGAGAGTATGATGTTGAAAGGAAATTGGTTTTTTACTGAAGCTGTTTGCAAGGTTCAGGGCTAGAGTAATTCATCACAGCAAAGCGAGGCTGTCTCAGCACATGATGCTTCATCCCTCCCAGCTTAGTTCTGATGGGACTGTGTGCACTTCAGCAGCAACACACCTTTCCTCAACATCATTTCTCTGATAGCTGGACCCGACTGCAGCTTTGGATGACAAACTCAAAAACACATTTGTCTATTTCTTCAAAAGAATCACTTTAAAAGACTCCCCTTTAAAGATTCAGGAACTGTCCCACTCCAACTAACAGCTTCAGTGATCCCACACCGTTTTGGCAGCACAAAGACATTTGATGTTTCAGCTTTCAGAAACCACGAGCGATGGAAATTAGAAAGGACATCTCCCCAGGAAAGGACACAGAAGAACAGAAGTGCTGCAGTTTGCAGCTCTCTCTTTCAGAGTGTCCAAGCAGGACTAGAGAACAAACTCAAGTTGTGAGCTCTAAGATGCAAAGCAGTGATGCACAGCCACGTCCACCCCAGTGCTGCTGGCCATGTGGCAGCACTGCTCTCCACACTTCTTTTTCTTCCAGAGCTTCACAACTCCCCTCAACAAACCCTGAGAGTAAACCCAGGCCAATACTGCATTCAAATTCCCTGATGATGGCAATCGTTCATTTGCATAAATTGTCAAAATGACTGCGTGGAATAATTAGATGCTCAGATAGATAACTCAGGATGTGAGCAATCCCTCTAAGCCTATATATAGTCATGACTCACCCACCAAAAACAGCAATTCGTAAAACTCTTTTGTACAATTATCTGAATAATAACTTTTGCTGCAGAGCATCTTCCACGTGATGCAGCACAATATTAAAACAGATGTCCTGGGAACCAACAAATGCCTCTTTTTGTTGTTTAGATTGACGTGTCTTTTTAAAAAGATGCAGCTTTGTTCAAAATGACTTTAGGAGGGAGTTTTTCCACAGAGGGTGGTGAGGCACTGGAACAGGCTGCCCAAGGAGGCTGTGGATGCCCCATCCCTGCAGGCATTCAAGGCCAGGCTGGATGTGGCTCTGGGCAGCCTGGGCTGCTGGTTGGTGACCTGCACACAGCAGGGGGTTGGAACTGGATGAGCACTGTGCTCCTTTGCAACCCAGGCATTCTGTGATTTTATGACTTTCAAGTATTTGTTGATACAGCTGAAGACAAACACTCACCTCCTGAAGATACCTCTGTTTGCCTGGGTTCAGCTGGCTCTTAAATGAAAAAAAAAGTCAAATGTATATGCATGTCATTTCCAGGGTACGAAACAGGTGAGTGTCTTAGCAAAAGCTAGGAAAATTAAGTTTTCTCTGAAATAAGAAGAAAAAAAGAGTCCACTTTTTCCCCTCTTAGAATCACATAAATATTTCTGAGACAAAGATCTGTAGCTTGCTATTGACTTCATAGCAAAATATAAAAAGCATCCAAACATTCATTGTATTACATTAACATTCTCCTCAGTGTGTGGGTCACTGTGCACACATCACTGAGCTCCAGCAAAACAATGCATTCCTGCACAGAACATATCAGATTTGCATCAGCTTAATTCAAACCACTTCAATATGTCTGGATTTCAAATACACATCACACCACTCCTGGATACCTCTGTTCTCAGTGGTGAGCATGTATAGTTTGGTGGAGAGGGGGAAGCTGTAGAGCAGAGGGCAAAAATCACATTTTATTTCCATAACGCCTTTTCTACAATCTGTGTGGATGGCTCAGAGACTGAGAGCTGTTGGGAAAGCCACAGAACCTTTTTAACAGTGCAGGTGAGTTAAGGACAGAGTTCACCCAACAGAAACAGACCTTTTTCTCCTTGCCACCCCTTCCCAACAGAAGCAGGGGGGAAAACACATCCCTTCCTGTTACCACAGAAGTGCCCCTTACTCTTGAAATGCTTATTAAACGTTTTCTCTCTGTTTCTCTGAGTGACAGTGTGTTCAGTCAACAGCAGAAGACTATTGGCAACTTGAGATACACACTTCTGAAAGGCATGTGAGAATTCATGAAATACTGGGTCAAAAGGAAGTTGTTCAACTGCATTTAGTTCAGCAACTCCCAGCACTGAACAAAATTCTCCACTCAGATTAAGAAGGGTCCTGTGAGTGCAGTCCAGATACAATCTAACAGGGCTTTCGGTGCGGTTTAGTGGACAGAAATTCCATCCAGACCCTTTTCTGGGTTCTTACACATTTTGCAGGCAAACTTAACTTGGCTGAACATCGATCTGGCACAGACACACACTCTGAGTTAAGCAGACATCATTAAACAGACAGGGAATTGCCTTTATATATTGCCTCTACTGATCCTTCCTTTCAGCTCACTCATCATCTGCAAAAATCAAGTTAAGGAACATGCCAATGACATCGCTTGAAGGAAGCAGTGCTTCTTTCTATTAACGCGTTAATATTTAATGGCTATAAACATCATCATTGCATAGCATCTGTCAAAATCAAACAGCTCATCCTAAGCAGTGCATCCCCAGGGCATGATTACTGACATCATGTGCCAATAGCATCTAGAACTCCATATCCCACCCCTTCTGCAAGGACACGTGTCACACTGCCTCACCTGGTACTGTGGGTGCTGCTGCTGCTGCTGGTGCTGCTTCTGCTTCAGTTTTCTCCATTAGCTCTAAGATCAGACATGATCATCATTAACTTTACAACAGAACCGGTCCCATGTGTAACACAAGGGCAATTTTATCTCTGCTATCTGCAAATCCTGAAACTTGTTGCATTACAAGGTCACTATTTGAGCCACAGTTCACTATTTTTTGCTTCAGAAAAAAGCATTCCGTCTTGCCTGCAAGCACCTACAATTTCCTAGTAATTTCTCATATGTTCCCCAGAGCAGGAATGTTCCATATCTACAAGTAGGCTCAGAGACTAACAATAATTCACTCCAATATCAATGTCAGTTCTTTCTGATCATAATTAAGTGACACAGATACTGAAGGAAAGTCACACATTCAGTGACCAACTTCCTGCTCTGGTAATGGCAGATGATCCCACATCCGCTGTCCTTCTTCGGTTTGCCAGCATCAGTCCCAACAAACACTGAAAACTATGCTGGAGAGCCAACAGTTTAATAGATTCTTTCATTTCTAATTCAATCCTCTGGCAACATCATCAACGTTCATCTGCCTGAAGTGCTCCTCATACAAGGGATCTCCTGCCCAGGATTGCTAAGCAGCTCGCTATGAGCTCCCAACTACAAACCTTCCTGAGAACACTCTGTCCTTGCCATTCAGACCTCAGTACAGAATACTGTACTTGTGGCTTGATGCAAATGGATGAGTACTGGGATGCTAAGGCTGAGTAAGGCCAAACTACTGACAGCAGGTTATTTGGCCACATTGGCTCTGAAAGAATACAACACAAGGGTCACTTGTAACAACAGTGTTTTGCTGCTTGCTTTTTCTTTAAATAAGATGTTAAAAAATAAGGCCACAATTATTATAAGCAACTGGAAATACTAAGACTTGCTTTTTCAAACCAAATTTGGAGTAACATGCAATGCAACACACTCATAATTGCATTCTGCCTCTCTCAATTGTTATAGCTTCAGCAGAATGCAGGACTTCTTATTGGGACACGGTGCTGCAGCTGCTCTAAAGTTGTTTATTAACTTAACTCCTGCTAATTAGCTGCTACTGTGATGGATTCAAACTGAAAATACAGACACTGCCATGACAGTGTGTTGCTCACTCAGGGTCCTAAATCTCTTTGGGACCCTGCAGCTGAAAAATACAAAATGAGTGTCTTGCATTTTCTTATCAAAGCTAATGCTAATTTTAGGCACTGATCACACTGCTCTCGTGTTCATTTCGCATTCCACAAAGTCAACATGGAGAGAACTGATCCTGGTAAGTTACAAAATTACATTTGCTATCAGTGTCACAGAAATTACTTACGGTTGTTCATCACAAGTCCTGGAAATGGTCTGTAAAAAAAAACAAACAGAAAGAACACACCATGCTGAATCTGAAGCACTGTGTGGGACCTCCCTCTTGAGGCATCCTCACCTAAAAGCTGTGAGCTCTGCTACCAACTGCTAACAGAAAGCGGAACAAAACAGGAGGTTCCATCATAGCACCTCCTGGGTGCTTAATGGTCAAGGGTTGAGAATTTAGACACCTTTAAGTTCTATTTAAACAGTGTCTCTCTCTCCATAGAGAACAAAGCTTTCAGATACCTTTGGAGCAGACTGTCATTTCACGAGTTACAACAACTTTAATATTTGTTTTCAGTTCCTGAAGTCCTCCTGAGTGTGATTCAGTATCTCACCTATTCTGCTGCATGCACACAAATACACTTCGTACAGATGTGTGTGTGCATATACACATACACAAAAACTAACTTACACTGCAATTGTAAATATTATGTTTTAAAATACTAGAAAAAACATCAAAAAAATTTACCTCCACACAAGAATTTTGATACAAATTTCAAAACCATCAGGAATAACACAAGCACAAACATACCATCTACTGTCAACAAGTTCTGGAGCAGGGAACTGTCTCCAGGCTTGATTTTATAAACAGGACAGCAGAGCCCACAGCACTGCAGCACATAAAATGAGTAAGACAGCATCTCAGAAGACAGCCTGCCTTAAGATTAATAATACAACCTTTGTCACATTGCTACCAACGTCAGGGCTTCATTTGATCTGACACACTGCTAACCCAAAGAGCCCCATCTTCCACTACTGAAAGAGGCACTGCGACTCCTCTTCTTGCAACACGAATTTATACAAGCTACAGGGCTGTCCTCACACTCATACAATCTGCTCCATGCAGCTCCATACCGGATGACAGTAAATTTGATGAACTCCGATGATTCCAAAATCTTCCTCATGGAGCTGATCTCCAGGTAACTGGGAGCTTTAAATGACACTCCAGGAGGCATCCCATCCACCACCACGCAGCCGGGGTTGATTGTGATTTTTCTGTATGGGACTTTCACAGGGAAATTCATACCGATGGCTTCACCTGAATGAGAGAGGTCATGTTTGTTTTCAAGTTCGCATATTTACGATCACACTGAAGAAAGAAAACACAGTTAATTAAGAAACTAAATGCAAATACCAGCTTTCTATCACATCTGTAAACGAAAATCTACTTGAGGATTAAATCATTAGTGTTAGAAGTGGGTGTTCTGGATTGCACTCATGGATGTTGCTGCAAGATCATTAGTTTAAAAGCCCGCTCTGACAGCTCCCACATAAAGAGCCCAGATTCCCTTTCTTCTAAAAAATAGGCTGAGGAAGTAACAAAGTGAAGGAAAATAAAGCATTTCCTCCAACACCCACAAAAAAAATATTTCAACAAGGCACCAGCAAAGGAATTTCAGATAAAGAAACTCGGGTGATTATAGTTGTACAGTGCAATTGCACAGTAAAATAAAGAAAGCTGGAAGTTATATTTTGAAAGTTACTCTAATTTCAAGTACAAATTGCTTGAGACTATGGAGCTGTAAGATGAATCATGGTTTCCAAGCAAAATAAATATTCTGTTCATGTATACACAAAAGAAATAGGATGTGGGAGAACATAAAGCTACGTGTCCTGCTGAGACTTGTTCAAAATACCCAACAACCTACTTGCACTATCAAAGATTCTGGAAGTCAGAGCACAACTTTCATATACAATTCTCAAATGTGTTCATTTCATTTCAGTGATGATATACATCAGAAATGATCATTCAGTAACATCCACAGGAGCATTATTTCCATTCTCACTGTCGAAAGGGGAGTAAGAAGCACTCACCAAATTTCCTGCTGAAGAGATCATTCACTTGCTCTCTCAGTTGTCTGGCCTTCTCTACCTTTGAAAGTCTTTCACTTTCATCCTCTGAAATAAATTGTTAGAAAAGCATGAGAATTAAGCAGGCTTTTTTTTCCCTGAGGTTTGGAAACACACATTGCCTTTGTTGCTACTCTTGACAGTACCACAGAATTGTATTTACATGAACAACATAAGATCTCCTTCCTACAGGTGGCTTTGTAAGCTTCATCCGAAAACACAAACTGCATTCATTTGCTTACAGTACTTATAATGGTGGGGGAAACACAAAAGCAAAGTGAGATTCAATCAACAGCCATAGCATGCAATGGAGCTCCTTTCTAATGAATGTAACACATGCTTGAGAAAGCAGTCAGTGTTGTTCAAGAGCAAACAGTTCAGCCTGCATGGCTGTTCAGTTTAATCAGTTAAATCCAAGATCAGATCTCCTGAAGTTGTCAAGAAAGCTGGCAACCAGTATTTAATTTATTCAAAGAGATAAAAAAAAAAAAAGGAAAAATAAGGATAATTCTCAACTTGAGGGCTGGATCGAGAATATTCCAGACTCATCACCAAATAGATACTCATATTCATAGAAGTCAGAAAACATTTAACATGGAAAAACAAGATGCTAAATGTTGCCTTTTCTTGACTGTACTTGTGTTTCTGTCAACTGTCCAGCTTGTAAGAAAATATCAGATGAAACAAATACTGTGAAGACTGCAATGCAAGGAGTACAAAGTGAAATCAGATTATGCACACCTAGCAAAGTTACTTGAATGATGTTAAGATCTTCAACTCCTGCTGCTGTGTTCACTACTGTATTTGCTGTGGTGCTTGCTGTATTGGCTGTATTAGATGGATTATTTTTTCCTGAAAGTAAGAGAGTTCATTTAAAAAACAGCTGTGGAGAAACACGCATCTTGAATGTCAGATATAAAGGAAATCTGGCACAACAGCAGAGATTTGCAAAGCTTTCAAAGCGCACTGAATCTCGTTTCCAAAACGCATTCACAGAATAATTGCCCTGCAGTTGTACTTTGAGCCACACAGTCCAGACTCAGAATACAAGTTAACAGTGACTCAAAACATTTAATCCATGATCTGCCTCAGCTGACATAATTTTCTACCAGCTATCTGCACACCAGCCATGGAGAACTCCCCATTTTAAATGAGCTACGTATCAGCAGCAATTAACCTAAGATCTGAATTACTTCTATGGATTGTACATCACTTGTATTTTGATGAAAGGCATGTCTCTATCAGACATGAGTATTTTATTGTGGATAACAGAGTGTTCATACACCCTTGCTAAAGCTATATTCCGAATAGTTTGGAAAGTAGAGAGAGCTTCTATGCATGCAGGCCAGTGGCACAGGACTTCAGGCTGGACCTCAAATTCAGCTTGGATAACAACTTCCCTACATCTTAAGACCAAACTACCAACCACAACATGGAGTGAATCTTTCAGGCATTCATCAACACCGAGCAGCATTCCTTATTTGCATTCAATCCTTGAAACAGACTTATCTAGGGCATTAAGCAGTTGCAAAACTCACTCTGGGGACTTTTAGCAGAACTCTCCTTCACCGCCGCCTCAAACATCTCAGGCCTGCAGAGAGATTAAACATTTATGTGCAACAATGCAATCACATTTATTTCAGCAACATTAAAGACGATGCCGTATTCCAGTGGTTATTTTTCAAAAGACAGGAACTACCTGTTATCTTAAATGCTATAATGCATTGATATCTTAAATGCCATAATCCTCTAGGCCAGACAGAGACTTCCACACTTCCCTTGCTTGTTTCCACACTGGCACGTGGCTATCTGAACCCATGCTAAATAAGTAAAACCAATTCTTGCAACACCATTTTTCAGCCTTCAGTACTGCTAGTAAGTTTTTGCTCTGGCTAACTCATAAGTGCCCCATGCAATAGGAACTACATAGAATAATTTGGGTTAGAAGGGACCTCTAAGATCACCTTGTTCCAACCCCCTGCTATCGGCAGGGACACCCCCACCCAGCCTGGCCTTGAATGATTCCAGGGAGGGGGCATCCACAACCTCTCTGGACAACCTGTTCCACTGCCTCACCACCCTCAGTAAAGAATTCCTTCCTAATATCTAGTCTGAAGCTACCCTCTTTCAGTTTAAAATCATTGGTCTTTATCCTGTCGCTACCTGCCCTTATAAAAAGTCCCTCCCCAGCCTTCCTGTAGGCTCCTTCAGGTACTGGAAGGAAAAAAACAAGTGATACAGACACTGAAATGGGCTAAGGAACCTGGATTTGTTCTTCAGCCCTAAACAGGTCGTCAGTCCTCCAGAGCAGAAGAAAACGACTACATCTCACTCTACCTCCACAAGAGCTTTCTAATCATTTTCTCATCTACAAAGATATCCCAGTGTGTATTTTAGACAGGTGAGAGAGTCATTCAGCAACTCAGCATCACAGAGTTTATTCTTCAGTGTACAATTCATTTCTGAAGGACTGGATTACCAGGGACGTGTTAGATTCTTACTTTTTAATAACGAATTTTATCTTAGATTTGTTTCTCAGAATCTTCTCTAGCCTCGGAATTCCAAAGGTAGAAGGTCGTCGGAAGGGCACTCCATCTGGTAGGCCTTCCACATAGAAAACCTCTGGGAAGGATTCGAACAACGCAAACGGTACCTTCACTGGCTCACTCAGCCCCAGTGCTTCCCCTGAAACACAACAGAGCCAATAATCCACCAGCTAGAAAGGAGAACGCCTCGGACACAAACAGGTTAGCACAGCTGACACATACACACTAGGCTAAGTGGAAGCAGCAGGCTTTGCTTTTCTTGGTGATGGCTATGAGTAGGCAAGAAGAGAAACAATCACCAACCCAACATATCTCCATGCAGTGAACCAGACTGTAATTAGCAGTTGAAAACATTAGACAGCTTATGACTGGCTTAGGTGCATGCAAGGCTATTAGTTGTACTTCACTTCGTTATACACAACACGTTTGTCTCTGTGTTTGCACCAATGGCAGATGACACTGGTGTTCTTGTTCCAAAAACTGCACTTGCAGGAGTAATGACTGTCTCGCTCCAATTATTGGAGGAGATGGTTCAGTATGGATATGTATGTATGTCTGTGTATCTACTCAGATTCTTACAATGACTTCAGAAGAAACAGTGGGAATTGATTGGGCACGTGACTCTCTAGAACATACATTATCATGCAGAGGCTCCAGTCATATGAACTCCCATTCATAACCCGAGTGAGAAACGCTTAACAGGAGTGGCAGGATGTGGAATCACCATTTCTCTGGGTCATTAAAGAAGCAGTAATCAAACCACAACTTCTCCATTTCCAAACCGAAATAATGAGAGGAAACGTGACACAGAACTGCAATTACCCTATGTGAGAATGAACTCAAGTGAGAGAATGCCTACAGCATGCAAGGAGCGTAGGACCTTGGGAAGAAATGTGTGAACATATCTGTTGTACGTCTAACAGGGTGTTCATTAGAAAGGCGTCTCAGTGATAAGGAATCAACGAACTTACCACATTTTTCATTAAAAAGATTCTCAACTTTCTGCTTCAGATCAGTGATTTTGGCATTCCACGCCTCTGTCAGGAGAAAATGGGAACGATTAAATCAACGCTCACACAGTGAATTAATCCTTGAAGAATATTTTTAAAGCCGCCTAATAAGTTATTATGCTTGATAACCAATTTACTGTGACATTAGAAAGAACAAAATGGCTTTCATTCTGCAAATGGGCCTGAAACGTTCTGCTGCAGCCTAAACCTAAAGCCATGCGGATCCTCACTTTGCTAAGGCTTTGAAAAAACACTGTTACTACATACAGCAAGTGCAGTGAAATTGAAATTAATGCAAGAGTGATCCAAATTTACAATATCAGGCAAGAAATTACTCATCTGAGCCAGCTGTCAAATAGTAGCAGAAAGCTCTTATGCATTCAGTGACACATGCCCAACTGTGTCACTTCCAGGCTTGCCTCAACTATACTGGTTCTATGGAATTGGTAGCACTGGAGAGGTCCAACACAGAGATCTCCAAAATCAGCTCTGTTAGAGCATGGCTTACTAACCATAGTGCAGATCTGCCCCTCTCTTACGTACCACTCACATACATCTGCACAGAGAGGCTCAACGCTTCAGGTTCACGGAGGGCTTATTAAGCTTATGCACAACATAAGACCTCAGCTCTGCCAAAGCACTCCATGGCACTGTGCACCAGAGAGCAAATCCATCAATAGTCTGCAGCAGTGTGACATGACAGAGCAGCACAAGTCTCAAGGGTTTAATTCCGAAGGTTAATAAGATCTTAATGGACCTGTAATGCATTTGAAGAGCATTCTTCAAACATCATCCAGGGTTTCTCTGATGCATATTACTACTCATGACTGAGAACTGAGTGTATGTGAAAACAAGAAGTTTGTGAATGAATTCAAAATCTCTCTGATATGAAACCACCAGATTTTTCAACACCAATATGAATGGAATGTATTCATGCTAATTCCCATAATATTTACCAAAAGAAAAATCTCTTCCTCTTGGCTTGAAACTCAGACTGGACCCATTGGTTTGAGAATTGGTTTGAACATCTGCTGTTTGTGCTTTATTAGGACCTGTAAAGAAAGACGTTACTTGTATACGTGCAGAGAGCAGAAGCATGCTTCATACAGAAGAACAACACATCCAGCTTGATCACCAGAGAAAGATTAACTTCTGAATCAAGACTGGAATTAAAAAGCTTTCAGACCTTCTTCCAGGATCGTAATTAAGCATTTGACAATTGCTCACATCTGTCATTGCTCTGCTCAGGACTACATCAGTTCCCACATCTCTGCTTGGAATAAAAGGCTCAAGCAAACTGTCAAACTCACACATTTTACATAACCATCATGGCACAGAATCCAGTATTATTCAGAAATGAAAAATAAGATCTTCTATACTGAAACGTATCCGCAGCCCCGAAATGATACTGGGTTTGTTACACAAGGTGCAGACAGAAATCAATTCCACAAAATGAAAACTTAAAAGAACAGGGTAAAACAATTACAAGAATAGAGCAGGAACGTGTAAGAATATTTTATTGTATTTCTTCCTTACCTTCTTCAACAGTAACTTCTATCTCTGGAACCTGTAAATTGCTTGCAGGACTTTGTAACCTCTTCGAACTCTTTGGATTTGCTGCTAGAAATCAAGATATTATAAGCTGTAATGCACAAACACTCTACGCTGTGTAGCTTGCACTGCTAGCAAGAAAACTAAACTACATTTTGAAAGTTCTAACAGACTAACCTGTATCTGCACTAAGTACAGCTTACACTGTAAAAACGGAACAATCCAGGCAGCAGCAAAATAAAAGCTGTAGAACTTGGGTAAACAGTATATTCTCTACTGGAATAGTCTTAAGTAAAGGAAAAAAAAAAAAGAGAAATATACTTACATTCAAGCAATTTTTCTTAATACTAGTAGATTCAGAGGCTACCCTGCTAGTTCACCTTCAGTAATGACTTTGTTTGCAACACCGTGTTTTCCTACCATAAAGATCTCTGTCTGCTAAGGATGCAGAAAGCAAATGCTTATGAATCTACAGCAGCACATAATACTTAACTATTTACCTTTAGTGTTTAATTGACTAGCCAGTCTTGATGGCAAATAGGAGGCGACAAGCTCAGGCCTAAAAATTGAACAGAATACAATTCAATTCCATATGCAAGGAAAATAATACAGAAAAATATCCCAAATTTCACGGAATTCTGTCAGATTCAGATGTATGTAACATTCCCTTTCCACAGTAAGGTTCTGCCAGAAGCATTTGTGACTCTCCATCCATAAGGAGAAAAAGCCAGAAAAGAAAGCTACACGTTCTGCTCTAATAAACAAACAAATGAGGAAAGAAAAACAAAATGAAGCTTCCAGGTACAGTGCCATTTTTTTCCCCTAGATCCACGATGCACAAAACACAAACTGTGCATTTAGATTTCCTAAGGAAGTCGCACGCTTTCATGACATCAATTTAGATGAAAAATCTCCTGCTTCATGGAAACAGCACTTAGCTGGAATTTAAACCCTTAGTTTTCCGAGAAGAAAATTAAGCAACTTCAAAATCAGGAGGGAAAGTAACTGAATTACCAACTTACTTCTTAACAACAAATTTGATCTTGTTGCTCCCGCGGACAATTCTTTCCAGGCGTGGAATCCCAAACCACGTGGGACTCCGGAAGGGAATTCCTTCTGGCAAGCCTTCCACATACAAGTACTCAGGGTTTGATTCAAATACAGGATAGGGAACTTTCACTGCCTCTGAAAGCCCCAGAGCTGAAGCTGCAAATGAACATTAACAATAGTTTGTACACTTGAATGGGAGGTATTCTGACTCCAGTGATTTTAAGAAGCTTGGCTTCCAGAAGTTGTTCTGCTCAGGGGTAACAAAGACAACCGCCTAACCAAGAGAAATGTGTACCCTGATTTTCTATTATCTTATGTAGAATATTCACAAATGAAGCCTTTCTCCACTGTGCCACAGATAACATCTCTTATTTAAGCTCTTATTTATTTGTGCCTAATATTTTCTTCTGGCAACTTCTTACATCCAAAAGCTTTCTGCGTGCTTATCCTCTCCATCATACAGCTGGAAAAACTAAGGGCTGGGATGTTGTCACAGAGTCATCAGTGTAAGTTATTGGGATGGGTCAGTGGGCAGTACGTGAGAGAAGTCAACACCTCCATACATCCCAGCACATTTCTGATGTCTTAAGTACAGTAGAATTGAAAACACCTTTTACAGACCAGTTTTAAAACACAGCAGCTTTATAAAAGAGTTAATTTAACATTTCACTTACCAAATTTCATATTAAATATCTCTTCTACTTGCTTTCTTAGCTTTGTGATCCTGACATTCCAATCTTCTTTGGCTGAGAACAAGAAACAGACAGAGCACTACTCAATTCTAGATAAAGAGACATATTTGAACACGTTTTTCTCAACCTGATGAGTAGACAAGCACACAAATAGACAAGGACATGCAGCAAATAATGACTATTAATGGAAGCTTAAATGATACATGGAACTCTCTTTATATAATGGAAAATCTCTTTAAATGTAGTTACAAATTTCAAAGTTGTCCAAAGTGGGAGAACGTGTTTTTCAGAGCAGGATGTCTTTCAGATGCAGGAAAGAATTATTCTAGTGGGTTTCCAAAGATAGAATTAATTCCAGTGTATAACACCCTTTACAACAGAAGACAGGGATTTAAAGAGTGCTTTTCTGAACATTTTTATTAGCTTAAAAAAATCATCTTCAATCCTGTTTTTTTTTTTGTCACAAAGAAGTCAATATAGGAGTGCTGACTATTGGTAGCTTAGATGAACAAAAGATGCTCTTAGCAGCCAGAAAATGCCTATCTTTTCTGGCAAACAGTGCCAGATTCTTCTAGAAGAGATGTTAAGGCACATGTGAGATGAAGGAGTGATCTGAGCAAACCAGCACAGCTTCACTAAGAGCAGACTGTGCCCAACCCATCTAGCAGCCTCCTACGGTGCAGCGACAGCATCAGTGGACAAACAGAAATGCAACACATGTCATGTACCTGCACTTGTGTAAGGTGTTTGATATGGCTCCACACCACGTCCTTACCTCTAAATTGGAGAGATATGGATTTGTAGGCTGGACTATTTGGTGGATAAGGAATGGTTGGATGGTTGCAGCTGTTGTCAACAGCTCTACCTCCAGGTGGAGGCTGCTCAGGAGTGGTGTCCCCCAGCAGTCCATGTGAGGACCAGTATTCGTTAACATCTTTACCAATAGCACAGGTGTTGGAATCAAGTGCGCTCACAGCAAGTTTGCTGAGGACACCAGGCTTGGGTCGGGGCAAGCCTGGATATGTGCACAGACTGGGAGGAGAACCTGAAAGAAGCCCTGAAGAAAAGGGCTTGAGGAAAAGCTGACATGAGCCAGTAGTATGCAATCACAGCCTGGAAGGCCTGGAGTGCTCTGGGCTGCATCAACAGAAGGGTGCAAGCAGGCTGGAACAACTCTCTTACACAGACAGACTGAGGGAGCTGAGCTTATTGAGCCTGGAGTAGAGAAGGCCTCTTTATGGCATTCCAGTATTTACAGAGAGATCATAAAGAGGAGTGAAATCAACTTCTACTACAGGTAGATAGTGGGAGGAAAAGGGGCAAGAGCTTAAAGCTAGAAGAGAGGAGATTTAGATTAGATGCCAGGGGTAAGTTTTTGACAGAGCGCGCAGATGCCCCATCCCTGGAGGTGCTCAAGGCCAAGCTGGATCGTGCCCTGGGCAACCTGATCTGGTGCTTGATCCAGCAGTCAGCATCACAAGGAGGGGGGCTGGAACGAGATGCCCCTCGAGGTCCCCTCCAACCCAAGCCATTCTATGATTCTACAAGTCTGATTTTTTTTTTTCTCCCCCTGCAGAGAACTCAATACAATTGGTTCTTCAAGTCAGACCTTGATTATCCAGAGAAATGTGTGGGAAAAAGCCTAGGACCCTCTGGATCTCAGTCTGTGTTATTACTACAAGCAGATTCACACTTAAAAAAATAAAAAAAACCACCAAGATCTGGATTATACACTTCTGTAGCAAGAAAAGAGCATTCTGCTGTCTCAGGCAAATAACAATAAAAACATCACATTAAATTAATCTGGATTCTTTCCCTATTCCAAAAGCACTTCTGCTTTCAAGAAGTCATTAAAATTCCCTCACAACAGAGGCTTGAAGAAAAGCCCAGCTAAATTAGCTGTGAAATGCTAAGGAACTTCAGAGCTTTGCATCAGAGCAGGATAACAACTCCAGCTCTCCAGGGCTGTGCATATGATCCATTTCAGCTACTCAAAGATAGCTGGAATGCACTACAATTCAGAAAGCCATCTATTTTCATGATGATCGATGTATTCTGTTCAAACCTCCCAAGAAGCACATCATGGCACACATCACAGAAGGATCACTTCTTGAGAAGTGTTGTAACGATCCAAATGAGTTTCCACACCAATCCCTTGAGACCACACCAATGCCCCTTAGAGACAGCACCTGTCTTGCCTGGTGTGTCTGTCCCAGGTTGAGTAACTTCAGGTGAACTGAGAGTTAGCAGCTCTGGCCTGCAAACAGAAAGCAGATCATCTATCCATTCTTCACACAACGTAAGCAATGCATGCTTTTTATAACATTAAGTGAAAAGTTGGGATCCTTCTGATGAGCATTTTGCACTCGTGGACACGCTACCAAAATATTTTGGAAAACTTGTCAGGGTTGCAAATACTCAGTTTAAAATGCAGAATATTTCACGTGCCTGTTTGGCAAACAAAGACTGAATGCTTTGTGACTGAATGAAAGCAGGTGGTTGATTACAAAAACGGTGTTTGTTTGCCCTCTTTAAAAAAAAAAAATAAAAGATGAGGCATTAAAACAAATGTTTACCTTTTGATTACAAATTTTATTCTGTTGCCCACTTGAATTATTTTTTCGAGGCGAGGGATCCCATACCAGGATGGACTCCTAAAAGGAATGTTCTCAGGCAGACCTTCAACGTAGAGGTCAGCAGAATGGACCTCGAATTTCTGGTATGGAACAGCTTTAGGCTCAGTGCTCCCCAAGGCCTCAGCTGTTAGAACAGAATAAACCCATTAACTGGACAGTCTGCCATCTCTATCTGTTAAAAACAAGCTTCATTCAAAGCTACAAAACCTCCACATCACTGCAAGCATGAGTTTAGAAGCTGGTACAATGCAGGATATCTGAATCCAACAGACTCCAAGTCTCAGCATATCAAGAACAAACTTCTACCAAACTGCATTATGTTGATATTGAGCAGCCACATTGCCAGACATTATTAAGGGCTTCTTCAGTAGAGCATAATACAATGGTTTTATCCAAAGTTTTAAACCTGCTATGGAGTAACACGTAATATTTTAACCCAGATTTATAAAATAAAATGGCCAACTTCATAAAATTCATAAAATCCAGAAATGTTCAAATTTTAATGGTATTGCATTCAACTTCTTTTACTAATAATTTAACTAGTTGTATACACAGAGTAATACTACTTTTTTTTCCCTCCAATCAGCTGCTAGGATTATGAATAATCAAAGGTGCCACCTATGAAGACATTGACACAAATGACTGAGAGCAACCTTCAAGAAACACAAAACCACAACAGTAAACAACAACGCCGTGCTCACCAAACTTCTTACAGAAGAGCTGATCTACCGCCTTTCTCAGTTTGTTGATTTTGGCATACCACTCCTCCTTCACTGCATTTTAGAATGACACAGGCAAAAGGAAAAATAAAAATAAAAACATTCCCTAATTACTTGGTTATATTTTCAGTTGGACAGCTGAAGCAGCACGCATTCAACAATATAAAAGCAGTGCTTTTATATTCCTTCAATCCATAGTTCCCATTTGGAGGTGGGATCAGTTGGTTGTTTTGGTGTTTTTTCCCCATTTTAATCATCTCAAATATCACCTTAAAGCCATGCACACAACTTGTTTTCAAGTTTTCCTTAAGCACCGAACATCCACAAGCAAGCTTTCACAACAGATGAGGTATCATTCTGCTCCTAGTTGTGCACTCATGGTGAGCTTCCTGAATCTATTTCTCTACTGTTTGTGTACAATACCTCTTAGAATCATAGAATGGCTTGTATTGGGAGGGGCCTCAAAGATCAACCAGCTCCAACACCCATTAAATTACATCCAATGATTTGAATTTGATTGCTTAGAATAGTGTCATGCATATGAATAAAGAATAAATGACAGGAAAAAATTGCTAGATTTCCAAACTACTTGCAGGATCTGAAGACTTTATTGGTCAACTGCTATCACTCTGAAGCTAAAGATAATCCAGAACAAGAAGAATTATTTGCAATTATTGCAGTAAAAGCTGGTTGTAGGCATCGCTAAGACCAACAGACAAGGAGGAAACCATATGGCAATCAACCTGCACATCTGAAGACCCACCTCCTGCAGCTGGTTTGTCCACTGGTGCATCTTCTTGAGTTGAATTCAAAAGCTCGTGCCTAGAAGATTTAAGATCCATGCTTCAAAAGTGATACAAACTGGGGTAAACCAGAAGTTACAGCCCTTAGTTACAGCCTCTCTAGCAGATACATCTAGCAAATAGAAGTCACCACTGAAGGATCAAAAACAGTAAAGAGATATTAAGATTCATAATATTACATTCCAATTAACACTGAAATATGATCAGAGCTGGGTGAAACTCTCCTGACAAAAATATTTCTCATTCCTGACACTGACATCCACCATAACAGCCATAACATTTCATAGTATCAGAGACTGAAATCATCTCTGAGGTCTAAGATGCACTTACCAGTCAAAACTATCATCAGAGACAAAGAAGAAAACTGAAAAGTTAACCTTTAAAAACAAATATTTACAGCAGACATTTCTGTTGGACAATCACAGCTGCTTTTATCCATACCAGAACACCACATTTTTTTAACTATGGCATTTCTCAGAGTTGTGCTGCTCTGGTTACCATACACTGCAAGACTGATAAGCAGTGTAAATGAGTTACTGTTACCCACTAACAGAAATCTGACCAGAGCTGGCTCCTGTACTGTATTAATATTAAAATCTCTGCACAGTGGCTGATTTTAAGTGAGACAAGAAGCAGAGCTATGGCTCTCCCTCTTTTCTTTTCACCTGCAAGGCTGAGGTGACAGAAACAAAACATAAAACCTTTCAAAGGTGGCATGCACAGAGGCAAAGGCTGCCACTTCCACTGATCCTGAGCCTGACCATTGCAATCAGCACATCCCTACCCACTTCAAAAGCTCCTGGATAAGGCCCTACAGCCCTGCACACCAGTACAATGCCATCAATACCCATCTCTGGTGTGAAACATTGCATGTCTGAAGTGACAAAAGGCAAATAGCCAGGCACTATCAAATCCGCACATCGTCTACCAAAGTGGCACGCGTGGCACTGCAGTCTCTCCCAGCATATCCTGAATTCACTAATGGGGTTCAGGCACCCCAAAATCCCACCTGCCTTTGTAGCAATCACATCAGGGTTCTCCTAGAAAAGACACTGAGGCGAGAAATGAGAAAAAGAGAAAGGAGCCCAGAAGATGCCACAGAGTTAAGATGTGAGACTCAGAGACAGATGATATCCTGCCAGGGTGAGAAGGCAGGCACCTGGGCCCTCAAACAGTTCCCATGTACATGTAAGGTCTGTCTTCATGTATGCTACCAAATGTACTTCATGGTAACATCAAGGACACTGTATGCACACACACACACACACACACCCCCCTAAGTCCTAAGAAGCAGTCACTGTTTTGGCCTCAAACTTGTCCTGGGAGATGCTATCTACAGATACAGACCTTTACACCATTGCAGCAAGAGAAAAATAAAAGCACTGTCTGAAACTGAAACTCAGGCCAGGATCTTCAGAGAGCATTAAATGTGCCTAAGTCAGTGGCTTCCAGTGCATCCTACAGCTGCTGAGACTAAAATATTACAAAGTGATCTGCCCATGATAAAAAAGCCTCTAAGATTTAAGAGATCCATCCAGATCTAAGCCACCGCTGTGGTGTTCTGCTGATCTGATAAGCTGAATTTCTCATCTCAGCAAGCCTGAAATAAAAACTACTCATCAATACTGCAAAGCAACGCCTCAGCAGAAATCAGCGTGGAAACGCGCGAAGATGACATGAAGCAGCGTGGACTGAAACAAGAAAGAAGAAAAAAAGTATAAAGCAGGGACGAAACCCACAGGATTCCTTACTTTTTAATCACAAAGCGGATCCGCTCCTTCGCTACGAGAATCCTCTCCAGACGAGGAATGCCGTACGTGGACGGCCGTCTGAAGGGAATGCCCTCCGGCAGGCCTTCCACATAGAGGTCTTCCACGTGGGACTGGAAGAGGGCGTACGGGACGGACACGGGGCCCTTTGCTTTTATGGCCTGAGCTTTAAGAGAGAAGGAGAATGAAATAATTAGACCAGCTTGTGGCTCTGCTGCTCTGCTGTTATGGGTTTATAAAAGTTAGTCATGTCTTGCTGGGGAGGAGGGGGTCTGTTCTTATTAAAGTTCTGGTGTACTTTAGAAATGCAAGAAATCACTACAGAACTTCATAGTATACTTCTAACATCACCCAGAAAAGTTTTGCCCTGCTAATGAAACCTTTGAAGCCAGTGAAAAAACACACAATGGCTTCTCATAGCACTGGAAAATAACCTCAGGGTATCTCCTAAAGTTACAAGGACCAGATCACATTGATACACCTACCATCACAGCATCACAGAATGGCCTGGGTTGAAAAGGAGCACAGTGCTCATCCACATCCAACCCCCTGCTGTGTGCAGGATCACCAACCAGCAGCCCAGGCTGCCCAGAGCCACATCCAGCCTGGCCTTGAATGCCTGCAGGGATGGGGCATCCACAGCCTCCTTGGGCAGCCTGTTCCAGTGCCTCACCACCCTCAGTGTGAAAAACCTCCTCCTAATATCCAACCTAAACCTCCCCTGTCTCAGTTTAAAACCATTCCCCCTTATCCTATCACTATCCCTTGTAACAGCCATTCCCCCTCCAAAGTACCCTGTCCAGGTACCAGGCTGCCACATGTTTTAACAAAAAGACATGACAGTTTACAAATACCAAGAGCTCTAATCTCTTTTTACTCACAATGGAACCTTAATTTTGCAGATCATGCAACAAGAATTCCCTACCAGCATCTGATTGGTCTGCAAATAGTTTGGAACATCCTGTTGTTCTGCTATGGACATCAGATGTTAGAAATTACGTGAGGGGAAAAATATTAACAGATCAAAGAGGTGCCCTCTTTGATAATGCAACGTGTTGCATGCAGTTATGTTTGTGCTTGCAGCACGGAACTACTGAAGGCACTTTTTCAAGCAATGGGAAACAGCATATTTGCACGGGTTCACATGAACTCCGAAGTTCTTACGTGCAATAAAACAATCTAGTTTTTAAAGGCATATGGATAACATACCCTTTCTACCACTTATAAATGATGAATTCAGGTGTGTTTACGGCACAAAAGGGGAAGCTTTGAAAAAACTGCCTGCATTTTGGTCTTAAATTCTGATGAGCATGAAATACATAAGTTCCAGAAAATCATGAAGAGAGTTGTGTTTCGACCACAGTTGGCTCCAACTGCTAATAATAAGATGGCCAAAACTACAGCCAGAATGTCGTTCTGCAAAGAGATGGACACACAGACCAAAGAAAACCTACCCAAACATGACTGTCAGAGGAGATGTGGGACAACCACCAAATGCACTGCTGTGTATCATCCCAGCCCTTCACTGAAGCAGCTTCTTACTGCAGTTATGTACCTTTTCTAAGAAATTCAAACAAAACCTGCAGCCCTGGAGGCTGTTGTGGTGAGTTGTAAGGAGCATAACAAACCCAGAGATGAGTTGCAGCTGGAAAGCAACATTCGTGAGTAACAGTTGGCCACGGGGGGGAAAAAAAGCAAGGAAAGCACTAAAATCTAGATCATTCCTTCAAAGGTACCAAAACTTCTTTAAATAGCTACAACTGAGGAGGTTTTGTCTTTTTAATTATTTCTCCTTTTTAAGCAGGAGTCCTTACTTCACTTCAATCAACAAATGTTTCAGCAAATACTCTTCAATCAACCAATGCAATCAGTAACACAGCCTGCAGAGAGGCTCCTTAGATTTGCAAGCTTTTGCAAAGAAATCCCATTGAATACAAGTTTCAATTTAGCCTATATTTGTGAGACACTCTTGTATTTATACTATAAAAAGTATTTTTATTCATTCTACACCTAAACACCAAAATAAATACATTTTCAGACAAGTCAGTAGTAATGTTTGACAGCAGCTGACATTGCTAGAATGCTTTAGAACTCCAAAAGCCAACAAATCTGAAAAGAATTCTGAACATCCATAACTCATTTAAGTAAATAAGAAATTGCATGCCCATGTAGATAGAAAGAAATGGAACCTGGTATGGAATTGGTTCATGAATCAATGGACTGTCATCTACAGGGGAAAAGGCGATGGCTTAATACCAAGACCTTAGACAGAAAGTCAGGAATAGCTCTCCCAGCAGACTCCACAGGAGATCTTTACACTGGATATGTGCAAACACCAACATGAAATTTAAAGCAATGCACAGAATTCCTGCAGCAAAAGCAACAAACAGAAGCAACAAAACAACTTGAGCTGTTTTCATTCAGTGTGAGCTGCCTCCAATGGGCTGTTCAAGTGTCAGCTGATGGTCACACCTGAAACATGCAACAACTCTGACAGACCATAAGCTCCATTCAGAGAACACTTCCACTTCTGATGGCAAAAGCACCACTGGGTATTTTGAAATTTGTACTGCTGCTGTCTTACTTGGTGATATGTGGACACAAAAGATGCCAATGTACAACACCCAAAGCCATTCCAAAGTCTAACACACGTGCTTCTTTTTTTTCCCCAGGATATGCTTCACTGCAAGCCAATCATGATCAGAAAGTAACAATCAATGGTAACCAATCCCCAAAGGCATTCTCTAAGGTTATTTTACTTAAAGATTCTGTTTAATTACCAAAAAACACTGAGTCTTTCAAACACAGGTGCCCAGAACATTAGCATACTGGAGCTATGCTCCAGGAAACTGAGCATAACTGAAAACTGAAATCAAGTTTTGCACTCCAGTGCCAAACTTCTCTCATCAAAAAGGCTAATGCCCACTGTTTTAAGCCCTCTAGTAACATTTTACTCTTTGGTGCTAGTCTGCTTCAGAGCCACCAACAACACGTACACAAAAATGCTGTGATTTCCATTGCCAAAGGAACAGAAACAGTTGTTTTAAGAGGATTGTGACACATACCATATTTTTTCTCAAACAGTTCTTCAACTTGCCTTCTCAAGTCTGTAATTCGTGCGTTCCATTTATCTGCAAAGAAAAGAGGACAAGTCAGACTGCAGACAAAAACGAGAATCTCTTGTAAGACCTGTTACCACTAACAGAAACATGCAGCGTGCTTTTATTGCTCATCTACATACAGATTCTGGCAATACTAAACCTCAAAATACATGGATAAAATCCGAAAGAATAAGATGTTTAAGATTGCTTCCCAAACTTGTGTAGATCTTAAATCAAGGTTTTGTTTGTTTGTTTTTTAAAGAAAACAAAACAAAAAAGGACAAAACCCATGCTAAACCAAGTCCCAAACTTTTCTTTGATGCCTCAGTCAGCAGCTCTGACCACCATTAGGTGAAAAGTCAGTTTGCAGCTGCCGTTGGTAGCTGTCTGAATCCAGGGCCTGAACAGCTTGATGAAGCTGACAGTGAGCACGTGAACTTGTTTTGGTGTTAATCCATACAACTACATGGATCAGGAAGCTCTACGTCTTCCTCTTCCTTAATCCAACATTTCCCTAAGTCCTGATTTTGCAAGACCTCCTCATAAATCCTACTTCTGAAGGAAGATGCAAGTTGCAAGACAGAATTTATCCAATTCCAACTGTGTATTCCCTGGAAAATTGGATTAAACGCCAACACATTAACGTCTTATTTTCTGCTCATGACAGAGAGCATGCAACAGCATTTTCTGCTGAACTGCAGGACAGTGGATTAACAGCAACTCTACCGTAAGAGTCAGAAAGATACAAGCCAGAATTTATTGGGTTGAAGGGAAAACCCTGTTTCAGTGCATAGAGCTGCTGAACACATGGACAGTCCTGAGACAACAGTTTGTGCATCTGTGAGGATGAGAACATGCTACTCAGCACAACAGATTTGCTGGTTGCCTTTACAGCTCACAGTGCATATCAAGGAAGACCATCTGGACACATTCCTGATCTAATGCTTGTCATCCTTCACTTCAGTAGCACATTCAGTCTGATTTTCTTGCACAGTAAGTCAACCGACAAAAAAACTGACCAAGCACTGGCATGCCTTACTCCAGCACTGTGAAACTGCCTAATACCTCTTGATGAAACAAATCAGAGGGAAATAAATCTTGAATTTTTTTTTCTTACCAAAATTGAACTCTCTCGCTTTTCTTTTCCCAGTACTGGCAGCTTCAGGTGCTGCCTCAGTGTTCTTAGATCTCTTGTTAGGGGGCAAGTAGTCTTCATCATCTGAAAGAAACATGAAAATATCACAGCTTTACCATCCAGAGAACTGATGTGCAATGTTGGAACTGTTTGAATTTCAAGCCTTAATACAAACATTGATCCATGCTTTATGAGAGCTTCACATTTTGCAATAAATTACTTGAGTAACTCTAGAAAGCTGCTGGCCTGTGTGGGAACAATTTGTGTGAGAACATTGGCACAAAGCAGAACACAGGAGAAAAAAAAAGTCAAAGCTTCTTTACATTTCCTAAGGAAAACAATATTGTGTTCTGAAACAGCTGGTCATCTCATGATCACACAGTGACTATGTGACAGCAAAAGAAACAGCAAATGAATTGTGCACATACAGACTAGATTTTGTATCCAACTAAAAGTACCCTTCCACCAACAAGCACTGACAAATAATGCTTAAGTTCAATACTGAAGACCTCAAAGGTGCTAAAGTCAGTTTAAAATCAATGCAAAACTGATGAACTTTGGTGAAATTCATTAAACAGAAGGTCTGCCCTAGCCAAAAAACATACAAGTGGATGCAGACATCTGTGACCCTGAGGTCTTTTTTAAGCAAGGTGCTACTCAGCCAGTCAGCTCCCACCCCACAGCACTGGCTTCTCTACAAACCCACAAGTTCTTGGAAAACTCCAGTCACCAACACTTGCATATTTGAATGAGAAAATGGTTAAAGCAGACAGAGAAGTTAATTTCACGTGTAGAACAGCACACGCCCAGGTCAGCGTGCATATAGTTTAGTTAGAACCATAGAATCACAGCATGGTTGGGCTGACAGGGACCTCACAGCCCACCCAAGTCCACCCAATGCCACAGGCTGGTTGCCCCCCAACCAGATCAGCCTGCATCTCCAGTGATGGGGCACCCACACTTCAACGGGCAGCAGTGCCAGGGCCTCACCACCCTCTGAGAATAAGAATTTCCCCCTAACATCTAACCTAAAACTCTCCTCTTCTACTTTAAAGCCATTCCCTCGTCCTATCTCTATCTGCCCACGTACAAAGTTGCTTTCCTTCCTGTTTGTGAACTCCTTTAAGTACTGGAAGGTTGCAATGACATTTACCCACAGCCTTCTCTTCTCTGAACAAGCCCAGTTGCTTTAGAAAGTATATTATCACACATTAGGAAGTACAGTATTACATACTGACATAAAAGCCCTACAAACAGAAACATAGGAACTGGATAACTTACCTTCCAGGGTGACCTCGACCTCGGGATCCTCACGTGTTTCTGAAGGAGGATGCTGGGAGGAATCTGAAGGGGAGAAAAAACAACTTCTGAACTTCTGTTTGGACACAAACACTTTTAACCAAGCACTCAACGATTTTCTGCTTTAACTGACACCTGTCAAGAAGCTCCCTGACTCACTGAAATGTTTCACATTTACAGCATGCAACAAAAAAAAGGAGCAAAGCTTTCTTACCATAAGCCTTTAAGCAACTCTAGGCAGGGATTATACATGGTAAATCACATGTACAGCAGCACAGAGGGCTGGCATTAATGACAGGAGGAAATTCCTTACTCTTGGCTTAATAGGATTAATAGAATCATAAATATTTTTCTCTTAGCTATCAAGGATTACCAAAAACATAAACAAAGCCTGTGTAGCCCTACAGATGATGCATTTCTTTATCATTTACACAGATTCAGAGCTGTTGCACTACGATGGTTTCCCACAACAGGCTCCAAAGGCCAACAGTGAAAATGAAAATGCTTGCATAGGGGCAGCCTGTACCAATACAGTAAACAGGATTAGGCCATCAGCACCTGGTAGCAGAAAGCAATTTGAATTTAACTCCTAGAAAATTTAACAAAAGCAATGTCAGTCATCTCAGTAACCACTCATAGCTGTGCATGAGGGAAAACATTAACTCTTCTGGCAGAGCAACACTGTTTGCACACTTTGAGGACTATCTTAGCTCAGGTTTCTGTAAGCTCTATCACCCCACATCACTTTGTTGGAGGGACCCTTCTCTCCTTTCCATACGATGCCATGTGTGGTAGAGGTCCAGCAATACTGAGATACCTTATCTGGATGACACAAATTATGTCAAACGTATCATCAGGCATAAACACTAAAGGCTTGTGGTTGCTTTTTCCCCCCAACACAGTATGATCATGGTGAGGTATTTTTTTGATCTTATATCCTTGTATCAGGTAATAAGGTAAATAAACACAGGTGCTAAGCAGCAGCATCCCTTACAGTTCTTAATGTTGTCACTCTCTGGCACTGCCATTCAGTTTAACTTTCTGATTACTGAATTTCAACAGTGTTGTGCTCCACACTCACCCAGTCCTACTAAAACTAACAAGCACTTGGCAGCTATATCCAACCTGGGCCATTCCATGCACGTGGAAGTTTTGTCTCTCCCTCATTCAGGAAAAGAGTGTAAGAAAACCCTACTCTGACACAAAGTGCCACACACAGCATCTATAGCAATGAAATGCTACACAGGCAAAAATAAAGCAAAGTCAGATTCTCAGCCATCGGCTATCACTCCCTACAATCAGGCACCAAGGGCTCACAGCACTATGCTTTGGAAAATACAGTGCCTAGACTTCCCTTTCAAATAAGCAGTGCTAGCTGTGCAGCCAGCACGAGAGCAGAGAACTTCATTCTCCTGTATCAGGAGAAATGCTGTTAAATTTCATGTAACAGCACCTTTAAGTGTGGTGATATGTATCTTCAAAGCATGAAATGATGAGACTGGGAAGACTGAATACTGCTGCTAGCATAACTTGGTCTTAACATCCAAAAAATGCTTACAGCTTAGGTTTGAGAGGCAGGAGTTTAGAATGTTGGGTGATAGGCACCTTACAATTATAATTCATTAATTAGAAGCATGGCAACTCCCATCACGACAGTAAGCCACAGAGCACCATGGTTTGGGGGATTAATAATAATAATAATAAATACAAAAAGGCAACCATGTAGAAAGAACACTTGGAGAAAATGTACAACTTTAAGATGCCAACTTTAAGTATTTCCGTAAAAAGAAAAATCCAATTACTTTGCTTTCATGCAAAACACCTTCTACTGTTATTTCCACACGTGCTCTGTCACTGCAACTGGAATCCTAGTGGCTGCCTTTAGACAAACATCTCATAACACAAAAAAGTAACTTTTGGACACTGAATATTCAAAGCAAGGATTTTCATAAGCCAAAAATTCAGAACGATAACGTTCAGATGAACACCATAATGAAGGTTCAGTCTCTGAACCTTGAAACCTGATGACAGCACTCTGACCTTATAAAGAAACCCACTGTTGAAATGCAGATGAGCTTTTCCTAATGTCTGCAAATGGGCAGAATGGTACTTTTAATAAACAAGAAAAAGCAGAAAGAAATGCAATTTATGAATCAATTCATCTCAGATGTTCTTGAGATTCAGTAAGGAACTGCTTCCCCTAAGGATATGCTTTCTGTATACTTTGTTCTGTGTGCTGTTCACATCACACCCAGCTAAATTAAATATCTATGTATATACAGACCTACCTGTGTAACTTTTGGCCAGAGCAATTCTTTCATCCATCTCTGATGTTTCAGAAGGGCCTCCTTGGAAACAAAGAGAACATTTTTTCAGTTGAGTCTCACCATACACTCATCTTCCCACTCCACAGAGAAAGCTGACAAATAACCCAACTTTAGGCACCACGTGCTCACTTCAGACTTCCTGCAAAGTTGAATTCAGCTGTGAACTATGAACGCTTCTATGCCTTCTCTCATTCACTTGAGCAAAATTTGAGGGACTAATGGAAGGCACCAGGAAGCACAAGATGGTATTTTCATAGAATAGTCCAGGTTGGAAGGGACCTCAAAGATCATGAATCTCCAACCCCCTGCTACATGCAGGGCCACCAACCTCCACATTTCATACCAGCCCAGGCTGCCCTGGGCCCCATCCAGCCTGGCCTTGAACACCTGCAGGGTCAGGGCATCCACAGCCTCTCTGGGCAGCTGTTCCAGCACCTTACCACTCTCTTTTCTCTACATATTCTGTGGAATTTTCAAGTTAGTGCCTATGTGTCAAGTCCTACTTTCCCCAGATTTATATAGCCAAGTTCATGTGGAGACCAGTCTAAGAGCTGAAGAACCCATTCACTCACAGGACACGCTGCTTGCAGCCATTTCCTTCTGCTTCTAGTTCTCTTTGTTTAAACCTCAAGGCATCAATGGTAACAGAAGACTCGAACCTGTAAGTTTCACTGGGCAAAACATGCTTCTTTCAGGAAGTGCCTGGTAATTAGCAAGACTCAATTCTATATGGGCCATGTTTCATTCTGTGCTGTTAAAGAGGACAGAAGATGGTACGTACCCCTGAGTAATTCCTTTAACATATTTCTGCTTCTGCGTAAACTGAAAAAACTAAAATACATACAGCCCAATTCTATTTTGTTCACTGCTTCAGAGCTGTTCTCCTTCTGGCACCAATGGCTTTCCAACCTCATTCCTTCCAAGAAAGATCTTCGAGACAGCCTGCACCTTGTTTGCAGCCTTCTAGCTCAGTGTCCAGGTTTGTTACTGGCCAACACTCCTGAACACAAGGTAGGCATAGGCACAAGGATGTTCTTGTTTCGAGGACACTAAACCAAGAAACAGCATGTTAACTAACATTTCCTATCCTAAGAGCTCATAGATTAGGTGCTTACAGCAACGTTAGGTACCTATATGATTTTTGGAACTCATGATTTTATTTAGTCCTGCAGTTTTACTGTCCTTTACCTTATTTAGTCACCAGTCAAATCTGCACCTTCCTTTCAAATAGGTTGTCTCCAGTGTCAGCCAAAGCATTTAACATTGCACTGATCTTCACATTTGTCCAGGATAGAGGAAAAAGTAACCAATAACCTTCCACATTGCCACTGCCCACTGAAAGAAAACTGTCCCTAATGCCCTATCAAAACACTTGGGGGAAGTTTTTGAAGGTTAAAATGTTCTATTTCCTTATCTTCTTGCTTTGTACTTCGAGCACCACCTTCCTAAATTTAGTAATTCAGGAGTTAATTCATGGCAAGATCCAAATGCCACAGCAGATTATGAGATAATAAGGGATGAGAAGAACGTCCATCTCCAATTCTAATTTCTCCCCCCTTTGATTCAGTGGAGAGTTGTGTGTGCCACCAAGGCATGCAGACTCCTGGTCAGCATTACAGACATGTGAGAGAAAACAAATACTCAAAAAAACAATAACTGTGAAATTCCAGCAGTAAATCATCTCTCCAGGAAGCCCCAGGCACGTTGCTGTTCTGTAACATATAAGTTATTTCTTCTCATAAATCAATAAACCCAGCTTTTGCCGTAGGATATTCTTAGTGAGATCCCAGCCATTTTCCTTTTTTCTGCAGTCTGTCTACACAAAAGGAAATGCCTGTGTAGACTGATCTCACCTCTCAAAACACACCTTGGTAGAACTGTACTTCTCTGAGGCTCTCCTCTTGGCTCTCCTCCTGTTCCTGTTGAATTTATAGCTTTGTATATTTTGTACAACCTTTGGCTTGAACCTTGGTGATAGCCACTCAAAGAAACGAAGGGGAAGCTTCTTGACTTGAGGGGAAGGTAACACACTATGACAGGTAAAATCTCTTTGGCTCACAGCACATCATCCTTCCTCCCAGTAGACTCAAGTGTAGCCTCCCCTTAAATATAAGTTTACTACACTGGGAGTGGGGGAAAGGAGAGTTGTTACTGGAGCATCTATTTATCTGAAAAAGGTGTACATTACCTCCCACCCATAAGATTTAAATTTAGAGATGTCTAATGAAAGACAAGAGAAACTCCTTAAGAAAATCCACATTGCCTGGACTTCACTATGGAAGCATGCCGTATAAATTGATTTTCTTTAGTTCCAACATGCTTGCATTACAACAAGTTACTGCTTTCTTAGTGATTTCAGTACAGACTCTTTTCAAACAGGGACGGATTGCACTTCAGGCTAGTGGCCAAATTCTGACATTGTGGGGTTTTTTTGCATGAAACAGAAAGCCACAAGGGGCTGAAAAGCAAAGAAAGATGACAGCTCCAAAAAAGCAGCTGTTATTACTGCATTATATCCTTCCTGTAAACCCACGGACCCAGAGGCTAAGCAATGAACAAGCACAAAGAAAAGATGATCATAATCCCAGATAATTCACCTTTCAAATTCTGCACTGAGTAGAGACATTTTGGTTTGCCATGTGGTTATGGTCATTCTGAACGATGTTTGTACATTACAGCATCATAGAACCAACATTCTCTTATTAGTATGTTTTAAGCAATTAAAACAGGTTAGAAAATAATCTAATATAGGAAATAATCTAATAGGAATTTTTGTGTTGAAACACCAACAAAAATCTTGCTTAAATAATATATTATTACAGAATGGAAGGATGGGCTGCTTTGCAGCCCACTCTTCAATATATTATTGTCCTTCAGAGATGCATGGCAACTTGCCTGTGGTTTTTTTTTTTTTTTTTTTTTTTTTTATACTGCTATCCTAATGACAAATGCAAAGAAGCTGAAATAATACATTTAGGGATCTATTTATATTTTTTATATTGCCATTTGTAATTAGGGCTTCTTACTTACTGCTCATTTTAACCTACAGAACATGATTTTCTTACGGATTTCTTTATTTGTTCCTGGTTGAGATTAACTTGCAGTATTTTCATTAGATATGAACAGATGAAGCACAACTGAGAAATATTTCAAAATATACTCAGAGCCACAGTCATGGATCTCACAGATGCTGCTATGCTTTGTCTATAGGAATATAATCTTAACTTTCAAAACAGTTTTGGCATGCACTGGTCTTTCCCTCCAAGGAAAGCAATTGATGCAGCTGAAACTAAAGAAAAGATTCAAGCACTGCTCTGAGCATTACTATCAGCAGGGTTTGCTCCCTGCTTAAAAACATCCGTGGAAATATTTTGCATGCAGGAAAAAAAAAAAAAAAAAAAAAAAAAAAAAAAAAAATCCAGCCAAAAAAAAAGGAGAAGAAAAGAAAAGAAACAAGCTTCTCTGTTAAGTCCCAAACACACTCATACGTTACCAATATTACTCTGAAGAATAACAAAAGATGTGAAGTACAACTTAACAGCAGCCAGCATGGAGATGCTGTAATCATAACAGCAGCAAGCAATTTTATGTCTGACAACCACAAGTAGGCAGAAGGAGAGTAGAGGGAGAGCAACTCTTTCAGGAGCCAACCCAGTGAGGAGATAAGCAGATGCAGAAGCTGCTATCTCTACCTTGAATATTGTACTGATAGTAATCAGGATCCTCTGATTCTTCCTTCACTGTCACTGTTGACATTTCCAAAGGAATTCCTGTAGAAGCAATAAAAGAATCAAATAAGTAGATTAAAGATAATCAAGATAGGACAAGGGGGAATGGTTTTAAACTGACATAGGGGAGGTTTAGGTTGGGTATTAGGAGGAAGTTTTTCACACAGAGGGTGGTGAGGCACTGGAACAGGTTGCCCAAGGAGGCTGTGGATGCCCCAGCCCTGCAGGCATTCAAGGCCAGGCTGGAAGTGGCTCTGGGCAGCCTGGGCTGCTGGTTGGCAACCTGCACACAGCAGGGGGTTGAAACTAGATGGTCATTGTGGTCCTTTTCACCCCAGGCCATTCTATGAAGTTCTTAACAACTAAAAAAGTCAATAACTCAAAAACAAGCAAACAAAAAAACCCCTAATATTCTAGCTAGTTTTCTTTTCTTGTTTAGATACAAATTGATTTCCAAGTGCTGAGGCACTAAACAATTGCTGAGGGGAAAAAAAAAACAAAACAGTGACCAAGTGACACAGTGACGTTGCACGTTTCTCGTGTCTCAATACGGTTCCCATCAGAGGTGATCCAGCACTAAATGCATCCCTACAAAGCAAACATCCCTGCAAACACCATCTGATTTCTGAAGAATTACAAAGAACAGCTTCCTTCCCCCACAACAAAACACAGTTCTACAAAACACCAAACTGCACAGCCCAAACCAGGGAAGCAGGAAGGCACAACTCATCTCCAAACAAACCTGTTGTCTCCCTGCAATTATTGCTGTGTTAATCTCAAAGCATACACCTAAGCACTGCTTTGCTACAGGGAACACAGTGCCTCGCAGCATCCTGTCCCAGCTGCAGGGAATGATTCTATTCTTTTTTTTTTTTTGATTTTTAAACAAAAAGTAACATTTTCCTATTTGTTTCCATCTCATTATCAACATTCTGGTAGTGCTATTATATAAGCTGGTAAGTTCCACTCTCCACATTAGGGATAAAATAGTGCTGAGTAAGAATGAAAAGAAGAGCTGAGGACCTTTCCCTTTTTTCACTTCCAATGATAATAAATGATTTCAGGCTACAAAACATGACAAACCCAGAAGTGGAAACCTCTGGCTAAGGTAAAAAAAATTTGATAAAAACTGCAATGGAAAAGTGGCCATTTTTAACTAACAAGCAGTTTCTCTCTCGCACGCAGGGTGGATTTATGCTGGTTTTATTGGATCTTCCTATCACCATTTCAATACAGCCTTCTGAACAGAAACTGATGATGCAGTTGTTTGGCAAATAAGGACAAAATTCTGAACGTACCAGGATCCTCACTAGGCTCCGTTTTCACTTGAACAGGAAGGCAACTACAGAAACAAACAGAATGAACACAGTGACATTATAAAACCCCCAAATCCTATTTCTGGAAAGTTCCTCATAGTTTACAAGCTGTCTAGTGAAATCAGCCTCGAGGGGATGGGGATGGATCTCCCAGCCCTGCACTCAATGGATGTGCACAACGCTCCAAGTACGTTTACCATCTAATGAGAAGTGCACTCAGCAGAAGCACAGAACGTTTCCCTGCTTTCACATAAAACAGTTTTTTTATTTATTCCAAATATAAGCTCTCAGTTTAGAATCAAATAAATATACAGATATATAAAGTTTTTTTAATTAAGGAAGGGGAAGGGAAGAACATTGCATCTGTTCCCAGTCGCTGCTTTAGCATAAGACATGGCAAACTTATCACTGATAGACAGACTGTGAATTAACAACACTCACTGGGCTAATTAGACTCAACGGAAACCTCATCAGCTGTTTAATTTGTAATAGTTTCTCCACAAATAATGGTGAAAAGAAAGAGACTGTCCGTGCTCTTTATAATCCCATGCTATCAAGAAGTTGTCCAGAGGTCAGCTGGTCAGAAAAAGCCCATTAAGATAAATTATATGAAATCATATGAAAACACACTGTTGACACTGACATCAAATTATGCAACAGAAGTAGATGGAATATTTAAAGACATGCAAAAAACCCTACATTATTTTAAACTCACCTTCCACCTGGAGGTATAATTGATTGTGAAGGATCTGTCACATGAGCTCCTGGAAGTTAAAAGATATCATGTGAATTTCCTTTAACACCCTTCAATTCAAATTCTGTATACAGAGCCCATGCACATGCAAAGATACGAAGAAGAGAGATTAATTAAATTGGATTATTAAACTGTCAAGTAACACCAATATATAATTGCTTCAAACTATGCTTTCCACTGCTCTCTTTCCAGATTTGAAAGTTGAAATGTTGGGAAACAAAGCTAAGCAAACCTTTCACCCAAACAAAGGAGATGCTTACACTGAAATTCCAGTTTATTCCTAAATGAAAGTCTGAACAAGCAGGAACTTACCTAACTCTTTCTTCGGCTCTAGGAAAGGCCTGTATGGAAATAAGGAGAAAAAAAAACACCAAACCATAGCTTTAGCAAAATAGATCAATATGGACTTCGTAGTACAAAACTAAAAAGGGAAGACTTCTGTTTAATAGAAACAGAAGCAATTTAAGAAGTGGAATTTGAATTCCAAAAATGAACAAACGAGCAAACTAGAGAGCAATTAACCTTTTGATGATAAATGAGATCCCCGACTTGTTTTCCAAAATCCACTTCAGGGTTGAAACATCGTAATTTTCCGGATGCATGAACGCAAGCCCCTGGGGCAGGCCCTGCACCACCACAGCAGATTGGTCTCTCTGAATCTTCTCATACGGCACTGGGACCACCGTTGACTTTCCTAAAGCTTTACCTAAAACCAAAAGGAGATTGTCACAAAATCAGCAGCTAGCAAAAGGATGCGTGCCTCATAAACCCCATTACTTCAGAGAGGACTGGAGAGAAAACAAGGCACAGATGCAAACCCCTGCAGGAAACCAAGCACCTCATGCACCAATATTCAGTGGAACCCACTGAGGCATAGATGCTTACTTAAAAGCAAAGGGGCCGTACTGCACCACAGTCTCAAACTAAATGCTGCAAAACAAATAGGAAATAAAACCACCCAGTATATGTGCATGCTGTAGAATCAGCCAGTACAAAATAAGCTCATTATCTAAATTACAGTACAGTTGAAAAGCTAAGATTGATACTAGGTAGACATTTTTAAGTGTTCTAAGGGGAGGATACAGGTAACAGAAACAATCCTCCCTTGGGAAGAAGAGGGTGTTTGTGCTACATCAACATGGGTGAAGAATCCTTCGATCAAGAGCTGCCTATATTAAAGCAGAACACCTCGACCTTTTATGTTATCTGATTAATCAGTACCAATTGATCCCCTTGGAAAACTGGCAAGAGGAGAAGTGCCCAGCTCGTTCTTAGGTGGCCATGCAAGTGTAAAAAGAGCAAGGGGAGCACTGCCCAAATGGCCACCAAGGGCCATGTAAGGCCTAGGACACAGCACAGGCACAGATGGCCAGGAAAGCAGACAAAAGGGGAGGCAATATTATGATGGCTTAACTTATGGATATATAGGTAGGAGGTGTCCCTTCTCTATTAGATAGGTGGAATATGGAACACTTGAGAATTTCGTGTATAAATACAATGAAGAAAATTGCATTATTATGCTTGATTTGTGTAAACTTCCCCCAGCACTCAGGTCCAAATAAGAAGTATCTCTCCAGAGTGTGTGGGAATTGGCTCACTGCACACTGGGTAATGGATCTGCTTTTCAGACAAGATCATAAAGCACCCTCCCTCCAACTGGAATAAAAATTCAGAAATCCAAAGCAGGTATTCTGAAGACCCTGAAGCACCCACCATAGCAAAAGCAGAAGTAGTCCTCTACAGACTTCCTGAGAGCTTCCAGTTCCACAGCATCCACTGTCAGCCTGTTGGCAGGTGGTACATACTTCGTTTCCTGCAGCTCTGCAGCCCTCTCCCCTTCTACAACACCTAAAAATGAGGCAAAAATCAAACAAGTTATTAAAACCCTCACGACCAAGCTCCTCTAGTTTAGGCTACAGAGGAGTTAAAAGGATTCCTGCTCAAAAGTTCTTCAACCTAGAGGCAAATGTATGTGGGCAGTAAATATTATTATGCTCTCCATACAGCCTTTGTAAATATCCCCCTCTGAGCATAAGAACGATTAATTAAGAGACACAGCCAAGCTGACTTCTCTTTGCATGTAGATGTAGAAAACACCACTAATCCCAGGAGAGAAAGATACAGTAGAAATTAAATGCCAAAGGCAAAAGGAAGAAAGGGTAGGAACACTACACAGGAAAATACTAAAACCTCTGTCTCTGGCACTACACCTGATGTCTCATTCAGCAGATGCTGTATCCTGTTATAGGACACAGCTCCTACCTTGCGTGGCTTCTTCACCTTTTAAAAGACACTGAAGTACATCTGTTGCTGAGCAGGGGGAGCTGCTAACAACAGAACAAATGAAAAGAGTATTTCAGTCCTAAACCTTATTCTATTTTGATCATAAGCAGCGAACAGAAGTTATCTATTTTCAGGAGCAGCCTTTCCTTTCTGTTACTGTAGTTTTACTGAGAATCACCCATGAAAAAGAAAAAAAAATGGGGGAAAACAATATTTTTTTTTCTACAGATGAAAGAAAACACAAGAAAGAACTACATTCCTACGAGTAACAGGACAATCACTGTCAAAACTGCATCATGATTTCACTGTGAACAAGAACATAAACACTGCAATTCACACCAACACTGCTAGAGTGGTAACATGGCTAACACGAGAAAGCAAACATCAGATTGAACAACTGCTTATAAATGGCTGTGAAACAAGCTGAGAAGAAACACTCGCACTAAGAAGAGGCATTTGTCACCTAAAAAAAGCCCTCATTAGGCCCAGTAAGGGTGGGAAGGTGAGATGGTAGAAGAGCTGTGTTCTCCACAGCTGGGAGCACACAGCAAGATTAGTACAGGTACTCTGCTAAAGCCAACCTGTGCTCAGCAGGGTTACAAACAAGCTACCTTCAGCAACTCTCACCTTCCACTGAGCATCTGTATGGTCAAGCATCCTTTATCTTCCTGCCTTACCTAGCTGTTTTGGTTACTCAGAACCACCTTCTTGCCCTGAGCACAGTGGGAGGCAAAGCAATCACCCAAGCAGCACACAGCTGTCTCCATCCTCATGATGAAAACAATCATCTTTCTATAAGGGCTGAACAGGTTGCTTTGAAAGAAAAGCCCTCCAAACATTTTGGTTGTTTGTGACTCAAAATGATGGAATTTCAGTTTGGTAGTTTTTTTTTTTTCTTGTTGCTTCAGAGCAGCTCAGCATCTACAGCCTGGCCTCTGTGCAGGTCAACACTGCAGCTTCCTTCCCTAAACAAGAGCTGTGATGCTTATAAACTGATGAAGAGCAGCACAGCTCAGCAGTGTTACACAACACCTGCTCTGAAGGTCCACCAAAGCATATTCTCTGATTGCAGACAAAAATAGGCCACAAAGCACATCTGCATTCAAACACCAGACTGCAAGGAAGGGAACACTGCTGCAGGCTGCAGTTCTTTACCAAGCAGAGCTGTGCTGCAGCCAAGTAACAGAGAGAGTGCTGCCTACAATCCACCTAAAAAAGAAAAATCAAGCTTTAGCAGATAAACAATTTAACTGAAGTCAAAGAGGAGATGGTGTGCAAACAACGAGAGAGAAGGAGGTGGGATCCACTATTTGACATTCCTCTAGCAAAAGGGGCATTGGGCCCATGGTAGGCAAGGCATCCTGCAACAAAATGTTGGCATTCCCCCAGGTACTGGGGGAATTTACTACCTGATTTACTGATTTACTTACCTGATTTACTATCAGGAAATGATTGTAGGAGTACCAATGTCACCACGTGCAGACACTGAGAGGCACAGTAAGGCCAGCAACTCCATTGCAGCAACACAGGACACGCATTTCATCCTTTGTGCTTAAGGAAAACTATTATCCAAAAGTGACTACAATCAATCAGAGGGAAAGCGTTCACACTTTTGCTTGGCTTTGCCCATCTAATTCAGCCCTAAGCTTTTCTATTCGACAACAGCTATAAAGAAAAATAATGTAATGATTGTCAAAGAGAAGATCACCTGAGGCAGACACTGAGGAGGTGGGTATTTGAAGTGCTACTGATGCAACTCTGCAACTACAGGGAAGAAAACGGGTAGGCTGCAGTGAGATGAGGCTTAACTCTCTGAGCAGGTGGGTTTTTTTCTTTCTTTAATTTTACTTTTTGTCGTTGTTATTGGCATTCTTTTTTGTTGAAGTACTCATTAGCTTAATAAACCTTAACTGGTGAGGCAGAGACAGAAGAACAAAAGGTTCCTGCCAAGGAAACCAGCCCTAATAAGGATTCAAAAGAGCTCACCACATCCTAAACAAACCAGGAACAGTGCAGGCTGGCTAACATCGGCAGTGCTGCAAGAAAAAGGTGACTGGGCTGGCACAAAGCCTGCAAGAGCCTCTGTTCCCAACACATCCACATATTCAGGGCGGAGAGCAGTGGAAGCAAAGGATTTTGAGAACCATCCCTGAGGAAGGCAGGCAGAAAATTCTGAGAGATCTTTCAAAATTCCTATATACCTATATACCTGATTACACACACGTTGCATTTTCAGAAGTTCTTTTAAAGGTATTCTTTTTTCTTTTTTTTTTTCCTCCATTTTGAGAAGTTGTAAAAAGGCATCAACTAATTCTTAAATCTAAGGGAACTGACTGAGAAGTAAAACTTAGCAAAAACAGAGTAACTCACCCCTGATGCTGTGTGTGTGTGTGAAAAGGCTACAAAGGAGATACAGAAGAAGGCATGGCTAGCCAGGACAGACCATCAACCACTTCAGCAGGAGTCCCTGTACCAACGTGGGAAGTTGGAGGGGAAGAAAAAAGAGGGGGAAGAGAATCACAGTTAAGGACAAAAGTAAAAGGATCTAACAGGCCACAAGGTAAGGCTGAAACAGCATGACATGGATTATTAATGTGGAGTTCACCTAGCGAGCACATCAGTGATTAAGAAAAGTGCAGCATAAGACAGCCCAAGAACTGCACTGTGTGTTTCACAAGGTGAGACAGAAGGGGACTGGTAAGCCAAACCCACTAAGTGATCTCAAACGGAGAGAACGATGGCAGGAAAGCAGCACTCAGTTGATGACTGCTTTGGATTTTATTGTTACTTCTTGCAACTGTTCAGTAAGCGCTAGAAAGGAATATTATCTTTATTTAAACTCAACTGTAACCATGATTTATTGTGAATATACTGATCAAGTCTTTAAAGGGAGATGCTTTACCTCACACCACAGGCTAAATAGAGACTTGGAAGTGATGGAATTCCAAAGACTTAATTCAAAGAACGAACGCAGTTCTGCTTGTTCTGTCAAGCAGTTATAACTGCCCCAAAATAGGGTGGGAATAAAAACAAGTGCACAATGCAAACTAGTGCTTCTGATAAACAGAGTATGATGTAATCAACAAAGAGACAGGAACTGCAGAAGCTCAGGGTGCTGGAAGCAGCAAGAGAATGGAAGAGCAAGAAAGCAGGTAAGACAAAGCAAACAGTTACCATGCCCACAGCTTTTGTACAAAACAATTATGAAACTATTCCCTAATTAACTCCAGGCAGAGCCAGCCAGGTTAGCACAATGCATCACTAACAAGGCATGGTACAACCTGGCTCACATAACATGGAATGGACAAGAAGTGTTCATGGGATCCCTTCCACCAGCAGGGCACCAAGGCCCTAACTCCCCAGTGACAGGAGTAAATATGTGATGGCAACCAGCATGCTTGGTCTGGGAAATGGTGACAAGCTACTGTCAGCACAGCCACGAACAGCTGTCAGCCTCTTCTCATCTTGCCATTTGCAGAAATGCCAATTATTCCAAGTCATCTGCTGCAAGGAGGGAAGAAAAAAAAAAAAAACAAAACATTGAAAACTCAAGGATATAACCAAGAGCCACAGCTGAGGAAGCTCCCATTACGACTGACTGGAGATTGCCTGTTCCAACACATGCTTAAACAGAACAAGCCTTCAGCAAAGGCCACTCCCAGATGGAGTTCCTAAGGGAATCTGGAATTAAAAAAAAAAAAAAACAACAAACAAGAGGTTGAGACCTACAGAGGTTCAACAGCTCAGGCTTGGCAGTCGGAAAGCATCCTGCTAATTACAGATTGAAGAATGCAACCAATCCAATCGTGCTCTGCTTCTATGTGTTCTTCAGAGTGTGCCAAATCTAAGGTGAGAATTGTAGTAGACACGGCCCAAAAATATGCATTTATAATAGGGAATGGATTAGAGATGGCACGTATGCACCTCCACAAGTGTGCTGTCAGGGTTAATCCTCCACCTGTCTCCCACTGTTTTTCTTTCCCTTACTATTTAAGCCTACAATTTAACAAATCCCCTCTTTGCTTAAACATTCTGTATCTTCAAGAGCAGCAAAAGCCACGTAAGTCACAGCTGACCACAGAACAGCTCAGGGCCAAAGAAAATGACTGTGGGAAACCAGTTTTCCCATTGACACATCACCATCAAAGAAGAAGTGGCATTTTTCAACTAGCTGCATTAGTGTCAAGGGATCACCCTGCCAGCAACACAAAGATGTCAGCTAGTTACAGAGTGGTATCCTCACATTTGCCCTGGCACAAGGAGGAAGTCTGCCCTTTAGATACTGTAACTAAGACAAATGGAATATGATCAGGAGCAGCTAGAGCCACTAGTAATCTCTCTTGTTAGAGTAAGGCTGAAAAATGTATTCAGCTCTTACCATATGTGTCAGGGAATGTAGCCTGCACTTCAGATCAGATACATTCTGCTTAGTGGCTGAAGAGCAAACCATCCCATTTAGAAGCTATTTCTGAATTCACACAGGCATTACAAGCAAGAAATACACAGTAAGAATACAGTCAGAAGTGATCAGGATCATAAGGAAGCAGCAAGGCTGCTGTATGAATACTTGGTTTACATCATAGCTGAAGCATCCACACCAAGCACTACAGAAGGCATGTGCCCAGGGTAGCAGTACAGCAAGTTGCTGTACCAGGAACTCTCTGGAGATTTAAAGATTTTTAAGCACAAGACTGAAATTAACCCAGAGCTACTGAGTTAAGAAGATATCCACACTGCTGTTGACTCCAACCTGTCATCCTCTAAACACAAGAGCATGATGCTCTCAGGCCTGCAAAAGAACAGTCTATCCAGCACAGCATACATATAATACAAATGGATCAAACGTGTAAATAGCTTCATCCATTAGACAGTGAAAGAAAGCTGCAAAAGAGGGCTTCAACACGTTAGGATCTTGTATTTATATGCTATATACTTGACTGAGCTCGATTTAAAAAACAAAAACAATTTGTCATTTATTTCTAGGTTGTCTTTTTTGAATATCATCAGCTACAAAGGAAAAAAAAAAACACTGATATAAGGGCTATTTGGATGGTAGATGGCACAGAGGCTTTCAAAAGCACCACTCCAGATTCTCTAGGCAGTTAAGCTGCTTTGCAAATCTGACTCTGCTGCTAGCACTGCTTTTTTACTGCCAGTATCAGGAATAACTGCAATTGCTGTGATGCAATGAGCAATGTCACACAGAACTGCAAGAGTAAAATTTACTGAGAACTCTTAAAAACAGGTTGGGAAATTGAGAAAAGAGGGGAAAACTGAGAAGAGTCACAAAACCTTCCATTTCTGGTGTCCAGTACAGGCAGTGCCCAGCCTAGCCAAGTCCTGCTGCTTAAACACACAGGGCAGACAGATGAAATGAGCTGCATCTCTTTATATAGTTAGGAAGACACTGCAAGGAAGGCAAGGTCAAGGTAAAATAGATTTGCTTTCATCTTACACAGGTATCCTCCAGCCCACGGGGATGAACAATTAGGGATGAAGTAGACTCATGCTCTCCAGTGTAGGTGTTGTATGCAAACTGACACTCAGAATCCAGCCTGCAATCCTTGAAGATGAAAGGATGCCCAGGATCAAAACATCAGTGTTTTTGTGCACTAGACACAAAGTCAAAACACTCATTCTCTATGGAGGAGAGATCCTGCACAGCAAACAGCAGCTCCTGTAGAAGCCAAACTCAGTACTGAGAACAGTCACTGCATACTTAAAATTGCTGTTACAAACTAGGAAGCCAGCATGTATCATTGTAAGACCCAAGGCATCGTTTAACTTAAGCCATGGATGCTTAATTCCCCCTAGAATACAGAGCTTACTATATGGCCCAGAAACGTTAAATTCAGTTACTCAGATGGAAATTACAGCCAATACCACAAAGCCCAACAGCTGGAGACTTGAAAGTACTTCTTTTTTGTGAAGAGATGGTAAGATGCAGCCTTTCATGGTTCTGTTTACCTTATTTTTCCTTATTGCTGACAAGAGGAAAAAACTCCCTGCAAAGCCTAACACGTTCTCAGAGACCAGAGGGGTGCAATGAGGCAGACACCCAGCCACAGATCTTCAGGCTGCTCCACAATAACTTTATTTATGGGACAAGTCACTTTACTTGCCTACAGAATTTGGAGGATATTGAAGATATTCAACAGTGATCCACATACCAAAGATACTGGTGAGTCAAAGCTGAGCTATCTTTCTTGTGAAGTCTCTGGAACACTGCGTGACATTCATTCATCACGAGTAGGAGGAACTCATTTAAAACAAAGTCTGATCACTCCTGAAGCTACAAGGAGCCCCTGCAACCCGTGGCTAGATGAACACGGAAGCACAGGTAAGAAGAGTGAAAGAGTCCCAGCCAAAGTCCCTCCAGGACTTAAAGCAGAACTCTGGCTAGATGTATTTCTAGGATCAGCAGAGAATCCTGAGGCCACTAGAAGGAAAAAGAAGGCTTCTAAGAATCCAGTGCTTACCATTCAGGATGAGCAGTCCACAGATGCAATCCCAAAGCCCTAGCACCAAAGAGTGAACAAGTAGCAACACTGAGAGCTGACAGAAAGCCACAGAAGTAGCAGGATTGTACTTCCACACAGCCCACGTGCTGCGGGTGCCACAGCTGGCACCAGTGGATGTTCAAGGACGGTCACCAGGACTCTTGGCAAACACTCAGCATCTGGGTGAGGGCTGGATACATGGTGCTTTCTAATCCTGCTCAAAGTACAGAGCAGGTGATCAAAAAGGCACTTCTGAGCCAACAAGCTCTTCTGAAAGTTTACTTCTGATTGGCAAAGTCAGCTCAGGGATGAGCTGAGGCCTCTTCTACTGCCCTTTTGTGTGTGCATGAGGATGAATCCCACAGAATCAATAGCAAACCTCAAGGGAAACTGTCAAGACGGCTAGATGAAGGGAACGTCATCCTCAAGACATCCCAGCCTTCCATCTCCTGTTCAGAATGGCTGATAATCCAGAGAGCAAGGAGGCATTTCATCTCACCACAGGGCATCCATGAGGAACTGTGCAATTCATTTCAGTAGGGAACAGCTAGAGGTACTGGTAGGATAAGAGGTAGATGATCTGCATTGCTTCCATACCCATGGCTTGCCCATACTCTGTATGATATTTGAGTGCCTCTCATATGCTCCTTTTTATGTAGAGTGGAAACTCACACAGGCTTAGAAGAACAGATGATGCAGGTTACCTGAGTTGCAGATCATGTATGGAAACACAGAGTTCCACACTACAAGGCATAACAAACCATTTCACTGTAACAAAGAGCTTGCAGCCATCTTAATTAAGCACAGCTCAGAAGAGTCTATTATCTGACTCCATTTTAAATAATTAATGCCTTTTCAACATTCAGCACACAACACATATCAACATTAAAAAAGCTATAACCTGTTCCCATCAATTTTTTTCTTAAGGTAACAAGGTACAACAAGATCCTTATGGATCTTCTTCCTTCCTTCACACCTAACCCATGAATATAGACTGAGATTTGAGTGGCTTCATTCACACAGATCTACCCCATGGTGCTCTGGAGGAAGCATAAGGAAAATACTGTTTTCAATGTAGATATTGTTTAATCATATCTGACAGTATAAAAAAAGATATTCATAGACAGTATAATTTAATAACTGGAACAAAACAAAGGGTCAGGATTAAGAGAACTGACATAAGATTTTAACATATGCATATCTACAGAAATCTTAACTGATACAGTTCAACCAGCACGGAAGGAAAACCAGTGCTTGCCATGGTCCAGAACCAAAAGCACAGACCTAGCCAGGGAGATCAAACAGACCCAGTTACTGTAGATCCCACACCAACACACACTGCAGACAAAGCCCACAGCATTCTACCTGGGCATGCAATACCACTGTTCTGCCTGTACCACTGGGTTAGCAAACAAAGTATTTGGGTTCACAGGGAAATCCTTTAACAGCAGGTCAGGTGAAAAGCTGAACATCCTCCAATTATTCAGCTAATAGTTTTCATAAACACCAGTATAAAAACCCTGCCCCTGTAGAAATTATGAAGAGGAGGAATGGATTTATCTGATCCTCAATTCCTCACTGAGGTCATCACCCTGCATTTTGATATAATGTTACAGCCCCACATTACAGTGGTTTTCTTAGAGTAAATACACTTAGGCCTGCAGAAAGTCACTGTCCCACAGCACAGCAGTGGACAAATCCAGACTCTTACCAGATAATCTGGATCTTCAGAGTTTTAACTAGCAGCAAAAGCATTTTTAGGAGCGAATCTTTCTGTTACAGATTAAACATGGCTGCACCGCACACAGTGTTTAATTAGTCAAGCCAGCATATCTTACAGCTGTTGTTTTAAAATTCCTGCAGACTGGTTTTTCTCTCACATCCTGCTCTTGACCTTCATCTTCTCCCTCCCTCAGGCAGATAAAGGCACTCTGCATTATTGGCTAAGCACTGACCATCAGCAGTGTTTTCCTATACACGCATGTAAACCCTCCACAAAGAATCACTGCATCTTTGAGAGCCCACTCTTAAAACACTGCTCTGTACACAATGAATCACGTTTTATAATCACACGAGTTCCACTATGAAAATTAATAGAAACAAAAAACACTCCCACAGATGTGAAGGGGTACAAAAGTAACGCAGCTGTAACTTCAGAGCAGCATACAGAATGCAGCCACGATATACAGGACTTTGCTCTCAAAGGATACTAGTATTGTGCAATATACACTAAGGAGCTTGAGTGAAAAAGAAAAAAAGAACGTTGAAACTTACAGTATTTAACAAAATCCTTCTGAAAATCTTTCCTGGAATCAACAAAGGCTCTTCCCCTCTCAGTTCCAACTACAAAGACGTCTGTTTCATAGACAGCGATGCAGGCAACTTCTGCCTTGGACTTGGCAAGTTCTTTACACTATGAAAAGAAACAGAAAAGCATTTATTGTCCTTGTTAAAGGTATATTCTATAGAAATGTATGTGGAATCACTTAAAGCAGTTACTGCTTCTGCTGCCAGCATCCACTCCTTAAAAGACATCGTGAGTTACATAATGTCAGTCAGTAGCAACGGATAGTTTATGTATCTGGAATTCTTTTGATGAGAAACCTTAAAAGCACTATAGATGCATTAGTGAAATTGAGGTCTCATCTAGACTGAGAAGTTGAACTGCTTTTAATTAAAATGATTTATTCAATCTATCCTTTGGAAATTATCATTTCAATTAGATTTCAATTAGATAATGGTGTTGTCCTAGCGAGAATTTCGCCCTTCCACAGCACACTTAACACAAACAGCGCTGTTTGGAAAAGCATGGCTGGAAGCAGGAAGGCTTCCTGTAACCTGCCCTGTCCTGACAGCTGTGCTCTGTGTGGATCTGTGTGGATTCCTCTTGAGAAGGGGAAGGATTCCAGCCTCCCTGTGAAGGTGTAGGTGTGCTCTGCTGGGAGCAATTCCAGGCAAGGGAGTCAAAAAAAAACAAAACAAAACAAAAAAAAAAAAACAAAAAAACCAAAAACTTGCAGAGTATGGAGACAGGAAGTTCCCAAGTCAGTGAGATCATCTAGAAGTGACCACAAAAGGTTAACTATCCTTAGTAACTCAGGAGACCAGGGTGACATAAATAGTTGCTGCATGACGTGAAGCAACAAAGCCCTTAGGAACTGAACACAACCCTTGGCTTTGAAACCAATTACCTTATAATCATTATATTCAAAACTTCATTGCTAACACCACCACAGAGCAAAAAGGAAGGCTGTTAGCATGAATTTCCATAAGCACACAATCACAGTAGTCGGAGAGCACACACTAAGGTACAGACAGCACAGCACACACCAGCTCTCTGGAGGGAGGCAAGGTACTGCTGTAGCACTGCATGTGCCCAGAGAGCTTTGACAGCCACTCACCATGGACTCCAGCGCTGACACGAGGAACGTGACCACCATCCTGCTTTCAGATGGGTCTTCATCATGCACAGACGTTGCTGCTACCGTAGCTTGGGCCATTCTCTTCCTGGAACATCAAATATAAAGCCTGTTCAGCTACATGCAACAGTGCAGGAATATCTACCTACAGATACATGCACTCAAAAATCCTGAATAACCCTACGTGAGCAAACATGCAGGTGCAGCAACAGAATAAATTGTTCACTGTTTTGTTCCTGCATACCTCCTGCTGCTTGAAAGTTAAAATGCTGTTCCATGTCTAGACAAAACACCTAGAGAGATGCATATTAATTGATTAGCTGCATTTATACTGATTTTTCTTTTTGTGCATGCTTGTATCTGCAATAGCCTGAAGAGGCACAGCAGAAAAAGACAAGCATTAACAGAATGACAAAACTCTCTTGACACTGGTGTTAGAGCAACATGCCCTATAATTCTCAGTACAAGTTCATTAGGGTATCACTCAAATAAACACCACCACTACAGCCATCCCAAATCGTGGCCTGAGACTCCGGCGTCAGCAACCAGAGCCCAACATTCTTATCTGCATATTAAACAGCTGCAGGATTAATTTCCAAGATAAGAATTGCCAATTAAGGTGCTCAAATTAAAAGCTGCATTTCAGAAGTGACAACAATAGGATTAAACCCTATTTTATGTGCATCGTAACCGACTTTCAACTTAAAGACATAACAACCAGGAGTTGCTCACGCTTATGTTGGCAGAACTGCCAACAGAGAAGGATTACTATACCAAGAACAGCTGCCAAGAGCACATTTTTTTGCTGGATGTTGCAACTGATGTTATGTTCACACAAACCTAATGCAACAACCTGACATGCCTGCAGGTGGGGAGAACTGGGAGAGGCATTGCTATTACAGCTCCACATGTGAGTCTTCAAGAAATCACCCCCCAAAACCTCCAAACACAGAGTAAGGTGGGGAAAACAAATTTGCAGCATGGACAGGGCAAACACAACAGACACCCAGATGCCTTCTGATGGTCCAGGCAGGTCTGCAAGGTTTGAACAGCTTTAAAGCTGCTATGGATAAATTGGCAGCGACAGTCTGCAGCTACCTGAGGGTATCTGAAATGAAAGGCAGAAATGCCAGCAGCTCAGGTTCTGTGACAACACCACTGCTCTGCACAGTCCCCTCATGCAAAGCTTCGGGGAACATCCCGACTTGTCACCAGTGTGCTGCACAAAAAGGCCCATCTAGAAGCCATTCTTCCAACAGTTAGTGGCTAGCTGCCAGAGTACCACTATTTATCTAACTACTTCAAGGCAAAATTAGACAGATTTCCAACAACTAATAAGCATTCAGGATAAAGAGTACTTAAGCACATGTATTCCTATCAACTACTTTAAGAGAAATGTAAGCAACAGCTACTAAAGAAATACATGTAAAAAATGGTAAAGAGAAAACAGATGAAGGGAAAGAGCCAAAGACAGAAAACAGACATTGCAACACTCTCTGGTCCAGCACTGTCCTGAGTCTGGGGTGGTGATCTGTGGGTGGAGGGCTGATCAAGGTAAACACATGTGCTCACTTTCCTATTGTCCAGGAGGTCCAAAACTGTCCTTGGGAAGGCAGCTCTGGAGCCAGAAGATCTGGAGTTTCCAATAAGGGTCTCTGGAGTGACGGACCCCTCATCCTCAATCTGTCGCTGCTTTACTTTCTTTTGTGCTCAAACAGATGTTTTTCCTCAAGCTGAAGTTTTTCAGCCATAGGAAGAAAACAGATGTCATCCGTAAGAGGAAGCAGAGAAAAGCAGTTCTCTGCTCTGCTTCTGCAGGTTCACTTCTCTCCTATCTCCCCTCTTGCAGCTCTTCCTGCTCAGGCTGTCTGAAGCAGCACAAGCCAAATTCCTCATCAGTCTCACACAGTGCCAAAGCAGCAAACCGACCACGCAGCACTAAAAACACTAAAACCAATCCTACTGTACAGATGGAAAGACTCGTAACCAAGAATTCCAAAATACAGCTGCTGCTGCAAGCATGCCTGCACTCAGCCTTACACATTGCTGTAGATCTGCTGCTCCCAGGGAAAAGCAGCCCAGCAGGGGCCCTTCTATAAGAAATGCCATTCTAGCTGAGCACTTGTTGCCTTACCAAGTTGGAATAAGGAGGAACATAGATTTATAATGAATGCTCTACCTGGAAGGCAGACTGCTGCCTGGCTGTTACTGGTCTCAACCCTTAGCTGCTCTGCCTTCAGGGTGAAGGTATGTTTAATTGCACCCAAAGATCAGCCTTCAGACAGAAGGCACCGTATCAGAACTGCACAGATTAGAACGCACAGCTGTTAAGTACAAGCAAATCTTTTTGACGATTCATACTGGCTACAAGAAAGCTCTATTTTTCTCCCTCAGTTTGATTCAGAAAACATTAATCCTGACGTGCCTTAGCTAATGGAGCACAGAAACCCTGCAGGGGTGCAGGCAGATCTGTGATGCTCAGGAAGATGCAATGCCCTTTTACCTCTACTACTATTAAAGACCACTTAAAGAGACAAAACAATCCCAACGTTGGCTACTTTAAGAACATCTCTGATTCCTTTCACCCTCAAGCCTGCTAGCAAAGCAATACTTAATTCAAACCTCACTATTTCTGGACCAACGTACACTGACAAAGTTTTAGATAAAATGAAAAAACAGCATCCAACCACACTGCTCACGAGGCAGGAATACAAAACAAGGGCATTACCCACGGAGCAGCACAGAAGCTGTCAGCACGGAGCTCCATCCCGGCACTGCAGACTCAGGAGCCCCCCGTCCTCAGGGCCCCATCCCAGGAGCCCATGGGCCCTCACCCTACATTAGTTGCATACAGACCACGCCCCTCTCCTCCTGCACCCAATCGCGACCGCTTCTCGGTAAACGCGCCCCCGGCACCAGCCAATAGCAGGCGGCGGCAACACAGTGGTGCCCGCCTCCTCCTGTCCCCACACCTGGATCCCGGGGGGCGGGCAGAATGCGGAGCTCCGCCTCCACCCGCGGAGGAAAAGAAGCCCCCCCACCCCCAGAGCCGGGCCCGGGGCCTCTCCCAGCCCACAGCACGAGGGTCTACGCTGCCCTCCCTCCCCCTCAGGGTGCCGGGGAACAGCGGATCTCTCCCGCCTTCTATCCCCGCGTCGCACCCACAAGGTCCGATCCCACCCCGCCGCTCACCGCTGGCTGTGGAGGCTGAGGGGAACGGCGGGCAGTGGCGGCGGCTACTTAAAGCAGCCTCTCGGCGCTGGGACGGGCCCAGAGGCCCCGCTGCTCCCCTCGCGGTCTCGGGCTGAGCACAGCGCCGCTCACGGGGAGGGGAGTGGAGGGGGAGGTTTTTGTTCACCGATGTACCACTGCGCATGCGCGCGCCTCGCGGGGGCTGCTGGGATATGTAGTCCGCTCCCCTGCGGCCACACCTCTCCACAGCGCGCGGTGTGTAACGGGGCGAACTATAACTCCCATCGTGCCCCGCGCGGGGCGGAGCGGCGCGAATCCCAGGGAGGGAGCGCGGGGGCAGCGGTGGCCTTGGAGGGGCATCCTGCGTGAGGGGGTCTGGTCGCCATTTCCTGTCCGGCCGGTTGCACTGGTCCTTCAGTTTGGGACCTAAATTCCTCGTGTCCCTTTGCTTTCCCCTCTGCTTGTCAACCAGATGAGCATCGGCTGCAGGCTGAATGAGGTGTTCACACCAGGCAAGAAAAGCATTTCTCTTCATGCTGTAACACCGGAGTTGCTGTGGAGAGGAGAATTCAGAGTCGTTTTTGTCATCGTTAAAACAGAGAAATTCCATCTTCAGCACATAGTCTCCTCCTGGAAACAAAATGAGACCAATCCGTACTTATTTCTTCTGACTCATTACTTCTGTTTCATCTTCAGAAACTCTTTAGCACTCAAAGGTTTTAGGCTATGTCACAAAACTTTGCTCCAAGATGTGCATGAGTTACAAATGTCACCTCCAGCTAAGCACAGAGTAAGGTGTTTCACTTGACTCCCATTTGAAGTATCCATGGGAAAATCTAAGTATTCTTGACAAATTACGCCTAAATATCTAACATCTGAGAGCGAGAACCTCAGTATGTGAAACCAATGAGTGCTGAAGAGCTGGTGGCAGGGTGATGGGGAGCAGGGGGAAGCCCCAGGCCCTACAGGAACAGTCCTGATGCTGAATTGTGTGGCATTCCCTTATCTTTTATACTCTGTGCAGAAGCTCAGTGTCAGATACAGACCAGAGCCTAGAGCCCAGGGCTCTGGGCTGCCCATTGAGCAGTGCTCCAGCTGTAGCTAGATGGGATGTCTTTTCTTCTCCCAGACTATGAGCTATTTTAATTTCAGTTCCAAAGCCAGGAACAGCAAAGAACCCTTTGCACTTGAGAACACTACTGGAGGACCAGAACAGCACATGGATGTGCTCCTGTTGGCTTGATTCCTTTGCAGTTTTCCTTCGCTGAGCTTTTTCTCTGTTAAATAATAAGTAAGGACATCCTGTTTTCACTTGGAACATGATGCACATGGTAAGTACAGTTACTTGCACAGTAATAGCATTATTTTCCTCCATACTTTGCTGCCGTGCCCTGGGGCATTCAGCAGGGATGCTGATCCCAGGGTGCTCCAGGTCCCACTCATTTGCCCTGCAGTGCCTTTGGCCTGAAGACAGAGCCTGCAGCCAGCTCCCACAGACTGACACCAGCACCATCCAGCTCATATCTGTAGGACAGAAACCTGTGCCATCCTATGGCAAAGCAGTGGAAGTGCCACCTGTAGCTGTCTTTTTCATTCTCCTCTTCCGTTTGATTCGAAGTAGGATATAGGGGAAAAGCCTGTTTTGGAAGAAGCTATGAAGTAGGACAGAAGTTGTCATCACAAGCCAATGGACTACAGGTCTTCAGGGTTTCCCTGTGCCAGGCTGTGCTGCAGCAGAGCAGCCCCTTGCCAGTGGCTGATCCCTTGGTATTCATCCAAGATAACAGGTCCAGACTGGGTTCAGCAAGACCAGCACCAAGCCAGAGCCAAGAGACACGACCAAGGGACCATCGTCTCCTCCCACAGGCTACCTGCACTCCTCCCTGCTCTTCCAGACCCCCAGGAACAGGACAGCCAAGTGGATCTGCACATCCTCAGAGCTGTGTGTCTGGAGTCAAGCACAAGTGATGCCTTCCCCTGGTGCTCACCCAGACCCCAGCTACCTTCAGGAGGTTCCTGCCCATGATGAGCTTTGCCAGCTTGAGTGCTCAGCACTCAGCAGTTCCTGCTTCCCAACTTCTCCAGCCTCCCTATGAGCCCACACAAACATTCCATAGCACTCTTTGGAATTAGCTGAAATGTCTCCCGATCCTTGAGGAGGGAGCATCCATCCATCCAATTTTGCCAATAGCAAAATGGCAAAGCCATGGAGCTGCCCAACATGGGTCCAGAGGGGGCCACAAGGATGCTCAGAGGGCTGGAGCATCTCTCCTATGGAGCAAGGCTCTGGGGGCTGTGGGTGTTCAGCCTGGAGGAGATTCACATCCCAGCCCTTTCCCCAAACACGCAGTGCTAACCCCTAAACCCAGCCAACAAACTTACCATTTCCCTGCATATTTTTTTTTCCCAAAATGTTTCCTTGCAAATGGATTCGGGGCTCTGAATGCAGCACAGATGCTGTTTATGCTGCTCTCCAGCATCTCCATGCACTATATTTTTAAAAAATGATTTGAATCAAAGCGCTCATTCTTTAATTAAACTTCATTTAGCTGCCATCTGCCTGGGATCAAAATGGCTTCATGTTTTGCAACTCTTAATGAGGATTGTTATTGGATTTGTAAACACAGAGACTACAGCAACAAAAAAAAACACCACCAAAGTCTTTGAAAAGTAATAAATGAGGAACATGGCTCAAGTGTTAAGATCTCCATCTTCTAATTGTGACAGAGTGCATCCCATTCAGCAGAAAATCACGTTGCACACAAAAACTGTGTATAAAAATATCCTGTGCTAAAAGACCAAGACGAGGGAAGATGCAAAATTGCAGCTAAGGGAAAGCAGCAACAAAGCAAGATCTGGAGTTTGGGGGAATAGGGTAGCGTGTAAGTGCAGCAGGAATTGCTGCTCATCACTCCTCAGAACTGTGACAAGAGTGCAGCATCTCCAAACCCCAGCCTGGTGCCAGCTGGCTGCAGAGCTCGGGGGCATGGGGAATCTTTGAATTCAGCCATGTCCAGAGCAGGGGTTACTGCACCTGGATTTGGGTCCAGAATGACCCTCATGCACCCACGTGGGGAAATGAGGCAGCCAAGAGTGGAAACAGCCCTGCTGGCTCCCCCTCACCTCCCTTTTCCCCCACTTCTCTAGCCTTTAGGAATGCACTCAGCTCTCTGAACAGAGTCATGAGTCCCCAGTGCAGCTCAGTGCCCTGATTTGGCTCAGTGCTGGGATCCCTGCCTGCCCATTGCTGGGAACCTCGCTCATTACCCAGCCTCAGTGCCGCCCTCGGTGTTCCAGAACCAGGCCTTTACACTGCAAAAAATAAGAGAAGTCAAGATATAATGAACGTGCTCTCCCAGGAGACACCTCCTCAGAGTGGTTTGATCTGTCAGTGAACCCCTTTCAGACATTTTAGAAGACAGAAAGTGTATTTTTTTTTTTTAACCTCTAAAGCATTTTTCTTTTTGTTTCCTAATTGGAGATGCCATGGGGTTTCAGCACCAGGCAGAAACATGAAAGACTTCAGATTTTGATGCCAACTGATCAGATGTCAAACTGCACATCTAATTGGGGTCATGGGTACAGATCTTTGCCCTTCTTCCAGCTGCCAGCCTCGTGCCTTCTGCTGCATTTGTTTAGGCTTTTATTATCTCGTGCCATCATTTGCATCCAACTCCACAGCAAGTCAAGGATGAGGAAATAAAATTGCAGCCGTTTGAAACAGCTCTGCCACTGCTCAGAACCCTCTGCAAGCACGGAGACGGATTTGTGCACATCCAGAGAGGACTCATAAAGCCAACAGAGCAGCCTGTTACACTCAGAAAAGCCACTGTGAGTGACTTTGATGCCTGTGACCAATGCCACCTCTGCCTGAAGGTGGCAGCTGGAAGCAGGAATGTGGGCACGGAAACCATTCTGCTCACTGACCCCTTACATGGCCATGCACTTGCTGCCATTGTGTCACTCGAGCACAGCTCTCAGCATCCAAAAACCCACATTAAATACCTGCAGTGATAACAGCAACCAGCAGTGCCAGCTTCTGCTGCCAAAATCTGCTGGTGGAATGGAGATAAAGTTGGGGAAATTCCAAATAACAACCCTCAATGGATAGGGTTGCTTCATTTGGTTCTCGTGGTGCACAGAGGAAGCTCTCCCCATCTCTCTGTAACACTCGCAGCTTTTGGTCCAGCACCATGGAATGGGTTGAGCACCAGAGCTCTATCTGAACGGACCATTGGAGCTTTCCTCCCCCCATAAGGCACCAAAGCTCTGCAGGAAATCACAGATCAGAGAATCACAGAATGGTCTGCGTTGGAAGGGACCTTAAAGCTCACCCACCCCATAGGCAGGGACACCCCCAGTGGACCAGGCTGCCCAAAGCCCCGCAGCTTCACCATGTCAGAAGGCAGCACGCCGTTCCTCCTGCAGCTCCCAGTGAGTTTTTACCTTTGCTTCCAATCTGAAGACATCAGTGGCAAATGAAGCCCCAAAACGAGCCCAACCTCTTGGTCACAAAGACTTCAATCAGCAGCCAAAGCACAAGGATTTCTGACAGAGGTGTCCTCCTGCACCTTCTCCTTCCTACAGATGCTATTTGTCAATTATGTACGTAATAAAATAAGTACTTTTAAGAGCAAGGCAACACTTTTTATTTTTATTTAAAAAGGCCTTGATGGCAGGAATATAGTGTAAAAATCATTGGAAAAACTAAAAGGCATTGATACATATTGGAATATACACTTTTTACATAAATTACATTTATTTATTTATTCTTTCATTTGAGGTTCTTATTCGGTATTGAGGTCTAATAGTTAATAGGTCCTGGGATCTGGACATTTAGACCACCATAGTCTAACATGTACATGTTCATGGGCCATTGCTGAAAGAGAGGGAGAGAAAAAGAAGGCAGAAGTCTCTGTTAGCACACGACCAACAAATGCAAACATCAAATCTCTGACATGTTCAGACATGAGCAGTTGCTCCCACTTTCCAAATAAGATAAAAGAACCAACCCAAAAGCAAAACACCACCAGCAAACAAAAAAAGCCTTTTAAGACTATATTTCTCTCACTTATTTTTTTTTCTAAGAAGCATTTAGTAACATCCACAACTGAAGCCAAGCCCTGAGGGAGGACAGGCTGA